TGTTTATTAAGCAGTTTTTCATTCTGAGTCATTTTTGGGCCAAAGTCCACTGAACTCCAGCCTCCCCCCCCCCTGGAAATTTTAAAAAAGTGAACCCCTAGGCAAATCCTGGCTACGGGCATGAAGCGCATTGATGGTTAACTACTGAACTTGATTCCACTTTCTTTGCTATAGGCGAGGAAGAGGCTCTCTTCAATCAGATATTCCCGATATTCATTCAATAATTCTCGTTCAATGATATCTTCAATGAAAATACGAATCTGATTTACCAAGTATGGATGAAACAGTAGGAAAACTCCTTTGAAAAACCAAATCAGTGTTTCTTCTACTTCGTAAATTCAAATGTCAATCATAAATGGGAAACGGTTCATAATCTTAAACAATTGTTTTTTGGACTAAAGATATTATTGTTCGGTCACTTATCATTGGCATTTTCGGAAGGTCCGTTGCGTCATTTTTCATTGCCGTTTACTATCATTTTTGTAACGGGTTTGACGAGTGGCATTAGGATAAAAATCAAGTAGAGTGGTAATGCGTTTCTTTGGAATGCTACTTTTCTTTGCATTAATTTGCATCAACTTTTCTTAACATTAATTTGGTGTAATGTTTATGTATTGCATTTATCACATTAATGTTGCTAAATGATTTCCATTTTTTAAACATTCTGGCCAATCAAGTCGGAAGGACACAAATTACAGTTTATTGTGATTTGATAAAAATAGGATAGATGTGTACATTGCATAAATTGACATCGTTTCAAACTATCTGGTCAAAAATCAAATTATCGTGAGAAAGGTATTCGTGGTTGTCTGGAATTGTATATGAACCCTAAAATTGCATGTGGTTTATCAAATATAAACATCATAACTGTTAAATCTCGATTTGCCACAACACCCTTATGTCACCGATGTTCATCTACGTTTGAAAAGAATCAAGTCAATGGGAGATAATGTCGATATTGCATGGTCTAGTCAGTAAAGGGATATATCAAAGGATAATGCACATTTAAACTAATTGTGATGATGAGAAATTGTCGCATCATCATCAAAAGAAATCATTAGGTAAAGTTCATAAACCATGTCTCAGGGTCATACTAAGGTCTAGTGAGATTTTCTATATACACTTATTGCAAACAATGGCTAATGTAAAAAATCAATTTATCTAATAGTCATTTGCGATCAAACAGTAAGGCGTATGACCGCCTTGAGTCAAGAACATAAGGGGTCATAGAAGAGAGCCTTGCGGAACAATATTCTTATGTAAGGTTGGTAAATTAAATGGAACAGGTTCTCGGGTGCCACAAAGTGACGTGTTCCAAGCCACTGATTCCAGCCAAATACCCTTTGCATTAGCTTGATTTCGCTCCTTAAAAGAGAGCTTCGTGGTAGTTTATAACTAAATTCTGCGTGCAGGGTAACAGTCAAATAATGGTACATATTGATCCCCTCCACATGATGCTGTAAAATAAGCGAATCCCATCAGAAATGCCCCGATGGATGAAAATACTCCCCATTATTGACACCAGAGTGCACATTCCGCCAGTTGCACCCAAACCATAAAACACATTTGTTACATCTAACAAGTGAATGCATTTCCCATATCTAACTACCAAAAGCATTTTCTACATCAACCCTTCATCACCTTCGTCTCATTGTGCAGACTGTCAAAATAAACATTTTTATTGCTGATTTTACGTCAACTCAACTTATCATTTCCTTTATTAACTTATTTTCCAGTTTTATCGTTATTTTTTGCAGAATGCATGAGATCCGCTACTTGCACTCATCGACTTATTTAAATGGTGTTAGTTGTCTATATATACATACACATGCAAATCAATTACGATGCCCGTGACTTTGATGTATCGATCAAATGTTAATGAAAATTAACTTTGAAGATAGCCGATGATGAGCCGATGATACTCTATAGCCCATATAGCGTATATACTTTACATAGATAGTTCAAAGGGTCACCACAAAGTGAATCTCACGCGGTCTTCTTTGATTACACAATGTACCTTTAATTATGTGAGATGGTGTGTGGAAATTCAATGGATTTCTTAACTATTGGAATGTATGCTTGATAATGCACATATATGATCAGGTGTCTGATTGACTTCAAGAAGATGAACTATTCATGATCTTACAATCTCACCCCCCCCCCTCCACTCCCCACGCTAAAACACAGTGGCAACATTAGAAAATCACATATACTTGTAAAAGTTCGTTCACGTTTACACCAATGTTGATTCTAAAAGTACAGAAAGATAAAAAAAATAAAATCATAGTTAAGAATCGACACCCTGCTTCCCTCCGTTTTAATATCCCCATTGTGGTAAAAACACAAGAGGCAACATTGGAAAATCAATGACTAAAGCTCAATACCAAACTTCCTAAAATTGGACGACAGGATCAATTATAGAGTATAGAGTACATCAAAATCAAAATTAAGAATATATCTTCTCCCTCCGTCACAAAAGATGAAGAGACAACGTAAGAAAGGCAGGAACAAGATTTAACACCAAAGTTCGTAAAAACACCGATGTTAATTATAAAGTTCAGTCCTCCCATGCTGAGAATTAGATAATTCTTGTATCTATATTCAAAATAATTGCGCAAAACAACATGCTTAAGTATTTTAATTGACAACATTCCTTGAAAGTTGGAACTACATAAACGGCTAATGAAATAAACTTTAAACGGTTTGCAAATGACATGGGGTGTGTTTACCAATTAGCGTCCACTGAGATAGACATGAAGAAAACATTCCTGCTACAGACCCTCAAGGAAGATGGAATTCAATTTATCTTAGAACCCTTGAAATTAAATAGCGCAAATTAAATGGTGATTATGACACAAGATAGCACCCCATTAAAATCCAATGACGCAATGGCATTTCAACTTATCTTCCAGATGTGAATTTTCACTTTCTCTATCTCCAGTATGCTTCCAAATTATACTACCCCAGCACTAAAATCCAGGAACTTGGAAATAGAAAGATACTTAGAATTAGTGCAGCTTTTTAGTATAATGTTTTTGATTAGGATGCACTTTGCTATCATGTAGCCTCATATCAAGACGTCAAATTTGCACCGAATGACCCCATCTGGACATTTTCCTTGCATTTGGACCGTTAATGGGGCTGCTTTTATTTTAGTCATAGAAAAGATAGAGATTTTATACTGCGTTACTGTGGGAATGCTCAGTACATGCCGATACCTTAAGCCTCATTATGCTATTGATGAATATTGAAATTCAAAATTAAAACTGGAATTATTGACGTTAAATGCATTGAAAATCTTAAGTGGTGACGATAAAAGTCAATCACTTGCCCAATTTCCATTCCGTGTACGAGGATCGTAAAATAATTTATATCGGTTTCAAAAAAGTATTAAGATGTCATTAATGATTAGAACCATTTAACGTTTACGTTTAGAAAATTTCAATTACGATGTAAAGAAAAATTGTTCATTGAATCTTTTTATGAATTTTTTATGTTTCATAAATCCTGCGCTTTTTTGATACAAAATACCACTTGATGAGGGTCGTAGGAAGATAAACCGAACGTATATTATGTTAAAAGTTCAAGAATCGCTGTATGAATGTAATTTTGAACTTGGTAAAATGCTTGAAGATTCCAATAAAATATTGATATATTTTGAGAGAATTTGTTTGATCCAGAAACCAGACAATATACAATTGTTTTCAAATGACCTTTATGAATGGCATTACAAGTTGACAATCTATTAATCAGACAACTAAAATTCATAAAGAAATCATATTGACCAAAATATGGGTTGTAATGTGGTTAGGCTATAATTCATACTCCCCCCTCAACCAGAGCTCACTAATTGATAAGTCGCGCGAACCCCCTGTCAAATATATCCTAAAATATGTTCTTGGAACCATGTAATTTTTGGCTTCTAAGCTTAGCGACCAACTTTTTAATATTGGAACACTATATTTCAAAGTCGAGTTATGTTCGAAAACCAAGGTTCTTTGGAACCGCAAATTTGTAACTTGTCGTGATCGTGACAGGGTTTGGAGATTCAGAAAGCGTTGGTTCACCTATTTGGTGATGGCTTTGACAAGGTTTGGCGATAAATCAATAATTTGACAACCGCACTACTAATTATAACATCAAGTTATTTGCTACAGAACTCCTAAGCCCCCGTCGAACCTTAAGATGTAATTCTTTCAGCTTACTTTGAAACACTTTTGAAGTTGTACAGCTTTTCAAATTTTGGATGTAGCTTTTCAATTTGTATTAACCGACCAGAAATCCATTGACTTGTATTTAAAAAGGGCGCTACAAAAAGAAGAAAGTAGAAACCCGGAAATCCAGCATAAAATATATAAATTAACATAAAGGATAGACACGAGTTGAGAGTAACTTTTTTAATTTGTCACAATTTATGTTTAACACAGATAATTCCCTATTGTGGCGACTTTGGAGTTCTAACTTTATTGCCTGGATGCAAGCTTTGGCCTATTCAATTGGCAATAATTTGGAAAATGTGGACGTTCACATTTTTTATTATAATGAATTTGCACATTTCGGTTTCATCGCCAACTTTGATGCAGATGGCTAAAATCTTATTTTCAGATATCAAAAGTGTAGCGTGGGGAATAAGGGATGCTTTTTGTAACTTTTTTGGACTACTTGCGAACAATTTACTTGCACTAACCTTTCCTGCAATGTTAATCAAAAAGTTATTGCACATTTCTACATTGTCTTCAAATCGACTTGCATCTTCGGGTAGAAACATGGTTATCAGTTTGTACCTATATTATACACGATGCATACGGCTCTAGTTCTTGGATAAGTCAGAGGCGTAATTACAGAAAAAGCTACAACGGAAACATTTTTACATATGCCTTAATATTAATTTCCCCATCTCTAACGCAACAACTGTTTAATACTCACCTAGACAATTTCAAGGAATATCCACATGTTAGCCAATAGCAACACACATTTCAAATGACGTCATGGCCATAGTAATGACGTCATTATCAGAATTGTTGTGAAGACCGGGAATTTTCGCAAACATGGCATTTTCTAGCCATTTGCGAAGATTTGATAATTATTTAGAGATAGCAGAAAGGGATGAGGAGCTTTCTAAACTGAGAAGGGTAAGCATCGATAGTATTCCTTTCTAAGGTTTTCATAAATCACATTCAAAAGGTTTGCACCTGTTTTTTCTAAGTATACGATCGTTGCTCGTGGTATAATAAGGAAGTCTAGGGGAATATTTTTATGTCAAACTTTCTAATCTTCTTTTTAGGATGTCTTACGTCTTGACAATCTGATCGCCGATCTAGACAACAAGAATTATGTAAGTCCTTTTGAATTGAATTTTGAGTTGTGATTTGATTTGAATGAAGTTGTGTATTCACCCAAGGCTCTTCGCTCACATTGCAATGTTTATTTCACTTTTTGAAAGAGGTCGCCCAAAGCCATATTTCGTTATTCGGTTGAGACGAATGCCTTGAGTAGCATTGGCGAATTCAACTGCCGGTTGACGGTTTGCCTACTTTTTATGGCCAACCTATTTACATATGAATGGAATAGTGGCAGGTCCGATTCATTTTTAAATTGGATGGCCATAAATAAGTAGGTTAAACCGACAACCGGCAGTTCAATTCGCGAAAAAATGTTATTTGTTCGATTAGTTCCTTTCTACAGGGTGGGCCAAAAAACGCCACTTTTTTCAAAATGCTATAACTTTTTTACTATTAATTTTTGATACAAAATCATAATTTGCATACCAAATGAAACTTGAAGATGTTATCTAGCCATGGATCATGAATAATACACTTTTACTTGAATAAAACATGTCACCAGCGTCTCAGTTAAACATGTGATGTGCCATGACAAATAAGCATAATTTGCAAAATGTTCCCGAACTGATACGGCCTGATGACAGCCAATCTAATAGGCCTGATGCAATCCCCAGTGAGTATAGGGTATGGGAATGCCTCCAGGAGATTGTATTAAGGCACCCAATCTAAAAAATTGCTCAACTAAAGCCGGCAATTAGGACAGGTTGAAAAAAAACTTAGCTAACATTTCATTGATACTGCTATATCAGCAAGGCGACTAAAACTAAAATCGATCATCAAATAGGGTGGCTGACCAATTGAACTCCTCGTTTAGATCAAATATAATCCATGTTGAAGGACTTGTTACATTATAATATTGCTAAGAACCCCTGGCACTATATAACTGCAAAGTTTGGGGTATGTAGGTTGGAAAAAAAAGTTGTAGCATCTTGAAAAAAGTGGCGTTTTTTTGGCCCACCCTGTAGAAAGTATTATTATTAATTTATTAACCTGTAGTTAAACAGAGTAGTTTTATAATTTACAACACATATACATGTACATAATAAAGTCAAAACTATTTACATTGCTGGTTGAAAAATAGAGATGTGATGAGTATCAGAATGATTATTAAGGGCATAAATGTATTTTAATTTTTTAATTTCAGAAATTAAAAGATGAAATCAAAAAGATCAATTATGAACTAAATATAAGCGATATGCAAAACCGTTCTCTGAAGTTGGAGATAGAACGTCTAAGACGGGAGAATCGTGAACGCTGGTGGGACAACTTCGACCTTCAAAAACAAAATGAAGAACTACGCGCAACTGTAGAAGCATATAGAATTTGCCCGGTGAGTTAGGTCAATGGGACCCAGGACTCGTATAGATGGCAGTTAACTACTAGGTTGTTCTTCACATCTGGCCCATTGGTTTGTTTGTAAATATTGAGGTTTTAAAACTTCAAATTCACTACACGTATCAAATAAATATCATATTTTCCTTCATTATTATTTACAAACATGTTTTAAGATTCAAAATCATAAGGTTTTGGATATTTTCAATAAAATTTATTTTGGGAGATTTTTTGAGCAACTTTTACATGTTAAAGTATGCTATTAAACCCACTGAATTTTATGCCATCTATTGACAGTCCTGAAGGCCATTCAATTAAGTTTTGCTCCAACATATTTTCCTGTAGAATAAAATGTGAATCAAAAATCATCGGGTTTATACTGAAATCAATTATCTTTTTATATTTAGCATATAACATAATATGAAGGTCTTTTCTGCCCCGATGGACAGACGGACGGACTAATTTTGCAACTCACTCAAGTAACAATCATCAGTCGCCTCCAAGATTTTAACTAAAGTGACATCTTTAAAAAATTATTAAATAAAGTATAATATGATTATTTCAGTGTTGTTGCACGAGGAGCTGTTCAAGTACTCCAAGTCGCCCAAGAACAGCCAGGTCGGCGCCACACAGGGACATATAAACACAAAAATAATATCCCTAGAGACACGTGAATAACTTATTAATCATTTATTTCCCAATTTTCATAATTCTGGCATTAAGTCTTCCATTCACAGTAAAACCTGTATATAGTGAACACCAATGTAGCCAGAATAAGTGTTCACTCTAGATAGGTTTTCATTACAGAGAGGAGATTTATAGAGGAGTGTCTTGAAGTGGTGTTCACTACACACAGGTGTTCGGGTTGTACTATACATGTATGTTACCTATTTCCCCACCACTCTGTATATGCTAAGATGTTAGGGGAGGGGGCTAAAGAGGATATAAAATGACAAATGCAGGCACATTTCACAATAATTGACTAAATAGACTGTTTAAATATAAATAACAGATTTATTCCAATTGCAATCCATTAATTGAAAGTAACATCACAATATGTATAAGAAAATCTAATGTACATCCATAAACAATAATTTTTCAATAAATATTTCGCAAATTAATTTTAACTCACCAGTGGCTAGTCTGTTATTCAAATGATATCGAACATAGCACGTAAACCACAGGTTTTCATAAAAATAATACCAAAACATGGTTTACTCTTAAGTATATTTTGTTGTCCGAAATCCTTCTTGGATCTTTTACTGTTTTATGTTGCAACAATACCTGCTTTGTTACATTGGTTCAAGTTGTTCTCTGATAATTTCTAAGACTAAACATGGATTTTTTGACATTTTGATAAATACCTGTAATCTGACTGGGTTTCTAGTCACCAACATGTACCATGTTAAACTCTACCCAAATCAGATTTACGAATACCTACATAAAACCTACATGAACCATATGTTATTGGATAGTAACTAAGCTATCTATCTGAAGGAACAATGTAAAGGAAACACTTGGCAAAATGTGATAAATACTACTTTTTTCTTGTTTCTTGCAGATGTGAAAGAAATAATGGTCCCCCTTCAAGATGTTCCTTACTGGATTGATTCTAAATAAAGTAATAAGGGAGAGTTGCAATTAGATCACGTATTAATCTATGGAGAGGGGGACCATATTTTGTGATGAACATATACTTTAACATGTGAGCTAAAAACAACAAGGTACCTAAGCCCTGAGAACTCATATCAATAATAAATATACATGTACAATATGTACTCACTATATAGACATCTGGAAATAACATGGTATACCCTCTCTCACATTTTACGCATACACACAATGTTCTAACCTGAGCATTGCACAATAAGATGTAGTTATTTATTCATAATTAAATTTTATTTTCATTTCATTAATTTTTTCAATATTGAATTTGCTATTAGTCTCTTTGACAGTATTGAATTTGCTATTAAATAGTCTCTTTGACAGTATGAAGCTATAGTAAGGAGTACAGTAGTATAGTAGTGAGGAAAGATATATACAATAAAATCTGATAATACAGGTCTTTCATAATACTTTATCTCCCGAAAACACCAGAAATGCAAACACCTTTGCCGTATATTACTATTTAAAAATGTGAACTTTGGCGCTTACAGATCTAAATGAGTGATAGATACACAGCAGGATAGACACATACACCTAGATTGGTGCATACACACGAATATAGATGTACCAAGATAGGTGCAGACACACCTAGATAAGCAATGAATGGATCCCCTAGTTACCAGACTATGCCAAGGTTTAAACTGAAGTGACATTTTGCACACCTGTACACTTACAATGGAGCCCCTTGAGCACACACAATGCTCTCTCATTATACAGTGAACTCCACAGGATTTTTTCTCAAGTGGGTGCAAAATTCTCATTTTCACAAATCAGACAAAATTGGTCACAATATGCCCATTTTCATGATTTTTCTCATTTACAAGTGGGTGCAAATGGATTTTCAGGTGGGTGCAAACCTATTTTCAAAATTTCAGGTGGGTGCTGCACCCAATTGATTTAATGCTGGGGAGATCACTGTTATATGTCCATAAGATTAGTGCATTTCTAGTACATCCTCCGATCACAGGGCTTCAAAATCCAGAATACTTCTTTTTACCCCTGTGATAAGCAGTTAGCATTTCCCCGATTAAGAACTCGCAATTTGATTCGCTGTCACAACACTGCGACAGCAATCATGTATACATCATCAACCCATAATTAGATCACATGATTCAGTTTAATCGGGCGCTTCCAAATTGGTTATTGCAGGGGGGAGGGAGGTACAGATTCTGGACACCTGCTTAGGATCGGAAATGTTCTAGTAAGATGTTGGCATTCTCATTCTATCTGTGTTGCCTAGTCTTGCAAGACTAGCCTTTCCAAAAACTAGAATCTATAGCATACTGTTAAATCGGTGTATTCCTTTATTCATACAAAATACATTGGATCAGGCTGAGTCTATAAAACACAAGATGTAAAACAACAACATACCAAATGTGTATAAACATCTCACAGTAATAATCCAATGATATGTTGTCTGTTCTATCACAGATCATTAATTAATGTTTCCAATATTCAGGTATAAAAGTATGTGCCACATATTGTATTAAAGATCCGGTAAGCATATATCCAACACCATTTTCAAGGTGAATGTGGGTGGAGGAGTGACTGGTTGATTCGATGGGTGACTCAAATATATTCTTAGCTGGAAATGTATATTATGACACAATGCACCATACACATGATTTGATGATGATGACTACTCCAATTTGTATATGGTAGACAGGAGGCATGATTTAAAAAAATGAGCTATATCATTAATATTTGAAGTTACTGCGATTTATTCTATTCTGAAACGAATCAGAGTGTGAAGCAATCTAGTAGCAGGTCTGTAGCCCAAGTTCTAGTCTAGATCCAGCTGTATGTTCTGTTGTGGGGGTGATGCTTGGTGTGTGGTTTGACTGTGCATAGAACTTGCTACATCGTCACCCTCTTCCATATCACTGTCATCTCCCATACCAAATAGGTTCTGTAGTAAATTACCTGGAACAAAAGCCAATTTTGAATTAATTTTATATTTAAAGATGTTTCCTGAAAGTTTTGTAATTTTTGTAATAGTTGTTATTGAATTGTCAGAAATATTTCTCTAAAATCATTTTGAAATAGCTGCCTGTCAACATCAATATATATACCTCATCAAGTATAAACTGTCCTGTAAAATGGTAGAGTGGCAACCAAAGCAACTAACATAACATGATAAATGACAGCCAGGTAAGGGCCAACAAACTCAACTACATCTTTATTTACTTTTTAAGTAAAAGGCAAAAGAAAATAATACAATATCAGTGATTTTTCAAATGTGTTGCTCAAAACAGTACTATACAGCCATTTCATGAACAACACTATACAGTGCTGTTCTGTTTGAGATTGGAAGTGTATAGTTAGCAGACCATTCAAAACATGCCTCATGTTTATAGTGAAGGTTAATCTAATGATGCATAACACATAAACAATATAAAATATTGAATATTCTTTTTCTCTATTAAATTTTTCAATATTGGATATTTGAAAGAAACTCTAACCACCACCATGAATAAAATATTATCAGACTTACCAAACATATCATTCTTTTTCTTTGGAGGCTTCAGACCAAAAAATAATTGGCCTATTCTATCTAAGTACTGAAAATAAAATAAAATTATTTTTGTCATTATCGTACATAATAGATATTTTTTTTAAATATTTTTTACTATGATTTGCACATTTTAATCCATCAATTTCCAGTTGATTGATGGAAAACAAGGTTTAAAGTGATGAGAATCAACATGGCTACAAGAATTGCATTTTGTAAAATAGACCTGATAAATCTTTCACAAAATTGACCTTAAAGATAGTATACAGTATTCTTCAATCAACATTCCCTGAGTTTTCCCAAATGCATTGATTGGATTGACAAAAAAAATCAAGTAAAAGAGACAAGTTACTTACGTCTTTGTACGAAGGGTCCCTGTTGATTGCAGCCTGATAATGCTCACACAGAATACTATATATAGTAATTTTTCCACTGAAAGTACAAGGCATGATTTTTTTAACATATTCTTTTATTTCCTGAAATAATTCAGTCACCTAACGCTAACAGCATATTTGTCTTATTCTGTAGTATCTAAAAATGTCCAATTAATACTGATGTCCAATGAATAGGCGAAATCAAATGTATCTAATTTTGTCAATGTGACGAAGTTATCACCCACCGCTTGACTTTGCTGTGAATGTTGTCACAGAACATGGGCTTTATTTATAAAGAAACACCTCATTTACAGAGATTTGACTTACGCTTCTATTGCCAGCAATAAGAACCAGCAGAAGTTTAGCAGTGGCTTATCAAAGGGTGGACCATCCTCCACTGCAGGGTGTCTTTTTGTATATGAGAAAAATACTACACTGGCTGTATTTGTATTTCTGAGACATAAATATCTGAAAGTATGTGCAAATGTTTCAATAAGATGATAAATGTAAATCTATAATGTTAAGGAGTCAAGAACTTGTATATACATGTAGATAATTAATTGTACAATCATCAGTAATTCTTGAGTAATTCTTTAAGTTTTTGAAATTTTCTTGGGAGTGGTTCACTAAGAACAAGAGTTTCCTTTTTTGCATGGCTAACAGGGAGAGAAATGATACCACACAGATACACATCAGCACAAAATGACTATTTGAAAGAGTGTAACAAGGCATTTACATACAAAATGTCATAACCTGCCATTTGTTACAGAAACGAATGCCAAATGGTACTGCTCACCTTCATTGGTGGTGAACGAAATACAATACAGTACAATGCAATGCAATACAATACAGATACCGAACACCATCCACAAAAATATCAGAGACCATAACAATCATATCACCATTTTCTGCCATATTAATTTTGCCCGCTTTTAAATTCTTAAATGGGATTTCTACTTACTGTAATACAGCTTGTGCTACAAACAGGTCTACTTCACAAGGGTAGCCACTGGCTCTTTGGTACTCTACCAACATAGCAGCACAGCCCTCACCATCCTCAGAGTGGAGGAAATGATACCTTGATTGTGCATAGTTTTTCTCTGCAATACAATTTATCAATTACAACAGTCATTATTCAAAGTAGAGCAAATGTGACATTTTGTAACACTGCCTCAATTTGATGCGAGGTGCTTGGTTGAATTGCAAAAAACACAAGTAAAATAAATACGAAGATATTCACACTCATGGACAGACATTGATGCGATAACAATGCTAAAAAACAAAAATTCATTACCTCATTTTTAATCTTTTGTTCAATCTTTAATGCTGAGGGCCTGAAAACTACAAAATGATTTTCAGTTAACATTTTCAGAAAACATCTGAACTACATACCTTCCCAGAAAGTGAGGGCAAATGTTTTATGTAATAATGGATGTCCAGTATTTTTGTCTGGCTCTATTTCTTTGGTCCATTTTACAGCACCCTGGATGTAATTCGGCCTATCGATGTTACCAGGACCAATCATTTTGTGTATTCTACCTATTTTTCCTGAAAAATATATGAAGATGTAAATAACAACAACTTTTGTAAGGATTAGAACATGAAAAAATAAGAGGGTTGACTTTATTACTGAATGTTGGACATGATGGGACAATCTTTAACATTATTATCTAAATATTCAAAAGTGTTTCCTCCTCTCTTTGGCAGTTTGTGACTCACCTATGTTTTCCTCTGTAGCTGGTGCTTTGGCATTTTTCAATAGTTCAATGAGCAACAAAGCCAAGTCTGTCCCACTTTCTCCCTACAAGGTACATTTATCTTTAAATTATGTTTTCTATTATCACTGAATAAAATGGTACATGTAACTTAGAATGTTGTCTTAATCTGTACTAACCTTTATCTTAAATCATTGGGTCTGTAAGCAGAGCCATGAAGTATGTTGTAGAATATGGAAACATTGCAAACACAATGCTTTATAACATTATTCATACAGTTAATCATTTTAAAGAATGGGCATCGATATGGCGAACTTTTTGAACACACGTTTCTCTTAAACCAGTCATGAGGGTTGTCCCAGAAGTAATGCACTGTATGCTCTAACTTTATAGCATAGCATATAGCATATACAGTAAAACCTGTCTTAGTGAACACCTCTCTCTAGTGAACACCTGTCCCTAGTGGACACCCTTCCTACGCACATAGTCCACTGACTTCTGTATAAATTACCCTCTCTCTAGTGAACACCTACCTACAGTGAACGTTTTTTCTTGGCAAAAAAATGTTCACTATACACAAGTTTTACTGTATATAACATATATAAACCAGTCATGAGGGTTGTCCCAGAAGTAATGCACTATATGCTCTAACTTTATAGTATATAGTGTATTACTTCTGGATCAACCCTCGTATATCAGCTACTTTAATTTTTTGGTCAATATAAAACATACCTGGTTTTTAGCAAGAAGTGTTGTAGCTCCTGAATATAAGAGATCTATTGCTTCAACATATTTCTTCTGTGATTTATACCTGTACAAAAGAAACATGACATAACTTTTAAACTATTATCAATTTGGTTCTTTTGTAAATTATATTATTCTTATATTTCTTCTTAGTGTTCTACCTAGGATTTTTGCTCTAATGATTGCAAAATATTGACAAATGTCATTTTCATATTTATCTCATTTCAAATATGAAAATGGGGTTGAAAGTGGGTGCAAGCTAATTTCAAAATCTCAAGAGGGTGTGGCATCATTTTTTTCTATCCTATCGACATGCCAAAAACCATTTAACTACATACTAATTGGAGTTTCAAAATGCTGCAAAACAATAGAATCCATAATGTCAATTGTTTCAATTTTACACTTAGGACAAACCAGGTAGAATAGTGACCTAAATCACAGAATTTTGCCGTACTTTGAGGGAATTCTTCCAGGGAGATTACACTTTTATGAATTATTCACTCCCGAGCACTTACCATGAAAATCAAACCATAATAAACAAACATTTCAAAGAAATTTTGACTCAAACTTGTGAGAAAAACTTCATGCATACACTGGTATGGAGTAATGAAGCCTTGGAGATATTCATTTTAGTAAATATAATTTACAGGGCATATTGTTTTGCAGTTTGGGAGAGTTTGGGATATTAAAATGTTAAATTTAAGAAAATATGGCAAATTCACTACCTATCAGTTATTTTTGTGTCCCTTTTAGTCCAGATGACAGTTTACCTCAAGTCAAATGACAAGCAAAATCTACTGAAATGTTTCAAGCTGGTCGTGTTCTTTTACATTTTTGAAAATTTCTGAATTTTACATACAGAATTCGAATTGACCTTTTTCCATATAAATGGAAAAATAGATGGCATCATGGGTGTTGGTAGGGCTAGAATACATGAAAATATATTGCCAGAGTCACTTAATTTCTTGATCTAACAAGGACTTCAATTTGGATCAACTTAATACACCATTGGAATGAACTATATGATCTTATTGACATGTGGGCCACATGTGGATTGTGATTTCACATTAAAATTGTGATCCTTGTAAGAGTAAATGAACGTTTAAAGGTTTTTCAACATTGTGTCAAAATGGATTTAGCCCGACCTTTTTTCGACAAGTGGAAAATAATTAGAATTTGAATAAAGGTAAATAAATGCAGATCTCCTAAAATTTCATTAAAAACGAGATTTTAACGAGATTTCAAAGCTATATGGAAAAAGGACCATTGAATGGTATAAAAAATGGTGAACAAGAAATTAGATCTACAGTAAATTAATAGAAGTTATCTTTATGTCAATACTCCAAGACATCGTTGATTTGAGATTCCATAATCTCTTATAATGTCTAGAAAGATATACCGTAACATATATTAACCTGTATTTCCTTGTATGCAGCTTCATACCAGAGCATGCATGATACATTTCTCATAAATTTGAGTTCAAATTTCGATTAGTGAAGTAGGGGTATTTTCCGCCAATTGTGTTTCCATTTTTATGATAAGTGCTCAGGGTTGCAATAAATCATGTGCGCGAAATATGAAATTTACAATCCGGCAATGTGTGCCATGTTTTTTTCGAGTCAGTTTTTTAGTTCCATGGAATTTTGTGTTTTACACAAGTTCCATGGAATGGAAAAAGTTTCGAAAAGCAGAAGGCCGAAGCATGAAGTAAAATCACATCAAGATTTTATTTTTTTATATTTTGTTTCATTTGTGCATTCTGTCCTTGAGATAAGAGTGACATCTATAGACGAATGCGTTTCGGAAGGACCATTCTATTTATTTTGAAAAACCATCAGATATTTAGACTGAGAGACCCACTGACTGACTGAGAGTCACGGACATCTAATACGTTCTTCGAATTGCCCTGGAACTATATTTATACCAGGACTGGCATCCAGATCCAAGTATTTTTTAAGACCGCCGACTCTCGTTGGGCTATTTATCCCTATTGACTCAGTTGTTCATATAAATTTACGTACCTTAGATGCTTTGTAATCGACGTAGATAGAAAATATTGATTCCTAAATTGTTCTGGAAAGCGATAATTATAACTAAATGTACTTTGAACAGGTCGACTGACAAAAAAGCCGGGCTTCTGGCACGTCTCGTTCTCGCTCTCAAACAAAACGTGAAGAACGTGACGTCACTGCCGAATCATAGCATTCAAAATAAGTAGCGTTTAAATCCCAATACCAATACCATATGTAATATATCGGTGGTCTAGGGGGAGAATCCTCGCTTAGCACGCTGGAGGCCCGGGTTCGAATCCCGTACTCGCTCTCTTGTTTTTTTCGAGGTCGTTATCTTCATCGTCTAGTTTACGAATACCAAATGTCGATGTGGTGTTTTAATTGATAAATACGAATTCCTTACACATTTCGTTATCTTATTGTGAAATAGCAAACTAAGAGATATCTTTACTCGCTAGGAATTAACATAATATTATTTGAAGCGATTTTAGAAAATTTTGAAACCGCCATCTTGGTAATATTGATGACGTGATCACCATCGGTCAAGGTCAGGTCAAAAGTCATCCATCTTGCCATTAGCCCCGCGGATTGTTACCAGTCGACAAAAAACGATGAAATCACGTTGAAAATAAAATATACACTTTAAAATTGAGGCTGATCGAATATGACAAGACTCCATTGAATACAGCTGTGCAATTTACAGTCACCAAGATGAGCTAATTTCGGAGAGATTCGGGAATTAAAAAAGGTAAGCACTTCCGGTTTCCCAACTTAAAAGTATTTGAAGTCCCCGAATTTCGCCAGAAACATTCTCTCTGACTGTGCTGAGAGTGGCATTTTTCTGAGGTCATTTTTCAACCTCAAACTGAAAGTGAAATTTACCAATTCTTGGGTGAATTTCAACTAAAATGTTCTGGTTACCTGAAATAAAGAGTTCGGTACATTTGATGAGCTTCATAGTAGTCTCCTTTCTCTACACTAGCATTCAGTTTAGCAAGGACACGTTGCACACCACCGCGATTCGATGCCATTTTCAATCTTTTCTAATTTCTAAGTCTGACCGCAAGCACGACTTTTATAAATCACCAGCTGATAGATAAAATATAGCAAAAGTATATATTTCCTTTATACTCTAGCGTTAATCTAACATTTCTATGCATATTTTGTGATATGTGTGGGTGGTTTTACTTTTTTGAATATTGAAAACAGTTTATTATATGTCGCATTTGCTTTAAGCCTAAGAAGGTCAAAATTAACTAATGCGCATCGACTCTGCGCATCCGAAAATTCTTGCACTCGGTAAGTTTTTCTTCAAATAATATCCCTCTTAACCTTACAGACAATTCGCAACTCAATTTTATCGTGTGGGTATTATTTATTGATCCATGATATATATACTTTGTTCAGATTAGTAAGATTGATAATGTTCTTACCTGCTAGATGGTCATATAAACGCTGTGAAATAAAACCGGAAGTGAAATTCTTTGTTTTTCCACAAGGAGGATTGGCTCCCAGAGTGCACCACCGATATTCTGTCCCATATATGGTAGCGGTGACCTTTGACCTCACAGGTTTCAAAATGGCTTCCGTGCTAAAGAAAACAAGCGGAAACCTGTCACGTGTCAACAAGGTCAAAGGTCACGCTACCATATATGGGACAGAATATCGGTGGTGCACTCTGGGAGCCAATCCTCCTTGGTTTTTCCATGCCCATGGTTTTTCTGAGGACTGGATCCCAGAGTTCCAGGCCTGTCAACTGTCCCGCAATTTGCGTATTTGTCACGCATTTGCTGAAGAATTTGAAGTCACGCCAGTTATTTTTGCGTGACAGAAAATGTCACGCAAATACGCATTTTACCTGATATGTTTGTTTGTTTATATCCAATGTTTTGCGGTGCCACCTTATATAGTCTCTGGTGCTACTTTTCACTTTGTAGTATCACTGATGTGGTTTACACTGCTGTTTTGTAAGAGTTTATTTTTATTTTGTTTTTGATTTTACTTAAAATCCTTATCTACATATAACTAATGTTTTATTTACACTTAAAATCTTCTGCTTTTTATGATGTAGGTGCGTAATACATCATGTAGCCTTTTGTTCATGTCCTTGTTTAGTGTTTGATTTTCACCTGCAAGGGTTTTCAGATCCATTACACATGTGTTTCCACTCTCTAGAAGTATACAGTCTGCATCATATAGCATTTTATCCCTTAGATTCTGGAGTTTGTCGCATTTAAATAGGTAGTGGTCAATTGTCTCTGGTTGGTTGCAGTTTAGACAGAGATTTGTACTATGTATAGGGTTTATTTTCTTCAAGTGGCTGTTAAGCCTGGTGTGACCACTGAGAAGTTGATTCGTAATGCAGAATGTTCTTCTGTCAGATTCACCTAGCAAAGGCCTCTTTCCTACAGACTCAATAGAGCGTTGGATATATCCTACTTTTTTCGAGTTGTTGTATTGCCTTTGCCATTTGGACTTTGAAGTTGCGTGTATTTGACTGTATATCTCTCTTTTGATAATTGTCAAGCAAAAATATTTCTGTAGAAAAATTTCTAAAAAAGATCGTCTACACAGCAAAAATACGAACGCCGGAAAAAAATGTACGCATTTCGTTCGGACTTTTCACGCGAATTACGTATATGTCACGCAATCCGTTCGAAATTTTTCGTACCTACCCCCCCCCAGATTTGGACCAAGGTGTCCACATTTTGAGGAGAGGTGTTCAACATTTCCAAGTCACTCATGTTAGGTGTTCCCAAGTTGACAGGCCTGGAGTTCCAACTCATATATTGACTAGATAGAAAGAAACACGGGAACTAAAGAAAGGAGAAAAAGGAGAATAGTTTTAATCTCCAATCAATTTTTTGGTGCTGATTTCAAAAGGAAAGAACACATGAATGAACTGCAAGATAAAATGGCCGATATTCTTGCGATGTCCAACGATGAAAATGTCTTTATTGTCTGATATTAAAACTGGCAATAAATTTCATAATTAGTAATTCAAAAGATAAGCTTTGGTTTTCTAAAATTTTTATTTGGAAATAAGACCAAAACTCACGATTCAAATTCTGAAGTGAAAATATGGGGGCCGCTTCATTTTGTATTTCCAACATGACTCCATCACACCCAGTGATCAAAAAAATGAATGTGGGGGGATGTGGCGATTTCTTGCACCACCAACTGCTACAAAAGCGTTACTTTGAGCTGACACTTAGACTTGATTGTGTGTGAGAAGAATTTCCAATTTCCATGTTTTATTTCACCAAAAGTATACCCTGCGTTCAGAGTCTAGTTAAACTACACTCTGCCTAGTAGAGACCATATTACAGTTTAGTAGCCCCGCCCCCACGACGGGTACCGGCGACAGTTTGGGTAAATCACTTTTGACCTACGCGCTGACCTTCCACCAATCAGCGAGCTTGAAGAAACATACGCCAAATGCGTTCTAATTAATTATGCGCATGTCATTGGTCAATTCCGGACTCAACGATGACGTCAGAAGGAATGACCATATAAAGAACGTTGGTCAAATTTGGCCGACGAACACTGATTGGCGCGGTGAGTTCACAGGTTTATTTTAGTTTGAAAGAGTGAAAACGAAGCTCTCTTTTAAGAAGTGAAGTCAAACGAATGCAAAGGGTACCAAAAGTAAAAACGTTGTGAGAGCTCCATCTATTAAGACATTCAAAGTTTCTCCAACATGTGAATCTGACACCAGGGTATATTGCCTTAAAGAACGAAAAGGAGTGTCTTAGTTTAGGCACATCATGTGTTGAAGTTACCCTAATATAAAATGATGTTGACATTTAACCTCCTGATAGTACACATTTATCTGAAGATAAACTCATAGCATCGTCTAATAATTATGTAATCCATATGTACGTACATTTGAAATCATAGATGTCTAGATTTCTGTTCAAGTACCAGATTCTCCAGATTTTTCAACTTGAACAGGTAAGATTATTTAAGATGTTTTATATGTGATTTACAAAGTACTTTGAAAGTTCAATCATGATAAACACAACATCAGGTTTTAACCATTTCATTATTTCTATGTACTTTGTAAATTGCATGGTTGTATTCAATTGTTATTTGTTTATTGACTGTTTCATACTCTTAATTCAAAATACATGTAGTTGCAAAAGTATTTTATGTGATATGTCCATTGCAATATGAATTGTTAAATGTAATTTAATTTTTGTTCTATTTCAGAAAATGGCAGACGAAGAAATCATAATCGAAAGTTCCACTAACTCCCCTGCTACCCCACAGATCAGCAATCCAGGGACACCGCGGTCTGGGGAGGACATAGTCAGGAATACACCTCCTCCCCCTGCTCTTCATCTCGCTGCTGGAGGAATGCGTAATACCCCTCCCCCACAGCCTAATATGCCAGGTGTCCCTCAACTTCAACGATTTCCGCAATCTCAACCCTCTCAAAGTAAATACGCATCATTACTAGCGGTTATAGAAGATATGGGAAAAGACATTCGACCAACTTATTCAGGAAGTAGGACATCGGCAGAAAGACTAAAACGTGGAATTGTACATGCAAGGATTTTAGTGAGGGAGTGTCTAATGGAATGTGAAAGAAGTGCAAGGTCATGATGGTATACGTATACATACTTTTGATACACCGTTAACAAGGAAATAAATGAAACTCATGTTGGATTATCAAGACAGATCTATGAACATATTCGGAAAGTGAAATTTTCTGTTGTGAATAAGGAAATAACAGAATTTGGAAATGATTGCGATAGAATGGTTTCATAGGAAATACTTAGGAACTTAAAGCAATGTGTACTGTATGTGCGTAAATGTAGTTTGTGTATTCCATAAACATTGATAACTGTACTGGTGCAATCTAGGAGCAACCCATTTGACTTTCACGGAGGATTGACTTAAATTAAGCATAAATGAACAGATGATTGAGATACATCACATCACATTATAATGAAAGTGGAACCCAAAATAAATCCAGTCTTGTTTGATTTTATAATTCAATGCAACATGAACATTTCATCATCATGATTGAACATTTCCTGAATTCATACAGTGCTGTGAATTTTTTATATTGAATTTTCACGGTACACTTTTACTTGATAGATCAATGTGTGGTATTTACATATAAACTTAATGATTTTAAAAATAAATGTAACTTTTGTATAATAAAAACATTATTACCTTCTTGATTTATGCAGTATTCTGAAAGGACTTTTTGGGCCATATATATCATACTGTTACAATCAGTCCTAGGACTGTCATGAATAATTTCTGGAAACAATTGATTGATTGGGTTTCGTTTTTATATAATGAATTCAATCTTCAAAAAATGAGAATCAAACTTAAAAAAGGGTTTGGCAGTAATTTGAATACCATTTTAAATGCTTCATAACTTAAAAGTATATTCCTTAACAGACCATTTCCCACCTGATATGGTAGCTATAACCATATATAGAAGTGATGTAATCAACTCTCAACTTTTGTAACAGTATAGGAATGTAGCACAAAATAACTTCTTGACAAATGGTCCTTACTTTATGTGCAAAAATATTTTGAAGGCTTGTCAACTCAGAATTAATGAAGAGATTATCTGAAGGATTAAATCCAAGACAAAATTGAAATAGAATATTCAGCTGGTTTTGTCCTTAATTCCTCCTTGCCCAATGCTACCTAATGCAAATTTTAAAGTCAATGTCATCACTTCCTGTCTTAAATCTTTAAAGATGGTAGCCTATTTGAAATTAACAGTACTCACCATATCAAAATATTTTGCTTTTAATATGGAAAGTATATACTGTATATGGTTATAGCTACTAAATCAGGAGAAAAATGGTCTGGCAAGGAATATTCCTTCAAGTTTGTTACTTTTTTAAATGCCTTGACATGATTCAAAATGGTGGCCCTTCTTTCAAGTCTTTATTGGGCTCACATGATAGGCCAATATGCGTAATCGTCCATTTATCCATCTGCACATCTGAAATAACGTGGGTACTGTGATATGAGCGTATTTTTCCCAAAAGGAGACACTACAGCCTTGTTATTATTTCTAGCATGAAATGTTCAAATAAAAATGAGCATTGCACATTTGTAAATTGTAGCACACTCCCAATATGTCCAGAACAACACTCCATACAGTAGATGTAGAATATAGTGCAGATTCTGTAGAATGGTGTCCTATAGGTGGCAGTCAACACATCCTGGCATGTGGGACTTACCAACTAGCAGATAATCCAGAAATTAAGGTTGGTCTATTGAATAACTGTTATGAGTTTGAATCTGACTAAATTGACACATCTTGATTCATCACTGATAGAACGTAGCGATTTGGCGTGGGAACTGACAATGAAATTGACAAAGGATGAAAGGGTAGCCACATCAACTATATCTCTCTCACTGATGTAGCTGCATTTTATTGATATACTATCAATATGAGCTCAAATCCTGGACCAAGTGCCCCTACCATGGGGTAGGAAAAGTATGATTACAGAAAGTTCTATCAATTAATCATTCTGAAAATTCCCTGCTGTATAAGCCATATAAATTGTGTAAGATTTTCAAGTGATTTCCTCTTAAGAAAAAGATACAGCATTTTTATCAGAACTTCTGGATCGGCCTTTGTAGATATAGAATTGTCATTTGTAACAAATACATCTCACATTGGTGTCTGCATTGACCTTAGATGCATAGATGCACCAGTAGGGTCTTTATTTATAAATCTGATATAGAAGGTACAATTGTCCAACTCATCAGAGCTGGGGCATCCCCTCTAGCATTGACCTAGCTAATAGAATTGTCACATCAAACATATGTCACACTGATGCCACTTTGGCTTTTTTGTCATAATGTAAAACATCGAATACATCTCAAACTAAAAAACTGTTAAGAGAATTCGCTTCAAGGATGCTATGTTAGATAAAAATAACTTCTTATCAACCAGCTTATATTCCCAAAGAACTGTACAAAAGTCATATATTTTAAGAACTCCTTAAAAAGCTTCTATGTGATTTTCTATATGTCATAAAGTGTTTTCAGCTTCAAATAAATTATGTTTCATTGAGTGCATTATTGCGCTTCCAGGAAGGGGACCAAGAATCTGATGTTCCCAAAGCGCGACTTGGGCGACTTTTGCTTTACAATTTCAACACTTCACAACCCAAGACATCACTTACTGAGATATATAGACTAGATATGCCAGCTGTACTAGACATGAAATGGTGCCATAATAGCCTATGTGACAGGCCAACCCTAGCTGTTGGGAATGCCTCTGGAGAGCTCCTGTTATATGGGCTACACGATATAGATGGGAGTAGTATATGCGAGCAAATGGAATGCTTTCAAGCTGTGGAGGATGGACTATGTTTATCACTTGATTGGTCAACAGGAAAATATCCTAGGTGAACAAATTTCTCAATAAGATGCGAAATAATCACTTATCTGGTCAAAAATTTTATTGATTTTTTTTATGTCACCACCACTGACCACAAGTGGTAACAAAGTGCTATAGTCTCTAACTTTTTTTTGGACGGCAACCAGCGGATGGTGTTTAGTGTTTTTTGGTGGTCCGTGTTTGTAACAAATAGCAAATTATAATGTTTTGCATGTTAATGCCTTGTTGAATTTCCTCCTGAGTATTAGTCAAATCATAGACTATCAAGAATTGCCTTCTCCAAATTAAAAGCTATAAACCAGACTGTTTAATTCAATCTGAAATTCTTATTTTCCAAATGCACCTCATTAATTGATCATCTTTAACCAGGATTCAGATTTTTAATTTCTGAGGATTGTAATGCTTTTAGCCAAACACCAGAAATCGTGTTCAGTGACTCCAAAGGAATGATTGGTATAATAGATGCCACTAGCAGTCCCAAAGTGCAACCTATCAAATGGAAAGCACATGATTTTGAGGCTTGGATTGCAGCCTATGATTATCACGACACAAACATTCTCTATTCAGGTATGATGGATAATCTTGCATTGTTAGTATATTTTATGTGTGTAGTTTGAAACAGTGTCAATAGATGGCAATGTAGTGCTGAGTCGAATAAATTCAATAGTATGTTACAATTTCAGAAAAATAAATTGCATCGAAAATGTAAAAAATGATTTACTATTGATGCGAGATGTGTACAAGATGAAATTGTTTCTAGTTTCACTGTCATGATGCATTTTAAGTTTCAACAATGGAAACACTCCTGATCAGCCGTCTTGTTTTATACCATCTTATCGAGTTAACAAGGCCTTAATGTGATAAATGCATCAATAACTGGGAGATACACCTTGAAGATGTAGCAATAAATGTCACTCATCAACTGATTTATGAAGATCAATTGACACTTTTGTTGTCTAGTCCTTTATTCTCCTTTGCTAATTGTCCTGTATACATTAGTTCAAATGAAGTCAGTCATGATATCAGTTGTTATGATATTCACACATAGCTTGGCAATGGCAAGGTGTGTCCAATTCAAACCAATCCGAACACAGTATTTCATAAAACTGCACTGCATTATAATTAACCCAACAACACCTTATTCAGAGGAATGATTCATCCACAATGCACTGAGTCCAGGGCTTCAATCTTTAAATATCGTTGTTGTCATAATTATGGTTTATGTCTTGCATCTCATATTCTTGCTTACTATACATGTATGAGGATTTATGATGTTGAATTTAATTACATACAAGAGGATTAGGATTGGTCACACATGTATGAAGATATTGAATGTTTGTTTATATGTGAGCATGTTAACACATATGTTGATGCTGATTGTTTTTTTACATCTATGAAGATGTTGTTTGCTTCTACAAGTATGAGGATGTAGATGATTGTTCACATGTATGAAAATATTCATTGTTTACATGTTTGAGGATGTTGTTTGTTCTTATATGTGTGAGAATATTGATTGTTCACATGTATGAGGATGTTATTTGTTTTTATATGTGTGAGAATATTCATTTCTTACATGTATGAGGATGATATGGTCTCCATTTTTTGTGACGGCGGTTAGTGTCTAACAAATGGTGGTGACATTTTGCATGTTAATGCCTTTTTTCTAAGTGTATGAGGATGTTGATTGTTTACACGTATGAGGATGTTGTTTCCTTACATGTATGAGAATATTGATTGTTTACATGTATGAGGATGTTGTTTGCTTACATGTATGAGAATATTGATTGTTTACATATATGAGGATGTTATTTTTCTTTATATGTGTGAGAATATTGATTTTTTACATGTATGAGGATGTTATTTGTTTTTTACATGTATGAGAATATCCATTGTTTACATGTATGAGGATTATATGGTCTCCATTTTTTGTGACGGCGGTTAGTGTCTAACAAATGGTGGTGACATTTTGCATGTTAATGCCTTTTTTCTAAGTGTATGAGGATGTTGATTGTTTACACGTATGAGGATGTTGTTTCCTTACATGTATGAGAATATTGATTGTTTACATGTATGAGGATGTTGTTTGCTTACATGTATGAGAATATTGATTGTTTACATGTATGAGGATGTTGTTTGCTTACATGTATGAGAATATTGATTGTTTACATGTATGAGGATGTTGTTTGCTTACATGTATGAGGATGTTGATTGTTTACAGGTATGAGGATGTTGTTTCCTTACATGTATGAGAATATTGATTGTTTACATGTATGAGGATGTTGTTTGCTTACATGTATGAGAATATTGATTGTTTACATGTATGAGGATGTTGTTTGCTTACATGTATGAGAATATTGATTGTTTACATGTATGAGGATGTTGTTTGCTTACATGTATGAGAATATTGATTGTTTACATGTATGAGGATGTTGTTTGCTTACATGTATGAGAATATTGATTGTTTACATGTATGAGGATGTTGTTTGCTTACATGTATGAGGATGTTGATTGTTTACATGTATGAGGATGTTGTTTGCTTACATATATGAGAATATTGATTGTTTACATGTATGAGGATGTTGTTTGCTTACATGTATGAGAATATTGATTGTTTACATGTATGAGGATGTTGTTTGCTTACATGTATGAGAATATTGATTGTTTACATGTATGAGGATGTTGTTTGTTTTTACACATATGGTGATATTCATATACACACATATGATGTTGATTATTTACATGTTTGCTTTTACACGTATGAGGATGCTGATTTTTTACATCTATGAGAATATTGATTGTTATACATATTTGAGAATGTTGATTGTTTACATATACATATATGTGAATGTTAATTGTTTACATGTTTGATGTTAACATGTACATTGTTTACTTGCATGAGGATGTTGGCCATTTATATTTGTGAGGTCATTGTTTGTTTATTTATGTAGTGATGCTCATCATATTTTGATTGTTTTTATCTATGGGAGGTTGATTGTTTATATAGGTACATTATATTGATTGCTTATAGGGGGAGATGATTGCAAGTTCAAAGGCTGGGACAAAAGAATGGAGACAACTTTCCCAACATTTACTAGCAAAAGGTAACACTTACATTACAATTCTTAAAATAAGAACAGTATCTGAAAATACAGTATAAATCTGCCCTTTTTAGCCATCCTGGCATCGATTCATTTTTCCTTTTACTATATGTTTTTAGAAATGTGTCAAAATAATATATGTTGCATTATCCTCCTAATGCAGGGCCTATGGAAGAAGAAATAAATATGTGGATAACACTAAATATGAATATCGTTATAGTTACTATTTATGTTTGAATGGTGTTTTATTATATCCAATGAAAATATTAATAACAATGTTGTAGGCACAGCATGGGCGTGTGCAGTATACAGAGTAGCAAACACAGGGACAATATCATAGCCACTGGAAGGTAAAATATTTTGAAATGATAGATCACAACATTTAGCGATCAATGATTAGATCTGCATTTGTTATAATGTAAATCTACTGGATCAACTTAGTCCAAGGAAATTTTCAAAATGGCATCCAAATTCAAAATGGCCACTGCTTGATGGATATGATACATACTAGAAGTATGATTATAAATGTTGCAAATTTCTTTTCAATTCCCCAATCATAATAATTAACAATTTTAATAAATAAAGAAATAAACATAACAGCAAAACACTTAAATTAACTACCGTTCTACAATTTTCAATTTATCTTCCAGCTATGATGAAAATATATTATTATGGGATTCACGTAATTGGAAGCACCCCCTCAGTGAGACGTCAGTAGGGGGTGGGGTGTGGAGACTAAAGTGGCATCCCAAGGATCCAAATATCTTACTAGCAGCTTGCATGCACAATGGATTCCATGTATTAGACTGCACTACAATATCAGGTTAGGGTTCTATATTCAATCAGGAAATATGTTAAATTCTCACAGCCTTTAATTTGAATATCTGCTTCAATATGCTCATATTGTTTTTTAATATGATGCTTTGCCAGTCATGTTAATTTAAACACAACACTTAAAGTGTCATTAATTTGGATATGTTTAATCCGAGGTTCAAAACTCCCAAATCTGAGCATCTCCTAATCTAAATACTTTTATCTGGTCCTAACATGTCTTAATGAATGTTGTTTCTATTTTGTATAATAGAGGACTCACAGCCCATAATTGCGTATTATATGAACCACACATCACTGGCTTACGGAGCTGACTGGTGCTATTTAGACACAACTCCAACAAATATGAGTCACCCTGTAGAACAAGATATCAATAAACAAAGTGACTCTGAACATTGTGATACAGGGGAACAAGAAGTGAACTCTGTTTGTCAAATGGTAGATCCCAAAAACGATAATCCAAATCAATGCTCAAGTGAGGTGCAAAAGGAGAAGAAATGTGCCAATAGTTTTATCGCAACCTGCTCTTTCTATGACCATGTATTACATATATGGCGGTGATTTTGTATGTGAGTATTGTAATTAAGAATAAATTTTGTTTACAGTTCAGTTGTGTTTGATAGTTAAGATTGTTATGAAAGTATATCAGACATTGAGGGCAGCATTTTCAAAAAATATATTTCATCCTCAAAATTCAAAAAATATTGTAAATATTCAGGCATTTTGGGGGAAAATAAAGCCTAAGCATTGAGAAAGGCGCTTTTGTCAAAACTATAGAAGGCACTATGTAATTGCTGTCCTGTTATTATGTCTCAACCTGTCAAGTGGTGGCATATTGCTATGGTCTCCAGGTTTTTGTGAACAGTGTCTGGCATTTGGCAGTTGGTGTCTGTAACAAATGGCAGGTGATGATCTATTGCATGTTAATGCCTTGTATTACTTTTGTGCCTACACCAGCATCTATCCATTGCTTCATGGGGCTAAGATATTCTTTGTTTTCTTTGTTCAAACACTATTTTTGGGTTTTTAGACATTGTCTTTATTTTGAAATAAGAAGTTGTTGCATGGCGATTTTTTTAATGTTTTAATATTTCACCAAGTTAATATAGTTTAGGTGTCTTGAAATATATTCAAATACCAACATCCAAACAAGATGAGAATGTTACAAACAACATCATCTCATTGATTAATGATTTCGGTTTATCAATGTCTGATTACAGAGGAATCCACTCAGAAGCAACATTGATAAATTACATTTCAATCAGCCTTAAAGGCAAGATTTAAAGCTACAAAAAGATGTAACATTACATTACTGATCAAATGTACACGCATGGGTTTTTACTAATAACAATGAAACTTATCACAAGATTAATTCTCATCGCAGTGATTTTCCTCACAATTTTCATGTTTTGTATCATTACTTTACAATATCAAATAGAAGACATTAAATATCAGTTACAAGAAACAAAGAATGAAAAACAAAATTCTTATCCAAATTTAAATCAAAATGACAATAAAGTGTTATGGCATGAAGACACTAAACCTAAAAAGGATCGAGGCTCAAGTCCTTTACTACCAGTTTATAAAAGCATCAGGGATATACCTAGATATCAGGAATATATTTATGAACCTTTTCATGTAAAGCCACCATTGTTTATATCAAAAGATGACCGAGATATATTTTACAAAAATCCATGAGCAATATGGAACCAGTTTCAAAAGATAAACTTAGAGGAGTTATTGAAATTATTGAATTATTAAATGAGAGTTGAAAGGCAAATGATGGACTGTACTCCCGGTTATTTTCACTTGCTACTTTGGCACTTTTCGCGAGTTTTGGAAAATTCGAGAAATATAATAGCCGCGAAATTCCAATAGTTCTAATTCACAAAATATAATAATCTCGAAATTCCTGGGAATTAATACTATCACTCAATGTTGACAATATTCTCATCGACCTGAGCTGGCAATAAAAGGTGGGGTTGTTGGGAGGTTACTGTATTCTTACATTTCGCTTTATGAAAGATTGTAATAAAATGAACAGTCACAAAATGGCTCAAAAAAAATTATGATGAAGGGAAAAGCATGGCTGATATTGAAATGGTGTTCTTTTGCATTCTTAAGGAATCGCCAACTTAAAAAGAGAAGCAGGACTATGGTCACAAATCTGCTAAAATTAATAGCTGTGAAATTTCAAAGAAGCTTGAAATTAGCAAAATATAATAGTCGCGAAATTTCAAAATCGCAAAAAGGTGAAATATAATAGTGTCAAATATTATTGGGAGTACAGTATAGTAAAACCTGTCTAATCTGAAAGCCACTGTCATCTAGGTTTTTTAACATGGAAGTCAACATTAATGAGACTGAAAAAGTGTTCAAATTAAGAGGTCTTCAGATAAGATGCTGTATATGATTTACTGTACACATCCATCATAAACTTTATTATTATCCATTAATCACATTCACTGCTGACTTGTATTTAGACTCCTAAGGCCATACATAACTTAAAAAATGTAACATCAGTGGACATAAGCTGCATGGATAAATTACATCTCAAAGGCTTCATAAATTAAACTCAAGATTTAAAACTACAAAAAAGGTGTAACATTAGTGGTCAATGGCTGCACACAAATCAAGTTTTATATACGAATAACAATGAAACTTATCACAAGATTAATTCTTATAGCAGTGATTTTCCTCACAATTTTCATGTTTTGTATTATTACTTTACAGTATCAAATAGAAGACATTAAATATCAGTTACAAGAAACAAAGAGTGAAAAACAAAATACTTATCCAGGTTTAACTGAAAATAAAAATAAAGTAGTGGAAAATGGAAATAAGTGGCATGAAGACTCTAAACCTAAAAAAGATAAAGCCTCAAGTGCTTTTCTACCAGTTTATAAAAGCATTAGGGATATACCTAGATATCAGGAATATGTTTATGAACCTTTCCATGTAAAGCCACCATTGTTTATATCAAAAGATGACCGAGATATATTTTATAAAAATCCTCAAGCCATGAGCAATATGGAACCAGTTACAAAAGATAAACTTAGAGGAGTTATTGAGATTATTGAAGATGGGAGTTTTAATGTAGAGTTTAAAAATATAAAAATGGCATACGAGCCAGAATTTAATTGTGGATGGAATAGCAACAGGTCATTCTTTTACAAAGAACGGGATTTTTCGAAACGTTCTAGAAATGTCCGTGGACTTTTTCCACTGAATGTTCCAGAGGGATATGCCTTTCAGCTTTTTTTAAATGGAGTTCTTCCAAAAATTATTCAGGCTTTAAATGTTATTAGATGCCCAGATGTAAGGCTACTTTTAGAGACACCTGTTGATGGTATTATATATGAGATTCTTGATAAATTGAATCTCACAAATCAGGTTGTATTTCATGCTGAAAAGGATCCAACTCCATATGTTGGAGATCACATGATATTTGGATGTATAGCCCCTCCTCTACACCCTCAGCTCTGGCAAGCAATGAGGCACCATCTGGGTGTCAGTGATGAACAAAAGTATAACCAAAATCATGCAACTGTGGTGTTAATCACACGTGATCACGCTCGTAACAAGGGACGTGAAATTCAAAACACTGAAGCAGTTCAGAAATATTTATCAGAAAGATATAAAAACAATTTCAAAATATTCAATGGTGGCATGAACCTGGAAGAATCTCAAAACTTCTTTAGTCACACTAGAATTATTTTAGGAGTGCACGGTGGTGCATTTTTCAACCTTTATTTTGCTCCGAAGACAACAACAATAGTTGAGATTGTTCCAATGAATGATGATGGATCTGTTATACCCCCTAGTTTGACTAATTCACATACTATTGTTTGGATGATGGCTAATATGATTGGTCAGCCATATTGGAGGATCAGAGCAAATCCTTTGGATAGCAAAGGAAATCTTGAAGTTGATATTGACAAACTGGATGCAATTCTTAAAACAATTGATAATTCATGAAAATTAGCCTTCATTTAGAATAGGTTGAGATTTTCAATTGAAATTCGAAAGTTAAATTATACTTCTCATTATTTATCTCAGTTTGACTTGCAGTTACACTTAAACCTGTGTAAGTGGAACACCTTTGGTACCTCTTAAAAGTGTTGCACTTGGGAGTTATTCCACTTACAAAGGTTCATTTAACAATAAGTGAATAGGCTGCTGAACTTCGAAAAGCATTCCACTTATGGAGTGTTCCGCATACAGAGGTTTCCACTTTTTACTGAATATTAATTCACATTTTGAAGAAATGCATGAAAGGGTCTAGTGCACTTTCCATTATGATTTCCCCATGAACAAAATGAACCATTTTTAGGTGTAACATAAAGAATACAATGTCACATAATACTGTGGAAAATATTTAAGCGTTTGAACCCACATGGGCTGAGGTTGAGGTCATTAAGTTCAGCAAGGGTGTACTGACTTGCCATTGGATGTGCTCCATTGACTTAACATGTGGATATCGTCAGATTCCATTGGAGGCCATCGGTTTCTATTGATTTTCATAAAAATACCTAAAATACACTATGACCTGAATCGATTGCAAATTAAATTGTTTCACAATATGACACAAATGGTATATCACATCAGATGTGCAAATATAAAGTTTGCAATCGATTCAGGTCATACTTCAAATTAAAAGATTATACATTTTTTCATCATTTTTTCCTACAAAATGGCTATAGAAAAATGCTTCAAAAGCAACTTTTACACTTATGAAATCCCATACAACTTTGTAAATCCAAAGATTATACTGTTATGTTTCATTAATTAATAACATATTTGGATAAGATGTAGGGATATATAGGATGCAAATGGATTTTGACAGACACAAAATGACTTCCTGGTTTGGCATCTCTACCCCTGTGCACTTTATGATTGAATATTGGCCCTAATAAGTGGCCCATTCATCAATACAGTGCTGAATATAGGTCAACAAGATACTAGTGTAGATATAAATGTAATAATAAAAGCAGTATATTTATTTTGAAAAATTAGATGATTTTATTTTTGTTCATGGGGAGATCATAATGGCGGGTGCACTAGATCCTTTTAGTAAGTCAAAAGACTATTTAAAGTGCTGTAACATTGTGACTATCAGTCTAATGGTCATGAACTATGATAGACTGGTAGAAAATTGAATGATGTACAACTATGCCATATATCAGGGAGTAATTTTCTAACATGACAAAGATACTAGGAAATTAGTAGGAGGATTTCCATTTTTGACCACCCTGTAATATGTTTGAATACGAGGAAAATTTCATGAAGAAAAATATCAAAAAACTTTGAAATGAGAACATTTGTCTCTGAACTTATTGAACGACCTGGTAAGCTTTGTATTTAATACTTGAATTTTTACAGTATATGTACAATGTTTATTCAGTGACAGTGCTATTTTCTTACAAAAATAGTGACATTAGGAATAGACATATTATTGTGGTCAGGTTTTAATGAGAACTGTGGTCAGGTTTTAATTAGAAATGACATCAAATAGAACAGTAGAACAATATCTGGTATATTATTTAGAACTTAAATTTTCAAAAGATATCTCGTTTTCACAGAATCAAAGCTCCCATGAAATAATCTAGTATATATTTGTCTACACAATTGGTTATGTCTCTTCCTAAGCACAACTACATTATTGTACCTTGACTAAAAACATCATCACCATAACATTCTTCTAATGTCACTAAGCACTTAGTGCTATAAATCGATTTTAAGTATGTACTTATGAATGTATTACCTGTGTTTAAAATTTCAATATTGTCATGTTTATTTCTTTCCATTTCTCCTAATCTCAAATAAATATCAGATTTACTGATATTTTCACTCAAACAACAATGTGGAACTCACACCCATTTTCTTCAATACTCGCTCAATTTTCCCTGTTCATTGTATTTTCCATAACAGTAGTGATATTTTATTGTTGAACTGTTGTATTAATTATAACAACTTCAAGTCCATAGACACATGCTTCAGACTTATTAGCAAACCTTCTCAAGTGATCAAATATTAGTATTTCCATGTATACATTGTCTCCATCATTTCTGCAAAACTTACAGGGGAACTTTAATGTATGATAAAAAAATAATGAAATTTGCACTTTCGTTACATCTATTTTTAGTAAGTAATTGTTTGAGGATGTAGGATATTGTTATATAATTTATGAGTATATATAATACCTATTAATATTGGATTTGAGTTTTATTGATTTTCAATTGTTGTGTAATTTCTATTTGTGTAATGTTTGGTCTGGATATACAGTGTACAAAGAAACCAGACTCTGTATTGTAAAATCGGTCCGTAAAATCTTCAAGATCAGTTTACTTCAAAATAATGAATTTTACCAATGTATTTTATAAACAAAAAAGTAAGTTAATTCATTGGAGATTATTAGCAGGTTCATGGAAGTTAAAAAAACGAAATGTTTATTTTGTGTTGTTTCTTGTATTATGACAACAAATCCACGATATAATTAAGATTTCAAAGGAATTCTCTGCGTTGCACTAACAAATATACAGTATAGTAACACTTAAATATTTGGCTTGGTGGCTATGGTACAAATACAACAAATAAATGTTTGAATTCCACCAGCAAATATGTAAATAAAAGTTTTTCCTGAGATTTCAACCTCCTGAGTTCAAAATAAGCCTGGGATAGGGTGGTTCCGTTAAAGGCAGGGTAAATTTTAAATGCCACACAGATATTTTTGGTGAATATGGTGAATTATGAAATAGCGTCACCAGAAAAATTAACCAAGTTTACAATTAATGTAAAATAACCTATATTCATGGCCTTCAGAAAGTAAATGAGAGTAAAATTCAATTTTCTAAAAAAATATAGAAATAAAAATAATTCAAGCACAATCATGGCACTCCAGTGATACTTTTCATTGTTTTAACAGGATACCAATTTAATCATATTTTATACCTCTTTGGTCACATTCTCAATATTTTGTTATTTCTTCAATTTTGTTCAAGTATGTCATGATATATTTTTCAAGAGGGAGTGGCACCCAGTAGCTTTAATTCTGATGGGGTGATCACTGAACTCCTCTATGAGTCACTTAGAACTGCATGCAACACTGTAGTGAATTATAGGGCAGGTTGAGGTCAATAATTAGGTCAATCCATTATGTCCCACGTTAAACCTGTAGAGGATGATTACATAATATTCATATTTATATAAGTTTGAGGGAAATCTTATGTCACTGAGAAACTATTACTTATAGTCTAAGATACTGTATATATCTCCATGTGTAATGAGTGAATAAGTGTGCAAAATGTATATTTAATGCCATTGTGGAAATTTTCTCCGATTGTAACAAATAAAGCATATATTTCTTCTTCCAAAACAATTAATTAAATAATATAAAAAAGCCCAAGTTTTTTTCCTGTATAAGTTCCACATGGATCAAACATGCTTAATCCATTTAAAGGACTGTGTGATTAATCTATGGTGCACATATTTTTATGAGGGTATGTGTAATATAATTGATATATTGTTTTTAAGTCAACACAAGAAACAGGTTATAGTCTCCAACTTTTTTTATGGTGGTGTTTGGTGGTTCGCAACAAATGGCAGGCTGTGATATTTTACATCTTAATGCCTCATATGAAGATTTGATTTAATTAATTTCGTCTTCACATATTATTTGCAAAGGTGAGGCATTGATATCTTCGGAAAAAGCGTATGCTTGTACTCTGTCGTTATATGCACTATGAATCATCCTCATGAGTCAAAGCCTTTATTATGACAAATAATAAGTGTTTTCAAAAATGGGGCTTCTAATTTCAAGTTTGCTTCTGTTGTTTGACACCTTGTAACTAAAACATTGCTCAGAAACTGTGCTCAGAAAGTGACCCATAAATTGACCGTTACTGTAAACCTGGATTTGAAAGGTTATGAATGGTTAATATTTGTCTTAATCTACTACACTAAATTATTTATGTTTAATATTCCCTATCCAGTAAATATAAAACAAAAGTAGTACATAATACATTATATGAATTTATTGATCATGTTTTCTCTATGGGATCTGACAATTAAAAATGCATGAAATAAGTTTTACAGTCCATAATTTTCAAAATTGTTGTTCTATTAATTATTATCTAAGTTCATGGGCTTTAATCACTAAGGTACTTTTGCTATTGATCTTTTGAAAGTCCAGGCCCATGGGGTCAGTTGGATCAACATAATTCAAATCCAAGTATTGTTCCAAAGTTGTCTGTTTGGTGCTCACGATACAAATCAATGGATATCACTATTAGATATATAAATATTATGGGGCCTCACAAATGGATAGTTTCAAATGGTCAGTTTCATTTCATTTTCACTCTTGGTAAAATGAAAATCAAGAGTTTTTAAGGCTATTAAATTGAGTAATACATTATAGAGAATTTGATAGGGGATTTATATAATGCATTTAACGAGACAATTTTTAATATTTTTTAGTTGGTGTGATTCTTCAAGTAGATTTTGTCCATTTTTTGGTCAATTTGAATGGAGTGATTTCCAGAATTGTAATTTTCCAATATTTTATGCATGTTCCTGGCCAAAGCTAGTTACTGCCAAACATTAAGATTTTGAGATATTTACCTTATGTATTAAGTTGAACACAATACCTTTACGTTAATATAATTTAGTTTTCCAATATTGATGTATTTAGGGAAGGTCTCAACATTACATGAAACTTTCAAAATCTTAACATCATAAAAATAAATCTGTGATTAGCCTATTGATCATTTGCAATTAATTTATAGAGAATGATATCTAACTGTATAACCTCTCATCATTTTTGAAACAAATATGATCATGCATTTCACAGTTGCAAATTCTACTCATATATCAGTATCAGTTACATAATTATTTCTGAAAGTTTTGGCACTATCCCTGAGAACTTCAACAGTGCCAAACACCTCAATATTTCTATTGCTCACTTTTAGAAGCAGGATTATCAAAGAAGCAGCAAAAATGAAGACTACAGTGAGCACTGGAGTGATTTTATTATGTTTATATTTAGGTACGATATTTGCTTACTTTTGCTATTTCATATTTATATAAATTCTATATACATGTATTTAAAGTTTTTCATCATTATCAGTTGAATTCTAGATAAACTAATAAAAATAATAAATATGTTTAGGGCATTTATGATAGAACTAGGAAAGGAGCACGTAGGTTATCGCAAACAATTTAAGAAGGTTATATCTTGGATAATGACTATTTTCTGACAATGAAGACAGGTTTATCTTTTAGATCAATTCATTATCTCAAAGAAAATTATATACAGTAAAAATAAAATCAAACATACTCGGAGATATTTAACTAGCAATCAACCCATCAACACACTTTTTCAAAGATGTTGACCCCATTTTCACCAAAAATGCAATCATGTTTAATGCATTACTATTTTCTATTTTGATGTATCAAATAGTTCTTGAAAGAAAAACTTAATTGCTTTAAGATAAGTGTTCCCCATGTTATTTCTCCATTGAAAAATCTCATGCTATCCATTGGTTTCAGTTCATTTTGGTCATCCGAATTCAGTATCTTTAAAGTCCATGGAGCAATCAACTTTTCCTTTTAGGAAATCAAACATGTCTCAAAGCACATTCTAATTATGCATTCTACAATATATTAAAAAGTTGCATTTTTGGTGAAAATTAGGTCAACATTTTTGAAAAAGTATGTTGATTGGTCCATTGCCCCTTCAATATCACTTAGGTCTGATTGACTAAATTATCAATATATAAACTTTTCTTGAAGATAATGAATGGATCTAAAAGATACACCCATGTTCATGATCAGAAAATATTCATAATTCAAGTTAGAATCATTTGAAATTGTTTGCGATAACCTACATGCTCCTTTGAACTTAGTTAATTTTGAAGTATCAATAGTGTTTAACAAAAACCTGTTCGATGAAACACTTGTTAGTGGAACACCTTCTTAAGTGGAACATTGTTCAAAATCACTGTTACACATTACATAATGTGAATAAATCTTGATAATTCCCAGGTACACATATTTTACTGTACTCTGTATCTCATACCAGGTAATCATATCTATTAATGTTTTTCTTCCAGGATGTGTATCTGCTGTATCTATCGGCAGAGGTATGTAACATTTTCATATTATTTTTTAATTTTTAACTTTTTTTTATGTATATTGCTTCTGACAAAAGTTTTCCTTTGTCAATCTTTACTTTATAATATCTTAAAATCTGGGGAGTAGATAAATTGGTTATATTTGGTTTTAAATACTACTGCATTGTTTTGTGAAGACGAAACACATATACCCTTTAGAATTTTCAATGTATACTTAAAAACATGACTCTGTGGTTTTTAATGTATAAATTGCCAAACTGCATGATTTTGGATTGATACTCATCTAGCAATAGCTTTCTAGAGAGAAAATAATAGAAGGCCAAAAATTATCATGTACATGATATATAGCAATATGTATTATTAAGTCTACTGAGCCTCATGATATGAAACTTTCTCAAGTTATTCACAACATATTTGGACACAATTCTGCTAGCTTGAAAAGAAACCCAATACAATACAGCATCATTCCTGAAACATATGGAACACCCTGTATTATGATACATTCTTAAAATATATAACAATATTGTTCCTGCATACATTTAAACCCTGGTCAACATTTAGAGGACATCCTCATATAAAGGTTGCTGATTAAGATGTTTCAGATATTGCTATGGTAGATTGTGATGAAAACTTCATATACAATAATGTTCAATTTCTTTTTCTTAAAGGGGCAACAAAGATTACAGAAATGCTATATGAGAGTCACTTCTGAAAATATTGTAACAATTATACAATATTTGTTCACAACATTTCATAGTACTATCATGGCTATTTACCAAAATGTCAGTCCAGTTGTTCTGGGTTTATTTCATGATCAATCTCTGATGTCTTCTTGCAATACCTTTGAAAAGTTGATCCTTCAGTTTTAATGAATTTGGACATTACAGCGCAACTTGAATCTTTATAATGTACTCACTTGGTCAGATTAGAATTGTAAGGAAAATATCAGCATGTGTGATTTTGAAAGTTTTATTATGTCACCACCAAAAGTGGTGACATATTGTTGTGGTCCCTGTTTTTTGTGGGGGCTGTTGGTGGTTGGTGTTGGTCCGATTTGCAGTTGGCATCTGTAACAAACTTCCAATTACTTAACAAATACTGTTTAGACTGAGTTCAAACTAAAACCATCTACAAGTCAGCCTTGTCAACCCTCACGCATTAGGCGTGATTGTCACGCATTTGCTGGAAAAATAGAAATCACGCATCAATTTAGCATGTATGATCAAATATCACGCAAAGCATGCATTATGTTGATATTTTTAAAAATTGTTTTTTTATAAAATGCCGATACGGTGAAAATCCGAACGGCGAAAAAAAAGCGAATGCATCCCGTTCGGTTTTTGCATGCCATTGCTGTTTATGTCACAAAATATGTGTATATATCACGCTTCTTTCAAAAATATTTACACCTCTCAGATGTTCAAATCTTCAACTTCAAATTGACCAAATTCAAAACTGAATTTTAGATGCCTTCAATGAACTTCTCAAGGCAAAAAGGTCAATAAGGTATTTTTTCAACTCGACCAATTTTTTCAAAATCATCCACAATGTCTCAGAAGTTCAAATCTGACTTAAATATGAATTGATAATATAATATTAAAATCCTAACAAATGCCAAAGGATGAGTTGTCCAGGGGATGAGTCGTCTAGGAGATGAGTTATTCGGTTACCCACTATATATGATGGAATTATCTCAAATTCAACCTAATAAGTGGAAATCAGTAATTATTTTATTGCATAGATAGACACAAAGAGAGATCTTCAAATTCATCAAAGATAAAATGGCATTGAGTGTCTTATTTGAAAGCTATCAAATTTTGGTGTCCAAACTTAATAAGACTGAATTAATGGAGCTAATGAGTTTTCCCCATAGAAAAGAGATTTGTTGTTCTCCACCTTATAACAGTTCAATGCTGTTTCAATGCCCCTTTCGGTAAAATACTGACAAATTACAAAAAAAAACTTTTGATGAAGTAAAGAGGAGAAAAGAAATGTCCTCCTTTTAGAAAAAATATAGTAATCTGACATTGTGAAAAATGTCTAAAGATTTATTATTCCAATAGCTTATTACCTCAAAAATATGTCATTTTAATAAAAAATGTTGTATTTATGGTCAGAATAGTCTAGATTTAATGTAGTCAAATTATTTGCAATACCTGGTCTTTTCCATGTGAGGCAGCCATGATACTATATATAAGGGTTATGTACTGTACTGGGAGGTTTTGGATACAGGGTTTATCCAAAGGGAAATATGTGTATATCCCAAGGGACCGGAATACACACTGAACTTCATTGTATTATATCATATATCATGCTTTTAAAACAGCAAGGAGACAGCTTCCAGGGAGCGACGGAGGATCATTCTGGGATAAATTAGATGATGAGCTTACTGATGCAGTTGATGGGGCTCTTGAGCAGCTAGATTGTGGTGGACAACTATGTGATACATTTTTGGACACTTTTGACGATGCACAAAAAGGGCTCTTCCGTGAATTGGAGGGCTTAGGGGACAGTGAGTAATTCAAACCATGATTATCTTTATGTTCATTTTCCAGACTTTTATGATGAACAGTTCTACTAACTTATAATCGTAAAGTCCATGTCAAATTGTAATTATTATTTGGAATTCTGATTAATATAAAGTAGAAAAGTACTTTTATGTTTCATCTGGTACATTTTCATGTTAAAAAATTATCTAAAAAGCTAGGATTATATGCACAGTGTCTTATAAAAATATATTGGTAATCCAATGAAAATAAATTCTTTTAGAATGTAACTTGTACATTTTATCCTTTAAAATAAACATAATATGACTCATAACTTAAAATGTACTATGTTCCTATTGCATTTTATATATTAGCCTATAGTTTTTTATGTGGTCAACATTTCTTATCTCATCAACGTCCTTGGTATCAATAATTAGCTTTTGGAAAATAACAGAATTAAAAACATGATCTAAATATTTATTATTACCACCTTGCCAGGCCTGTTCTAGGGATATTAGGGCTAGTTTAGAAGGCTTTTATTTTACTATATTGACCTGAGCAATATGTGACGTCATAGTGGAGGCCCAAAATGGATATTTCAGCCTGGCAATTTTCCCCAGGAAATTATATATCATTAAGTGTGTATAATTTTCGTTCAGTGGCAGTCCATTTTTGCTATTTCAGCCCTGGACATAAACAGTGGTAATAATACTAATAATGTCATTTCTGTGGGTAAAATAGTGAAATATTGGACCGAGGGCCTTTGGCCCTTGGTCTAATATTTCACTATATCGCCCTTTATCAACATTGTTAATATCAATAGTTAGTCATTGAAAAAGGACAAAATTGAACTCATGATCTAAATATTTATTTTTTGTTATATCAATAATTAGCCATTGAAAATTTACAAAATTGAACACATGATCTAAATATTCATTTATTTATTTGATCAACATTGTTAATAAAAAACTTCAAAATTGAACCCATGAACTAAATATTTCTTTACAGCCTTCAAATTTGTTGAGGATGATGTGATGCAACTGAGTCCTCAAGAAAGACAGGAAGTACAAGAGTTGAATCAGAAGAAATCACAGTTTGGGTTTAGTACTTTCAAGGACCAGTCCATGGAGAAAGAACTTCTTGATGATGCCATTCGTCACTTGTCAGAAGAATCGGAAGAAATGAGAGATGCAATCTTAAACATGACTAAAAAGCCAGAATTATTCACTCCTGAGATTGCAATGGATGTTGATATGGACATGCTCTGCTTTATGAATGTAAGCACTTTTTAGCTTGAAAACTTCACAATCGTCCAGTCTGATGTAATACATGTACATAAATAAATGAGGTATTTTGTATGAATTCACATGTATCAGGAAATATTGTTTAATGACATTTGGGATGAGTATTATTCAAAACGACTTATTTCCAAATCATTATCTATAATCGTGATTTATTTCTAAACTCATATTATATGGTTTAATAGATTATTAATTAAGAATACAGATATGTTTCATTTTTCATTGCACTTTTTTGACTCATATGAGTGTATTGAATCATTCAGTATCTTCATTTATACCTACCTGATGGTAACTTGTGTATAAAGTATATTATATTTATGAACCATTTTGCACCATGAGAGCCACTGCCACTTAATAGCATCATGATAAACCTTGACATCTTAAATCTTCTCAGCCCTGCAATGCCATAATATAATGAGCTTGATTTGGCGATCCACGAGAGCCCAAAATTGAGGATTTTTGAGATCTTTTATCCCAGCTCATATTTTATCTAATTGGGGTCATAAAACTTGTATAACTGTGCCTGTTGTCATCTTCACACGCTCGGTCTTCACTGCGTTCATCGACCGATGGGAGCCGAGTGAATGAAGATGGCCTGTATGTAATGTATTGACATAAGGTAAATGATTACACGATAACAATCACACTTATTGACAGTTATAACTCTTCCAATCTCATGTGCTCAGAACACAGAATGTGCCCCTGTTTCAGGTGAATCAGAAAGAGTATCAGAATGCTTAATAGTGCCATTTGTAATCTATTCTCTTAATAAATGTTTCAGTTGACTGAATTGAAGGCTGCTGCTAATGTTATGACCAATGAGTCACGTGCAGTCATGTGTGCACGCTCTGCTAAGACGGAAGATATGCAGCCATGTGCTGCTCAGAGGATCGCTGAGATTGTTGATTGTGGGGAGTACTTTAATAAACTCCAGGTAAATTGACTTATACACCATCAGCTTTGTTTTGACATATAATTGTCAGGCCTCTAGCCTGGATTTTACAATGGGTGTACACTTTTTAAAAATTTCCAGGGTGAGTTCACTTTTGACAGCTTTGCCCCAAAAATGGTCAAAATCACTTGAGAAGTGCTCAGAATGGTGAAAAACTGCATGATTTTGAAAGAGTTTTTGGCAACGGGGGTTCACTCGAACCCCCTTAGCTGCAGGCCTGCATATAGCTTGTTTACCCATAGCCAACAATGGGTGTACAGTATTATGTATACAGATGATATATCATCTCAATACACATCAACAATTATCTTGTTGTTAACTACTATGAATTACATCAAAAATGAGTTGTTATTGGAACTGTTTTCTTGAAAATTAAATTGTAATATGTCACAGTCATAGGCATGGTTCCCAAGCACAATCAATGGAGGAACCATTCCCAAGACATGCTGCATAGATCATATTCATTTTGTCGCACAAACATTCATGTAAAAGTTACAATGTATATGACATCGAAATAAACATTTTGTTTAACTTTATTGAATAAATTTGACGTGATTCTCTACATTATTTATAATTTCTTTCAAAAGGTGAAACCAAGAGGTGCCGCTGCTGAGGCTTGCCTCTATGGAATCTTGCAACGTGCAGATTTTGATATCGCTAATTTTACTGATGCTGACTGGGACCAGGCCATGCTTTGCATTGATGGTTTAGAAGCTGAAATGATTATGCAGATACCTCTCCCTATCATTAAAAGGAAGTAAGTAAAGTGGCCTTGTAGTTAGATTCCTTGTAGGAATAAACAATAGCACTAGACAGTCAAGTTGCTATAATTCGATAGGGTAACACGTTTAGGTATAAAATCATGTTTCATTTTCATCTGCAGCAATAGATTACCCAAAAATATTGTATAACATGTGAAATCTACTTCATATAATATACTAGATGCGAGTAGAAATAATCTTGATTTACTTCATTTAATTTGTAAAATTGAGTTAAAGGGATGTCATATTTGAAGTCAACATGTAAAATTGCATCTAGAAATGTTGTTTAAAAAAGTATTTACCGACTGTGACTTCTAGGTCGGGGAGATTCCCCATAGACCCCATGTTACAAAATCACAAAAAGTGAAATATCCTTTCTTGTGTTGGGCAGATACTATGTTCTTTTAATGGACATATTTCCGTTTGTATTATTATCAGACACATAAGGATTGTATTTTTAGTATTTGTAAACTGAGTGGACTCCTAAGACCAAGTGAAATGGAGAAGGAAGTGAATTTAGAGGATCTGGACTTCACAGAATTCATGACTAATAAAACAAAAGTCCAAATTACCAAGGCAGCAATGAATGAAAAGGCCAAGATGGCTCAGATGGCCAAGGCAAACAAGCCAAACTTTGATAGCGAGGTAAGCTTTTTTTGTTTTTAAATCACCGCCTAAAGAAGTGACATATTCGTAACAACCACCATATCTTGCAACTGGTACGACTGGTGGATCCAGAAGCTAACAAGGGGGGCCAAATTTTTTTTTCAGGAACAAGTGCGTAAAAACATTTAGAGTCTCTAAAACCCAAAATTGGGCCCATTTTTTGATAATTTTAACAGGCCTAAAAAGACCAAATTATGTTCAAAAAGGCCAAAAAATTTTGGGGCCTTAAATTTTTTTCTGGGCCCACAAAAGGGGGGGGGGGGCATGGACCCCCTGGATCTGCCAGTGGATACATAGCAGCATGTCTAGTGTCAAGTGCAAGCATCTGTAACAAATGGTTACAATTTTGTAATTACAGCCAAGTGGTGACATTTTTTCATGTTAATGCCTTATCTGTTTTAACTTTTATTATCCCATCGAACGAAGTTCGGAGGGATATAGGGAACGCCTCCGTCCGTCCGTACGTACGTCCGTCCGTCCGTACGTCCGTCCGTCTGTCCGTCCATCCGTCCGGGCAATAACTCATATACCATTGGCCCGATTTTGTTCATATTTTGTACACATATACCTTATGGGGATAGAAGTTCTGCTCGAAAGCCGATTTTCAAAATGGTCGCTCATTTCAAAATGGCGGCCATTTTAGTGCCGATTTTACAGTAATTTAGGTGCAATATGTAAAACTGTTATAGCAATATGTTTTAAATGTAAAAAAATTATAAAGGACATTAATAATGCTACAAATGTAGATATTAAAGAAGCACATGGCAGCCATCTTGAAAAATGGTGGCCTTTACTCGTCATTTTACGATTTTTGCTATAACTCAAAAAATAGTGGAGCGATTTTGTTCATATTTGGTATGTGAATACTATAAGCATTGTACACTGTCTTAAGACACTTTTGGTAGAAGGCAGCCATTTTGAAAAATGGCCGCCATTTTAACATGTTTTACTATAACTCGAAAAGTAGTAGAGCGATTTTGTTCATATTTGGTATGTGAATACTATAAGCATGGCACACTGTCCTATGACACTTTTGGTAGAAGGCGGCATTTTGAAAAAAAATTTGAAAAATGACCGCCATTTTAACGTATTTTACTATTATTATCGAAAAGTAGTGGAGCAATTTTGTTCATATTTGGTATGTGAATACTATAAGCATGGCACACTGTCTATTTCTAATGACACTTTTGGTAGAAGGTGGCCATTTTGAAAAATGGCCGCCATTTTAACGTATTTCACTTTAACTCAAAAAGTAGTGGAGCGATTTTGTTCATATTTGATATGTGAATACTTTAAGAATGGCACATTTTCTAATAAAACTTTGGGGAGTAGTCGGCCATTTTGAAAAATGGCCACCATTTTTATGTGTGTTATTTTACAAGTACGTGTGCGATTTTTCAAAAATTCTTCTGATGACAACTTGGCTAGTGAGCAACCATTTTGAAAATGGTGGCCTTTCTAATTATGTGTGTTGTTTTATGATATTTGCTATTCGTTTGTAAAAATGCCAGCCATTTCTGTTCGATGGGAATCGCTACGCTTTGGCGTTGCCGTTGTTCTGGTTTGTTTCCTTTTTTACACATATAACAAAAAACAACATATTTTATTATTGTATAGTATCATACATTTATATACTTTAACAATCATTAGAGAAATCTAGAATTGATTTGTTTCTTTCTGTAAGATATCACAAATCAAATTTTAATATATTAGAAACCATTAATTAAATTATCATTATTCTGTGTAAATGTGTTTTCAGTATTTCAATCGATGTGACAAAGATGACTATGAGTGCTTGGAAGAAAAAGTTGAAGATCTTGGGGTTTCCCCTGATGTCCTAGGTGCTTTAGTTCAGCGTGTTACCAACATATTACGTCAGGAAAATGTTCAAGCATTCCCTGATGAAATGCTGCGGTGCTTTGCTCCCTTTTTCATGGAGTTCAAACCAACAGATATCTTAGCCATGCCAGATGCTGCTGTGAGTAAATTTTATATTATTTTCACAATTCGATTTCATTTTCAGTTTTTTGTTGAATTATGGCATCCATGCACGTTCCTTTTATAATGAAAACTTAAATGACATGAGTCTGCAGTGTAAAGCGCTATTTTCAAACAGGTTTTATTCATTTCTAGTTATTCAAGTTCGCGGACTTCTTTGTTGATATTGAGTTTGATGAGTTCACACAAATAGAAGTCGTAGAAAGACTGAAGGCAGCTTTACCACCAATTGATACTTGGGATAAAGATATGATCATTGAGTAAGTATGACCCCCAAATAATCGACATCATGAGAAAATTAAGATTACACTAGATACTGCTAAGTGGAACACCTCACAAGTGGAACAGGTTTTTAAAAGTCCTGTGGCCCATTGATTCCATGTTAAAGAACCTCTGTAAGTGGAACACCTCACAAGTGGAACACTCTTGTGGTCCCAAGGGAGTTCCACTTACACAGGTTCTACAAGATAGCAGAGACAAATTATAATAGTTAGTTAGTTAGTTATGACATGGTAGATTTGTTGTTTTTCAGCAGTTCAGCTAATATTCCTTATTTTGTTAAAAGTTACTGAAAAACCGAAGTTAAAAAAGTCACAATCTAATGTTAATTGTAAAATATTTCAGCCTGTTTAAAAATGTCAAGCTAGATGTTGGAATTATGGAAGGTCTAAATGCCAGTGGTGGACTGTTAGAAGCAATCAAGGATACAAACTTCCCCGAGTTTGAAGATGAGGCTGATGTAAGTAGATTTGAAATGCATACTTTGTATGATTTGCAGGCATTTTAGTCTTTCTCTTTTCTCACCAACAGAGGAAGGGTTATAGACACATGATTAATATGGTTCATACAGTTTGTGTATTTTATGTTTTTATGACCACAATTAAGGGTTATAGACACATGATTAATATGGTTCATACAGTTTGTGTATTTTATGTTTTTATGACCACAATTAAGGGTTATAGACAGTCACATGTTTAATATGGTTCATACAGTTTGTGTATTTTATGTTTCATCTGAATGCCATTGAACTATATATTGAGAAGGCTATCGGAAAAAAACATGATCCAACCTTAGCTGTATTACAGCCTGAAAGAGATAAAGTTGTACATTGTTGGAAAGAATTCAAGAACATTATTCAGCCTGTGAAAAACATACAGATAAATATGTAATTTTGAAGCTGTCAAACTTTTATGGTCTCTCTGATATTTCAGTACATTCTGCTTCTTACAGACCTCAATCGAAGCAAATTTGTGTACATGAATCTAATGATTTCTAATTTTTTAGGGATTCCTCCTTGGAAAAATCGTAAGAGGCGTTGAACAATTCATAAACGCTGAGAATATGACAGCTGATGATATTGTTGACATTAAGAAGGTTCTTCCAATTATGGGCATATCCATCTTCGAGAAGTTAAATGATACCGCATTGTTTGATGTCTTTGAAAACATTAGTGATGTGACTGGATGGCCAGATGACTTGGTGAGTTTTCTAAGGTTATTCTACAGAGTGTCAAAAAACAACAGCACCCCCTCTACAGCAAAATGTACATATTGTGACATGGTGTGTCATATCCCATTTTAAAGACAATTAGATTCTGGATTCATCTGTAGCTATCTAGTATCTATTAGGTGTATATTATAGAAATCAGAACAATTAAGCTAATTTAAAATTGACATTTCTGACGTTTGGATTCTTTACTTTAGAATACTCTTGGGTCTATGTGTTGTTGACTTGAGTGCATGCATGCATGAAGAATGTCCTTAGTTTAAGTGTAATGTTAAAAATCACCATAGCAAAACATCCTCATCCATATTATGAGACTATCAAAGAGCATAACTATTGTAAAAATAACTACAAAGGTAATATGTATATCTACAATAACAACCATAACATGCATATAACAATCAAATACATCTTATAATATACCATAACCAACACAATGTATACCCTAGATGTACTTGAAATTCAAATTCCCATTAAAAAAACATCCAAAATAGCACTCATAAATTCCATCAACTCTAGAAAGGATTTGTAGTAAATAAATGGAAATATTAAAGAACACTATGTGCAGTTGTATTACTCTATGCATAAAAGCCTATAATATGTTTGGATGAAATAAATTGTCCCTTGTATTCATTAACCACCAGTATATCACCTTTAATTCATGGATTATCACGTGCGTGATGGTCTTGTATGGTTTCTATCAAGAAAGTCAATGTAAGCAGCAATAGCATGTTTACACATAAATATAATCACACTACTATACCTAACACCTAGAAATGCATAAGATACTTTGTTTGTCTAATTGAATTGTTTAATATATTTTTGAAAGTGCCTTACTGGCATCTAATTTTCAACCGATAAACCATTCATAAGGAACAGACAAATAAAAACAAATACATAATTATTACTAATAAGCCAAATGGGTTGCTCATGAACACCAAATGCAAGGTATAGTAGTGTGATAATGTATGTTAATTGTTTATAGGGACGTGATATGGCCAAATTTGCTATTAAGAAAATGGGTGGAGCAAATAACTTGGACAGTGGTAAATTTGGAAAACTCGGGAGCCTTGGTGGTTACATGAACACTGATGAAATTGATATGCTGAGTGATGACGTAATCTCAGATAATCTCGACTCCCTAAATAATCTGAGATTAAGTAAAGCTGGTCAGAAAAAACTTCTGAAAAAGGTCAGTGGAATTATAAATACATCTGAGTTACATACATCTGAGTTATTTTATAATTGATCAATATTTCGTTGTAAATGTTGAGAATTTGAATTTGAAAACAATTTTTGCGCACAGTTGATGGTCATAACAAAGTTGTTTTAATTATTTCTAGACATTTTCATTCAAGATGCTGGATTGAAAGCCCATGTAGGCCAATATGACAATTTTCTATTTCCTATATATCTTGTTACAATTTCAACATGTCTTGAATGAGTGTCTACTCCTTTAAGGTCTTTTGTAGTTATATGTACAATAAAATAGGATGCAAATAAATACTGAGATAAAGAATAAGTTAATTTCCTTTACTTGGTGTATATTCCAAATAAGTTCAAAATATTTCTTTAGATGGAATCTGCAGGAGGTAACCTCTTAGAGAATGCTGTACAAAATGGTACAGTGGGCAAACTGATGAAGAAATTGCCACTGAAGAAGTTGAAGGAATTGGGAGGAAGTGCGCTTGGGTTTCAACCAGAAAGCAGACCAATGGACATTGAATGTGACAAGTCAACTGTAAGTATTGGTATAAACTAAATATTACTCTTTTATGTATAAAACCTTTTTAATCCCATTTAAAAGCAAAATGCTCATTTCTAATTCAGCGAGATAGACTTTACAATTCATTTTACATTATGAATTTACCAATTAATTTATAAGCTGTACATGTTTGCTTAAGCTTAGTTCATATTCAAGTGCTCTACCTGGTCAAATGACCCAAATGTTGTCCAATCAGCCAGCATGATGTCATTAATTTGAAAATTTTGTTGATGATTTATGATTGATATTATAGAGAAAGACAAAGCTACTAAGATCATATCAAAGAGGTAACCTAAATATGATACATATTTGAGGATTTAACTCAAAATAGGATGATAAAGAAATATTTCCTGTGATGTATTGATGGTTTTATTAACTCTGATTGTAGTGCAAGGAAATGTTTAAAATGACAAAAGCCAATGGACTTGGAGAAATATCCCAAAATGCAAGAAAGTACAATATGAAGACTATCAAGAATATGGGAAAAGTTGCCTGCGGTATGGGATGTCCAGAAATCATTGGTCTTCCAAAGAAAAGAGAAACTTTCAAGATTGTCAAGCACATGGGAGAACTTAGATGTCTAGGAGAGGTGGAGGTGAGTGCTTCTCAGATGAAAATGTATAATTGACCAATCACATCAGATCATCTTAGAGTGGAACGCATAATTGACCAATCAGATTAGATCATCTCAGATGGAAATGTTTTTAATTGACCAATCAGATTAGATCATCTCAGATGGATATGTATAATTGCCCAATCAGATTAGATCATATTAGAGTGAATTGTATAATTGACCAATCAGATAAGATCATCTCTGATGGAAATGTATAATTGACCAATCAGATTAGATCATATAAAAGTGAATTGTATAATTAACCAATCGGATTAGGTCATCTCAGAGTGAAATGTATAATTGACCAATCAGATTAGATCATGTCAGAGGGAAATATATAATTGACCAATCGGATGAGATCAACTCAGATGGTATTGTATAATTGACCAATCGGATTAGATCATCTCAGATTGAAATGTATAATTGACCAATCGGATTAGATCAACTCAGATGGAATTGTATAATTGACCAATCAGATTAGATCAATTCCTGACATTGTCTAATTTAAAAAATTTGCAAAATGAGTGTAAATGTTTGGCTGGAACAGTCAAATATTCAGATCAGTTTCACCAGAGATCACTATTCTACCATGGCAACATGCATAGCATACCATGATTCTATGAGGAGAACTGTAAAGGTATTCTTGATATGACACTCTGGGTTGGGCTCCATCCATAGTGTGATGAACGCACCCCCCCCCCTCCCCCATAACTCCCATAAAAGAGCTTTGAAATGCTTTTATTTCAAATTTCTAGCTCAATTTTGAAGGAAGTTACATAAATATTAGTAAAATTCAAAATAAATCTTTAAAAAAAATTTTGACTTGCTAAATGCCCTGTTCACACCCCCTGACCAAAAACTGAATTTTGTTTTGACTATCACCCCCCCCCCCCCCCCTGGCTGAAAGCTGGTTACACCCATGCCCCATCTATTACTGATGTTCCTATTATACATTCCTGTGGATTGTTTACCCTATACTATGTATTATGTTGTAGCAAAAGTGCATGGCTTACAAGATCAAATCTATGATGGAGTTTAACAACCAGACGAAACTTAATCAATTTGCAACCAGAGAGAACATCAAGAGTGTTTCTCAATTCTTCAAATTTTTCAAGTGAGTAAGAAATTAGTACACAAATTCTTGATTATACAGTCTTTTTCAAATTGCTGTTGTATTATTGGTGTTGTATTACCCAGTCATTTCTCAGAATTTAAGCATCCACTTTGGATCTGTTTCGCTAGAAAAACAAATAGTTTATAATATTCTTCTTCTTTGTCACTAGTGCTTCCGACTTGCGTAAGCTACCACAACAACGTTGCTACGATATCCTATCAGGAATGGGCCGTGAGGATTTCAGTAAAGTACGACGCTCTCAATTGACCGAGTTGAAGAACTTTGCTCTTAGCTGCAAGGTAAGCAATACATTTTTCCAAAACAAATACAACACATAAAATATATTAATCATCCAAATATTTTGTTTGTCTAAGTGAACAGAAAATTTAATTTGTAATGTTCGTAAATGTTGAAATATGATTAACAAATCAAATTGCTTCAACCATTTATAAAATATAATAATTTTGTATTCAGAGACATGTTTTTGTTTTTTTTATTCAACAGTAATATTACATACATTTAATACAACATTCTAACAGCTTGATATCCTTTTGGATATATAAAGCATTTAATTACAATAGTTTGTTCTTAAATAATGGCTTGTTCACTATACTACTTCTTGCTGAATCTTATAAAAAACTAAATTTGAATAAGGAAAGAAAGTGGAAAAATGAGAAATGCAGGTATTATATTACATTCAGCATTTTCTACATTATACTATCTTAATTTTACTCTATATTTATGATATAACATACATAACATACATGTTAATGATATGAATAAGTCTCTGATACAGTATATTAACTTAAGTGCTAAATAATGTACTTATAGTCTTGCTCAAAGACTGTATCCACCCTGCCCCCCCCCCCCCCATCACCTTCACTCTCTTTACCTGGCAATATACAGAGAGAGGGATAAGGGGGGAGTACAGGGTCTTTTAAGCAAGACTAATGTACTTATAAAATACTAAATATCATTTTGTACAATAAAACAACATTTCAGAACAAGGAAGATGGAAATAGTTCAATCACAACAGATGATATGATGCTTATTGGAGACATTGCATGTGGAATGGAAGAAAAGGATGTTGCAAGGTTCAGTGTGGAGGCCATTACAGACATGCTCTTCAAATGGCAGGCTAGATGTGTCATTCAGCCACATATTGTCCGTGCTCTACTCAACAAAGTCAAAATGACCTTGAATATGTAAGTTTTGAAAAACATATAAAAAGCATTGTATTAATTCACAGTAGGCATTTTAAATTGGTGCATGATTCTCATTTTTACCAAATTTTTCAGTCAGATAGCCTTATTTTTTTCTAATAGTGAGTGTTAATGGGTTTTCAGGTGGGTTCAATCCTATTTTAAAATTTCAGATGCGTAAAGCACCCATTTGCTTTAATACAAGGGAAATCCATGAAGATTTTTTAAATACTTAGTGCGTTTCAGGGAAATAATGGTAGAATTATGGATTTTTTCTCAAACTTGGAAGTTAATATCATTTAACCAGGTGCTGAACCCTTTTGCAAATATGAGAATTGCATACCACCCTGCTGAAAATGTGTTTGCATCCTGTTGAAATTGTGAAAAATTTGACTAAAACATGAAAAATTAGGATGATCGAATAAAAAAAATTTGAGAAATTACAAAATTTTTCAATCTATTTCATGTTAAACCAACTTTCATCGTGTTTATAAGGGAAATATGAGACAAATCGGTTTTATATGGATTGGATAATGATTATAGGTATAGGAATATGTAATCTTCTGCAGTGCCTGATGTATTAAGATTATCTCCCTCTGTTAAAAATATAGTTTTTTACAAATCTAGATATATTTCGCAAGTATATTGGTGTGTCTTCACGAATAAAAATATATGCTCAGATCAAAACTTTTTATTTTATTTGCATGAGCTCCACATTTGAAATTACATGTTTGTTTCAGTTCTGCTGGGGATCTAACACAGAAAGAAATGGTACAATTGGGTGCTTTCATGACATATTTGGAGCCTAGTGATTTTGCTCAGTTGAACAGGGTAGGTACTCATAAAAATGAAAATAGCGCATATACTATTTGATTGTTTCATCATGCATTGTATGCAATCTAAAATAAAAGCAGTGAAATTCAATTCACTTGAATTTCTGAGAAATAATCAATGCTAAATAATAGTGTAACCAAATAATATATTATATGCAGAGCAACAAAAATATACAAAAAGGCAGGGTATATTATGAAAATTGATCTCTAAATTCCAGACTGAAGTGAGAAAAGCTATCCCTCGTTTAATGAAACAATTCCAAGCATTTGAGGGAATGCGCAAGCTTCGTGAGCATAACTATGTCATGGACTTGAACAGCACTGAGACTGCTGATCTACTGGCAGGAAGAGACGCTATTTATGGTGCCATCTTGGATGGTATTACATCAGATGGTCAATCAAGAAAGAAGAGATCTGGAAGTAAGCCCATTTGTATTTTAGTTATCTCGTAGGAATACTATACATATGTTTACCTGGTACTGGTTTGTTAATTAATATGGAACTACAACTGCTGTATTTATGATAGTTTATGTAGTGTTGTGCTAGTTATACAAAGCTTTTGTTAATGTTAACTTTTCCATGCCAACTTTTCTCATGTATTGTCAGCCTTGTGCTATATTGACTATATTATCAATTCATGCTTTTGAATATATTATCTATATGTATCTATCATGTAACTTGTGCTGTATCTATCAGGGAACTTGTGCTGTATTTCTCATGTAATTTGTGCTGTATCAGTCAAACTTGTGCTGTATCTAGCATGTAACTTGTGCCGTATCTAGCATGTAACTTGTGCTGTATCTATCAGGGAATTTGTGCTGTATTTCTCATGTAACTTGTGCTGTATCTATCACGAAACTTGTACTTTATCAATCATCAAACTTGTGCTGTATCTATCATGTTTCTTGTGCTGTATTTCTCATGTAACTTGTGCTGTATAAATCACAGAATTTGTGCTGGATCTATCATGTTTCTTGTGCTGTATTTCTCATGTAACTTGTGCTGTATAAATCACAGAACTTGTGCTGTATCTATCATGTAATTTGTGCTGTATCTATCATGTAACTTGTGCTATATCTCTCATGGAAGTTGACATATGATATATTTTGTGATATATATGTCATTAAACTTGTACTAAATCTTTTGTGGATCTCATGCTATAAACAACTTGCAGGCTCCCTTACATGCAGTGAGATTAAGATGTTGGATGACGCAGCTGCTCAGATGACCACAACTCAGCTCTCTAACCTCGCAGACAGTGACTTTGTTGACTGTGCAGCAACAATGGGTTCAAATGAAGGATGGAGTCAGGAACAGAAGGTTGCCCTTAGTGAAGTGGCTGGACGTGAAACTGTAAGCATCTGAAAATAAATTCTTTCTAAAAATCAGAGACTTTGTGTATGTATAAGCATCTTTAATTAACATTTTTAGTAAAAAATACATTTTGTTTCTGAAACACAATGCACTATTCGCCATTATACAGTGTCTGCATTGGGGTTAAGTATTGCACATTTGAGGACAGATTGTAGTCCCAGAGTAGTTATGGTTGAAATAATGTCTCACTTCATTGAATGCATCAATTGGCGGTCAAGAAAATGCTTTTTCATTCCACTGCCTGTGAATTTTGTAATGAATTTTCCCCATTTTTCTGAAACTTATATACAAGACACAATATTTATTATAATTGGCTAAATCTGTTGCACTATTCATATATATCATAACTTAGGTATGGGGTAGCCATTCTACATGGGACAATGATGATATCGCAAAGGCTGGCATCATGACCCAGGGTCTTAGTGCAGCCAACATTGCCATGCTTAATATCACCTCAGTTGACACACTGGCTTCACTTGGTCAGTATAGTGGATGGGAGGCAACACAGGTGAGTCAGCAATACAATACTATACAATGCAATACAGTGTAATGCAATGCAATACAATACAATACAAATGGAATGCAATGTAATTAAATCAATAGTATTATATTATATATTATACTTGTATGCTCTTCATACACTACTGATATAATTTAAAGTGGCAGACAAGTTTATAGACTGTAAATTGTTGGAAACAATCGTTTTTAATAAACATGCCATCATGCGCCTTTAACAATCCTTGATTTAATATTACTGGATATATACTGGATAAAATATGGGATTAATTGAAGGATTAAGATGCAGAAATGGTCAGTTCTTTAAAATACTGAAAATTGTGGCACTTACAAGAGATGAGTGGAAAATGTGTCTCATTATCAATTTTCCAAGAGAATATATCCAACTTTATTGATGGGAGCCATGTATTGGACATAATAAGAGATTTATTTAAAAACAAAGTAAATTAATTAATATTTGTTTTGTTTGTAGTTGGAAGCTGGATTCACAGCATTTTTGACAAACACCAAAGGTGGATCTATTGGAAGTGTCGACTCTACAGATCTTGGTTCCATGGGAGAGTTTGGCTGTGGTGCCACCGTCAGTGAGATTGGTAGTATGAGCACTGCATACGCGTAAGTCATCATATTACATCCTAAAGATCATGTTTTGAAATTAATAAATAATTATACAAAAGAGGGGAGTAAGGAGACAACTTGCAACTGTGAAATTGAAGTTCAATAAAGTATTTTATTCCATTAACAAAAACCTCATCTTTATACTGTTGCGGCGTGTTGCCTCACTTATTTTTTTGATATTACTTTACAGTGAAGCTTCTAGTGATGTAGGTTCCCTGACTAGCTGTAGCTCTGAACAACAAGCTGCCTATGCTACACTAGCTGTCAGTGCATTCGGCTCTAACGTCACTGCATGGTCTGAATCCGATGTGGCATCAGTTGGTAACATGGTCGGTGGACTCAGTGAGTCAGACCTTACTAAACTCACAGAGACACAGATTCAAGCCATGAGTCCTGCGAGTGTTTCTAGCATCCCTGCGGCTAAGTTCAGTGTAAGTATCCCCAATCATTCTGATACTCATAGCATCTTTCTGTTTCACCTGAAACATGCTCTGATATTATGAGGCATATTCTGTGATCTGAGCACATCAGATGGGAAGAGTTATAACTGTCAAAAAGTGTGATAGTTATCATGTAATCATTTACCTAATGTCAATACATTACATAATAGGCATTGTATTTAACAGCAGATATTAGCACAGGTACGTGTACACAGGTTTAATGACCCCAATTAAATGAAATATGAGCTGGGATGAAAGATCTCAAAAATCCTCAATTTTGGGCTCTCCTGGATCGCCAAATCAAGCTCATTATATCATGGCATCTCAGGGCTGAGAAGAAATGAGATGTCATGGTATATCATGATGATCCCCAATAGGGTGGACTGACTTTTCAAATAAGCAATCGTTTTCATTGTACCTAAACAGGTAGAATATTGTCACAAAGTTTGACAAACTTTTTTATGTCAGTATGTTTTAAAGGTGCAATAATTAGTGCAGAGGGGTCATTCAACGATCATGGACCAGTGTCAAAATATATTTAAGTTTGGATATTTCATCAAGACTAACATCTATTTTTATTATCTACAAAGATACCCCCTAGATAAACATTATTTTAGCTGATATTCCTCTTGAAACATAGTGGATCTTAAAAATATAAAAGTGGAAGTCCCCTTTTTCAAGCTTTGAACTGAATTTACACTTCTTAATGCTGAAATTGATAATTTATTCATACATTTTAAGAAAATAGGTATGTCAAAGAAGATGTTAAACCAAATGTTGCCTTGATAGCTCAGAAAAAATGAAAAAACTTTCCTATTTTCTCTACAGTCCTTATTGCCCCTTTAAGGCAAACCAGTTGACGGGTTGATATGAAGTTAGAGATCGTTTCTTGGTATACAAATTCAGAACTGATTAGTTTTTGGGTATGCTACATAAATTCTGAGATGTCTACTTTGGGTTTTAGGTACAAATTATTCACACTGTGTAGTGTGTGTTATACCGAGACAATTTGCTTTGTACATTTGACACTTGAGTGCTTTGCTTTGAATGATCATATTCAAGTTTAATTCATACGAAATTTTTTTTGTTTTACTTTTTTATCACACCATCGGTGGGATATAGTCGTCATACTGGTCGTGATCGTGATCGTGGTCGTGATCGTGGTCGTGGTCGTGATCGTGATCGTCCCGCTTTTTGTCATCGCCGTTTAAGGAAAACTGCTCATCAGATTTTCTCCAAATTCGCAGAGATGATAGAGCATATGAAGTACTAGAGCTGATTAACTTTTGGGTGGCCATCTTGTTTTCTGGCGGCCATTTTGAAGGTTTTTCGAAAAATCTTGTCATCGCCATTTCAGAAAAACCGCTCATTGGATTTCCTTCAAATTTACACAAATGATAGAGAATATCAAGTACTAGAGCTGATTAACTTTTGGGCGGCCATCTTGTTTTCTGGCAGCCATTTTGAAGATTTTTCGAAAAATCTTGTCATCGCCATTTCAGAAAATCCGCTCATCGGATTTCCTTCAAATTTACACACATGATAGAGGATATCAAGTACTAGAGCTGATTAACTTTTGGGCGGCCATCTTGTTTTCTGGTGGCCATTTTGAAGGTTTTTCGAAAAATCTTGTCATTGCCATTTCAGGAAAACCGCTCATCGGATTTCCTTCAAAGGACAATTCTCGGTTTGGAGAACGAAGTTCATCAATCTAAATGAGCATTATTCCTGCTTCGGACAAATTTGATTTTTTTTACATAATATAGATTTGAATGTCTTCTTTTGAATAGTCATAATTTAATTTGGGTAATATTTCTAGATTTTTCGCAAAAAAATATTAGCTCAGTACACTGATGGACTTCTTTCCCCGAATCGAGACTTGTATTTATATTGATTCGGTCTATTTGAGCATTATCCCTGCTTCAGACCAATTTGTTATCTTTACATCTTGTAGATTTAAATGTCCTCTTTTGAATATTCATAGTTTAATTTGGGTAATATTTCTATATTTTTCATGAAAAACATTATTAGCCCAGGAGACTGTTCTCCAAACCGAGAGTCGTCCTTTACACAAATGATAGAGGATATCAAGTACTAGAGCTGATTAACTTTTGGGTGGCCATCTTGTTTTCTGGTGGCCATTTTGAAGTTTTTTTGAAAAATCTTGTCATCGCCGTTTCAGGAAAACCGCTCATCGGATTTCCTTCAAATTTACACACATGATAGAGGATATCAAGTACTAGAGCTGATTAACTTTGTGGCAGCCATCTTGTTTTCTGGTGGCCATTTCAAGTTTTTACGAAAAAATCTTGTCATCGCCAATTTAGGAAAACCGCTCAACGGATTTCCTTCAAATTCGCACAGATGATAGAGGATATCAAGTACTAGAACTGATTAACTTTTGGGCGGCCATCTTGTTTTCTTGTGGCCATTTTTAAGGTTTTTCGTAAAATCTTGTCATCGCCATTTCAGGAAAACTGCTCATCGGATTTCCTGTACATGATAGGGGATATCAAGTTCTAGAACTTATTAAATTTTGGGTGGCCATTTTGTTTTCTGGCGGCCATTTTGAAGGTTTTTCGATAAATCTTCGCATCGAAAACAATCCACTTTGTCATATTGCCTTAAATTTTAGCTCAAGATGTGAGCACTTGATTAATATGACCACAGCCAACATTTTTTTCTTGTTCTTGAAATTTGTAAACATAATAGGAGAACAGTTTTCCTGGTTCATAGTGTCTGCCTATTTGATGGTGTGATCTCGTTCACGTCCTGTGCCTTGTTCTGAGTAGATGTTGATATGTGATAAATTAGTTCACAACATCGTAATAGTTGAGCAATGCTTTATTTTGCTTTTATTCTGAATTCTAGGCCTTGTCAGCCACCCAGGTTGGAGCCATGTCTTCTTCCCAGGCTGCCTCCATCAGTGCCGACCAGCAGGCCAACATGAACAGTGATGCCTTGAGTGCACTTGGTAACAGTGGAGGTAACATTGTTGTACAGGACAATGGACTGACAACTGGTGCCCCAGGTGGAGGTGCTGGTCCTGGTGGAAATGGTAAGTTGATAACAATTTTGATCCAAATATACTTACTTACCTGATTAGCTTTGAAATGAACATTAAATATTTGACTCTGCTAAACAGTGCATTGGACTCATTCTAAGCACTGGTTTAAGTAAATGAAATTTGAATGAATTGGAAACCACCCTAGCCCAGCACATATAGGAAAACATGGCAACTTGTCCATGGATCAGTTCTCAAGATTAGGTATAAACATCCTCATGATAAACTGATGAACTGTTTGAAAGCGACAGTTTGTTTCAAAGCATTATTGGCTATATTTGACATTAGAAAGTGGAAAAATTCATATTAAAAAGTGAATGTTTTTTTTAATTTATTTCACAAATGCTCTACCTGGTAACTGTAATTTGACTATTTTCTATTTCAGGAGCTGGTCCTGTGAGCATCTCTCTTGCTGCCATCATTACCCTTCTGATTGCTGCATTCATTATGTAAGAGCATTAGGATGGAGATATACAGCTATAAACAACAGCATAAATATAACAGCATACGTCTAAACAAACATAGACACTAGAACAGCATTTATGAAACCAAACAGCATTGACTACCAAAACAGCTTTGATTCAAACAGCATTGATAATCGAACATTGATTAAACCAGCTTTGACAATCAAAATGGACTTTTAAGTGGTGTATGAATTATCACAAACAGAAGGATATTTAACCTTCCTAGCATCCTCACCTATTTACATTATTTTAGTTTTTGCTTCCATTCTCTGATCTGTACCCTCTGTTTATGAGTTCTAAAGTGTAAATACAAATGTTTAATTTACAATTTCAAACATAGAACATTTTGTTTTATATAATCTTATGAATTGCCAAAACTAACAAAGTACCAAAATATACTCTTCATATATAATTTTTTTAGATTCACTGTACATATTTTATTTTTTCTCTTTTTTACCTGTGTAAACATTTTATTCTTAGAAAAAGTAAATTTCTTCTCAGTTATATACACTGTTTGTTAGTGATTTTATGGTCTTGGTTAATATTCTGAAGCACTTATTTATTAATTATCATTATTATAATCATTGTTATAGCTTTCAATTGAATTTCATATATGGAATCAAAATTTTTCGTATTCACTGTACTGTTTTGTAATTTGCACAAACAATTTTGTATTTAGTCTACTAATACTCAGTATTGCACACTTTACACCTAACACTTTACCGTTTTCACCTTTCGAGTTTTCCAGTGTGTTTTACTGTAAAACTTCATATTTTATTTTGGCTTGTATACCAATTTTCTAGTTTGCACATTTTAATTTGTTATTTGCACATGTTTGATTTTAATTTGCACATTTTAGTTTTTATTAATTTGCACATCTAACCGAAGTTGAAACTTGTGGTTGCATAATACAATAACCCATAGTAGCATAATAAATTTAATACTTCTTGTTTATTGTACCCTTTAACACAACTGTATCCACAACTCCCCCTTTATAATGCAGAAGGCATAATATATAAGAGAAATTCATAATATAGAGCCCATAATACATTTCCAATTTCCTTTTTGACTTTACTAATATAGGCAACATTTAAGAGTACTTAACATATATTTATTTACAAGGTTGTTTCTAGGATGAAAAATTGCATATCTTTGAAGAATGAAATTATGTCCCAATTTTGGAAATAACCGTTTATGTATTAATCTAGCACATTGCACTATACAAAGCATGTAGTATAGTAGCATACACTTTAACACTATAACACACACAGGTGTTTAATATTACATGTATATGGTTCTCAATTCTTTATTCATGTCATATATGACGACTTTTATTTGATCGGGAAGTCTGATAGGACTGTCAGAGTTGAGGCATACAGTAGTTATAGTAGTCTTGCTTCAAGACCCTGGACACCCCCCAACCCCCCCCCCCCCCAGCTTATCTACTTCAACAACTTCAGATGTTAGAAGTTGATGAGGGGGTCAAGGGTCCTGAAGCAAGACCATAATTAAAGCTTTACACTGATGCACCATCTAGGCCTTTAAAAAACATGATGATTTGAATATCCATTTCAACTAGGCTTAAATTTCTCAAAATGCAAAGTATGTACAATTGCAGATTATATCAGTGTTATTTACATCATGCCCTGTACACGCATCCCAAACCTTGTTTCTAAAAACTGTACATGAAAAGTTTTTCTAAATTATTTTAAAAACTAAAGCTGATCTGTGATCTTTGAATTTTGAAATAAATTTTACTTTTGATTTTAATTTATTGTTGTTTTCAATGATTTTGATTCATAAACTCAATCACTGCATGTCCCCCTCTCCCATGTATTTATTTGCCTTGATATGAACTGAGTGGGGTAACAAAGGCTTGATGCAAGATCTTTTCCTATTGCTTCATGTAAGACCATGTAATGTGTGATTTGTGTGAAGTATAGCATACAGTAAAATCTGTGTATAAGGGAACATGTGCAGACTTCTCACATAGTTTACAGTTTGAATTTACTACACAGCTCACACCCTGTATCCTATTTCATTAGTACTATACCCTGTATATTCAATTTATATTTCATGAAGAACTATATGTTGTGTATCATATTTCATGCCCAACTATCAAGTTAATTATATTCGCTCTCTCATGATTTAATATTTCAACAAAACACAAAATATAGTTATATGTATATCATACAAGTATATTTATATATAATATGCCTATTATACATTGCACTTCAAATTTTACAAAATAGGTACTGTTAGTGTATATTGTCTTAACATTCTCTCATCTAAATCGATCAATAATCATAATTCAGTAAACCCTCATACTACTCCCCGAAATCAATACATTCACTGTTCTAATGTTTCAGTCAGCAAAACTCATATACCATACTTCAGAGTATAAGTACTGAAGAAACTTGAAATACAAAAATTGATGCCCTCACTCTCAAATTGTACATTATTACCCCTGCCTCAAAATTTAACTGGCCCATAACATCATATTTGTTAGAGAGATTGCATTTTTCAAAATTTCAACCCAAATAGAGAGGATGGCACCAAAAAGAAACTTGGAAATTTGGACAGTCGATTTTGAGCCAAACCCTGAAATATTAATTTGCAAACGCTTGTTTTAAGTCAATGCAATAAAAATGCAGCTTAATTCAAATCGCCATGAAATTATTCCGCAGATTCAAAAAAGCGGTCAATAAAACTAGAAACATCCTCCACAGTGTATTTAATGTATTTGTCTGGGTTCTTCGTGAAGTTCATATGCATGTATTTATTCCGAAACATCTTATATTTGTCCAGTATATAGTCCTTATTGTCCTGTTTCATGCTTTTACGGAGATTTGGTTCTGGAACAGCGTATGCCTTTTGTAGGCGGTAAATATCCTCCATTTCCTTGTTAAAACCCTGAAGCAGAGAAGAATATGATTGGTTGAAATACCTCAAATGCAGGGGATGAAAAGGTAGAATCACCGTAGAATAAGATAAACAGACAAGTGGTCCATGAAATTTGTCAAGTATTTCAATATCATTGACACAATCAACTCTAAAATGTTAGGAACAGTAGGAAACTACTTCAATCCGTATTATTAGACACTAAGAAAAACTTCAGCACAATCTAAATCTAAATCAACATTATTTTAAAACTCAATTTGCTTATAAGGTTTAACCTCAATTTCCTTATTAGGTTTAACCTCAATTTGCTTATTAGGTTTAACCTCAATTTGCTAATTAGGTTTAACCTCAATTTGCTTATTGGGTTTAACCTCAATTTACTTATTAGGTTTAACCTCAATTTGCTTATTGGGTTTAACTTCAATTTACTTATCAGGTTTAACCTCAGTTTGCTTATTGAGTTTAACCTCAATTTACTTATCAGGTTGAACCTCAATTTGCTTATTAGGTTTAACCCCAATTTACTTATCAGGTTTAACCTCAATTTGCTTATTGGGTTTAACCTCAATTTACTAATATCAGGTTTAACCTCAATTTGCTTATAAGGTTTAACCCAAATTTACTTATTAGGTTGAACCTTCACTTTGTATGAGATAAATTATTTTTACATTTTTACTTACTGTGAATTTGTCCTTTATAATCTGCCTGTCTTTATCTTTAAGCTGAAAGCAGAAAATGTGAATGAATTTCTGTTCAACGACAATATTTTTTTTCAGTAATCAGTAATCAGCCTATAAAATATTTCCATTTATTCATTAACCACAATAAAAGTTTAATTGATTGTTTATTTGTTGATGATCCAGAAATAATTCTTTGTCACATCATGTATATCATACGTATAGATAATAAAAATCATTAACAAAGAAACTATTTCACAGAAAATCGTGAATGATAACAGGTACAAATCCTATGTTGAACAACCTTAATTTTGACAAAAACAAAGAAATCTTATAATACATGTAGTACAAGTACATTTGAACGGTAAGTCATTTTAAACCTGATGACTGTATATTATGTTATATTGAATATGGCATATTAATTTAGTAGGAACTCAGTCATGAAGATCAAAATGATGCCTCTGGTTCTACTCTTGATAAATGTCTGAATTGCTACTGATAAACATTTAAAGCAACATGTATTGAAATATCCCTGGTTACACATATATACATGTGTATACACAATTAATCATCTCCATGTATTGAATAAATGAATATTACATATAAGAAAATGCTATCAGTATGATACTTTTGTACCCAATTAACATACAACATGGACATGTAAATACAATGTTTTCTACATACTCTAATTATTTATAAGCAGAACATACTAATTTACAATCAACAAGTTGATCTAACAACAACTAACAATATAATTGAAGATATTCTTTTAAAACCAGTAAGTGAGAACAGACACAGCAAAGTGTATGAGATTAGTGTATCTACATGTATGACACATTCAGGCCAGTAGCCAGGGGGGTTCGCAGGGTTCGGGCAACCCCCCCCCCCTGGCCAAAAATCTTTCAAAATCATTCAGTTTTTCACCATTTTGAGCACTTGTGATTTTAGCCATATTTGGGCCAAAATTGTCAAATGTGAACCCCCCCCCCCCCCCCCCTGGAACTTTTTGAAAACTGAACCCCTCCCTCCCTTGGTAAATCCTGGCTACGGGCCTGCCATTCCTTCTAGAAATCTAGAGGCTTCCAACTCAGATATAACAGAGTGATAAGAGAGATTTTCAATATGGTAAGTAAATAAAAATCCCATTAGTGCAACTAAGAATGAGAATTAAAATAACTCATTTAATTGGGAGCCTCTTTTTGGTAAATATGTGACATTAGTTTTTTGTATTAAATACATGTATTAACTAATTTAGACTATTTCGAGACTGATATATCATTTGGGAGCCCCATTACTCAAAATAAAATAATTTTGGAAAACATTTAATATAGCATAAAGTTTCAAGGCACGAATCAACTTGAATGACTCTATCATATCTTCAAAATATTAAATTGTTGCGCTGAGACTGAAATGAATGCCCTTAATGTGTACATTTTAGAAATGAAGCCCTGATTATGAGTGTGTATAGGATATAAGTAGAATGTGACTGTTAGATTTATCTCAACAAAAATATCCTAATCTTGAAATGTAGAGAACTTAATCTTAGTGAGCATGTTTGATCATAAGGAACGCAATGAAAATATTTAACATCATATTCATATTCATAATATCTCATCGCAATTTCTCAACTTAGTTAAAGTATTTCTCTTCACATAATGTGCAAAGCTAAAGATGCAGAGATGTCTAGAACACCATATACAAATATCAAAGTCAAACAACCACTGTAATTACAAATTAACAGTTATTAGAATATTAGTATCACAACAACAGAATCCACATGTTAGAATAGGTGACCTTAAGTTTATGTATAAAGCACACCACAACTCATTACACATGTTAATATGTCCAAATGTTAAGTCTATAAAACAAAGTTAAGAAGGACATTTAAGTATATATACTATTAACAACTGCCATGTTCACCAAACTCATGACTACATTGATATATGTGAAAACAATTCAGAGGTCTCATTAGCAACATGCCATTTTCTCAAGTTGTTTTTACCCAAATTGCCAGATTTTTGAGGAATTTTGCAAATCAAATCAAAATTATTTCCAATACATTTGCTTGTTGTTTGCCTGTTATTTGAAATTCCAATGAAACCCATGAACGTGTTGTATTTTATGACAGGCAGGTTATCAGAAATTTATCTGGGGCCTATTTACTAAATGTACATAGTTATGGAATTTTGTTTCCGGATATCACTCTGAGAACAACTAAAATCCATAAATCATGCTCCAATACAGATATAGGAAATAGACCCCTGTGTAGTCAAAATACAAACAACGCCATCTATCAGGCAACAGCGCCATCTATTAGGCAACAGCTCACCTCCACTCCGCGTAAAAAGTCCTGTTTCCAAGCAAGACACACATTTCATAAATAATTAAGCTTAATAAAGCTAAAAGAGGAGGGAAAACCCCATGATTCAATTGATGACATATGATTTTCTCCTTCGCGCACCTCCTTTACGTATATTTGTTTACCCTCCATCTTGGTTTTCAAAGTTTTCAAATTGACCTAGTTTTAAACCAATCAATGATCGACTCGCTAAACCAATCAGCGACGATGTCATCTCAATACAGATTTACATTATAAGCATATGTCATCTTTGAACCCTTGGGTTTCTCCTTCTTTCTTAAAGCTACGTGTCAACTTGGAATGACATATATTAAAATCATGCAAAATCAAAGTGAATTCAGAAAAACTAAAAACTAAATAAAATATCTGGCAAAACATGTCTCTAATTTCCTGGATTATCTTTGCGTTAATTGACAAACGTTACGTGAAATAAATATTGGATGTTTCTGGTCATGAAATAGATATAGTGATAAATTAATGTATGATTGAACGATGGCTATCAAATCATGCAGTCTATATATAGGTTTGATTCAAAACATATTTCAAATTAGTTATGGCTAAAATGACTAATTAATTTTAAAATAAATAATAATCGGTGAAAGACTGAGCCTCACCTTCATGTGTACTGAGGCGGGTGACTCTGTTTTCTGCTGGGATATGGGCTTGAAACCTTCCATAACATAATGAAGCACACGACTCCAACTACAAATACACGCAGATTAAGATTACATAGATAATCTTATATCAAGGAAACAATATACATGAGATAAAATAATATAATGTAAATATGGTTATGTACTGAGTGGTTTTGAATATCAGGTTAATCCTGGAGGATGTATCTATATCTCTCCAAGGGACTGGTCATACATAACTTACCTTTGTGAGTATCTGCGTTTCTGTTCCACAATCTGGTCGTCATAGTATTTTTCTACATCTGGATTCCACAAGTGGACCACACTTAACAGCCCTGACCTACGATAAACATACAATCATGAATCTCATGCAATCTTAATGTTACAGATATTGCATTGTAACAAGTAATTATAATTAATTGTATATTTATACAATAGTAAAAAATGCTGTTTTCAGTGATCTAACCAGCTTCGAAACACTGCTTTGTTATATTGAAAGTTCAAAACTGATTATCATTTAAACATGGTTGAGAATCTGCTGAATATACTGACATATATACTAAAATATTTATTGAACAAGCCATTAACATGCAGAATGTCACCACCTGCCATTTGTTATAAGCACAAACCACGGCACTCCGAAAACCAACCACCATCCACAAAAAATTGTGGATGTGGTGGTGACATAATAACTTTATAGCTCTGTAATTGTTAATATATAGAAATAAATAGAATACATGAATAAATATATGTAGCTCTTACTTTTTCATTGACTTGAGTATATAGTTGTAGTTATTCAGCATGAATATGGCGCCCAGAGACTGGTCTGTGTAAACCTCTGACTTGTTGCTCATGTTCAACCCAAGTGCAGATAAAACTTTAGCTAGAAAATAAATGTTGTACACATCTGATAAGAACGCTATATGATTCAATGAACTGTCTCCTGCAGTGTGTGATGTATTTCATACGTATGGTATGAACTAGAATTCTGATTGATTACATTTGCATGATGTATAATCAAGTTGCTGTTAAAGTTTAATTGTATTTTCTCAAGTTTCTGTTGCATTATTGACACTTAATTTTTTAGGACATTGAAAGACTCTTACTCATATATTCAGCCAATTTTTTAGAATGTTTGTTATCTTGTCTTGCAGAGGGATCAGCTGAAAATAAATGAATATGATGATTAATGCAAATTAGTAGTCATCAGTTAGTCATAAATTACTAATTAGACAATGTAGGAATTATGACACTCTCTAGACAAAAAAAACATTCTAACTTAATATCATTCATCATAACATTCTGATGACAGAAATGAAAAATCTGTTAATATTATTTCACTGAGACTCTGTGAGTCATTGAATCATTGAATTTTCGGTATGAAGCTAGATATTCTAAAAGGTTTACTCACCCCCTTGTGTCATCAACATTGCCCCCACAGTGTCAGAATACTCCGCCAGCTGTTCTAAGAAATTAACAGTCTGAAAATATATGATATAAAAATATGATGTATTTCCAATATTATTTTATGTTATACCTCTCATCGGGACTTTGAGTCAGTGGGAGAGGTACTATGGGCAAAGAACTAAGCCCTAAGAACTTATGTTACCAGAGTACATGTATACTGGTGTCAACGATTTCAAAATATCACAAAAGAATATCACGTGTTACTATGCAAGATGTGTTAGCAAAAGTTATAAATTACAACCTTTAACATAAACCATCTCCCCATAAATACTGAGAACTCACATTACTGGTCAGCTCATGAACAGTGCCATCTTTTGGGAGATTGTACGACTTATCTGGGTCATTCTGTAAAACAAAAGTAATTTTTAAATAAATGATATATAACTGAAAGTCTTAATTGCCTTTTCATCATATTTTGTGACAAAAAAATTGTGACATCCAACTAATTCCTGTCAAAAACTAAATGAAGAAATCCAAAAACAACTTCTCCCTATTTTATGTCTAAAATAAATGTTGAAAAATTCACAAATAATTTATGTAGAGAAACTGATGCCCTACCTTGATTGTATCTATAAAATCCTGCAATGCTTTTGATCCCTGCAAAATTGAATGGATAACATGAATAACAAACAATCATTGAACTTGTACTCACATGACTTCCATATTTTCAAGTTTCACAAAAAGAGATGAACTCTAATATTATTATGCCACCAGTATTTAGGGTGTTTAAATTGTTTATATAAAAAGTAAATGAAATTTATGAGCATCTTCATACACTCGGTTCCAGTCAGTCACAGTGAAGACTGAGTGTGCTAATATGATCAGAGAGAGCATGTAACAGTCAATGTACGATGTATATGGTGCTGCCGTCTTTCAAACAGTATATATTATAAGTAAATTATATTTGTATTCATACACTCGGTTCCAGTCCAGAGTCGGTTGCAGTGAAGACTGAGTGCGCCAATTATATGATCAGAGAGAGCATGTCCATGTACCATGTGTATGGTGCTGCCATCTTTCAAACAGTACAATTATAAATCGAATACACAATATAAAGTTCATGTAAAAATAAATGCATACTCACAGTTGAGTTTAGAGTTGTGACTAGACTTGTCAGCAATTGCCTTGTTGGAGCAGAGCAGCCCTATAAAAAAAGATTTAAACATTTTTAACATACGAGTATTACACAGTATTTAGTTCTGAATCAATGAGACATTTGAGAATGCAATCAGCCCTCATGATTGGCAAAAAACACCCTCATGATTGGCAAAAAACACCCTCATGATTGGCAAAAACCACCCCCATGCCACTGATTCATATATCTTGAAAAGTTCCATGAATGACACAAAAAGATTATTTCAAAATATCGAATTTATAATATATTGCAATAAATAAACAAAGCATTAACATGCAAAATGGCATCACCTGTCATTTGTTACAGATGCCAAACACTGACCACCAAACACCAACCACCAAACACCATCCACAAAAAGACCATAACAAAATCACCACTTATGGTGGTGACATACAAAATGTGATTTGAAAATGCTTAGAGAATATCCTAATTATATTGATATAACAAGACCTGCCTAAATAAATAATAAAATACATAAACTAATTTCAATGTAGCTCTATAATACAGTCATACTTGAGACAGGATAAGAACTTCGGAGAAGTGATCATAGAATAGTTGTTTATGTCCATTCTGCAAAATGAGCTATATAAATATGATTAACGTAGAGTTAAGTGTCGATACCCTTTGTATTTCTTAGAATATACGTTAGAACTTCTGAGAAGAGACCAAAGAATAGTTGTTTATATCCATATAAGGCTCCAAAATGAGCTATATAAATATGATTTACATAGAGTTAAGTGTTGATACCTTTATACATTCACTTTCATTTCCCAAACACACAAACTCAACTTTTGTTACAATTTATACAACATTTTTGTAAAATGGCAGCAGCAATGAAGCAATACTGCGCAAAACCACCCAGCGTTGCTATTTATGACCTAGAGGCAACTGGACTTGGTAAGCATTTATGTGTTTAATTTATTTCACATTTTTGGCCTTTATATTCCATATTCTTTATTTTTATACCCTCATCTCCATATTTGTTATCTTTCAGGGCATCATTTCCCTTATCAATCTGATTTCCAATATTCATATTTCCTATTTTACATCCATCATGTTATATTTTGACCCCTTTCAAACACTTTACACTTTCTTCAATGAACTTAGATTTTCTGCTTTTAGAAAATTTTATGATGTCCATAAGAAAAAAACTTGAAACTAATTTCATATTATTTCAGGATTATAATATCACATATTTTTCACATAATGTAAATGTACTTAAATTACAGAAGACGATTCTCAGATAACACAGATATCTGTAAAGCTAGCGAATGGTGTGGTTTTCAACAGATATGTGAGGCCTACCATTGATATACCAGACAGAGTGGTGAGATTGACTGGTATTCAAATAAGAGGTGACAAAATGTATGCTGATGGTAAACCTGTACCCAGTGTGCCTATAGCCGAGGCTTTGAAAGACATGGCAGAATTCCTATCTGAGACCAAAGTGACCTTAACAGCTCATTATGGTAGGAACAAGCAAAAAACTCTTTTTTCTTAATTGTGTACCATATTTCCTCTTACATACACACATACTCCGATGAACATACACTCAACTTTAGTGCCAAAGAGTGGGAACAATTGCAAACACTGTCATGATTTGTCTATAGCATTTTTAAGTACTCTCATCAGTCACGATAGCCTTTAAGTTTTTATTCAGCCCCCCCCCCCCCTTCCCCCAATTTTAAAACACCCGAAAATTTCATTTCAGGAGATAGGTTTGATCATCCAAAATTGATGAGAAATATTAAAGCATGTGGCCTCATAGATGACTTCCGTGCAAAAGTCGATGGGTTTGCAGATACATGGATTTTCTTCAAGAAAGTATGGCAATGCAGGAGCTACTCACAGGAGAACCTTGCTAAAGATAAACTACCACCTAATTTAACTTACAACAGTCACAATGCAATAGACGATGTCCATGTCTTACAATTATTGTTCGAAAAGGTAAGTTTGATAAAATTTAGGTAGTTTAATATTTGAAATTTGTATTTCAATGTACAGGGCTTTATGGATTACAAACAGTACTCGTGCATCAATATTTTTTTTATTTTGGAAACATTGGATAGATGTTGAAGATCAATTCTACAGCTGTTATTTTAAAAATATGTTGGAATGTAAAACATCTGTATTTGAATCCCCACAGTTACTGGGATTTGTGTATGGTGTTTTTATTAGTATAACAGTAAAACCTGTGTATGTGGAACACCTTTGGTACCTCTAAAAGTGTTCAACTTTGGAGGTTTTCCACATTCCAGTCTTGAGACTCTGGAAAGTGTTCAACTAACAGAAGTGTTCCACTTTACAAATTTCACTGTACAGGTCTCAGTTAGGCAGTTAGGAGAACAGTCTCCTGAGCTAATAATTTTTTTATGAAAAGTATAGAAATATCTCCTAAATTAAATTATGAATATTCAAAAGAGGACATTTAAATCTATAAGATGTAAAAATATCATAATTGTCTGAAGCAGGCAGTGCAGTAGACCGATTCAATAAAATACAGGTCTGGATTTGGAGAAAGAAGTTCATCAGTGTACTGCGCTAATAATTTTTTTAAGAAGAATTTAGAAATATCACCCAAATTAAATTATGACTATTCAAAAGAAGACATTCAAATCTATATCATGTAATCAAATTTGTCCGAAGCAGGGATAACACTCAACTAGAGTGGTGAACTTCGTTCTCCAAACCGAGAATAGCCATTTGGCAAAATGAAAGCTAACTCTTTGAATTTGTCATAAACTTCATAAAAAGCAATCAATATCATAATACAATATGAAACATTTCATTTTAGGCAATGCAAGACATGGGATCTACAGACAAACGAGAGATCCCAGCCAACACATTTGATTATGTACTCAGGAAAACACGGAAGTGCCCTCCTCCCAAGACTCACAAATCCACAGGACCAAAGCGACAACGAGGCAGAAAATCAGTGCCTTAACCAATGAAAAGAAAAATATTACTAATCCGAAAGTACTGTTATTGAGACATTCTAAATTATTACTTGAGTTTGATTCCAATAAACCTACATGTAATTGTGCAATACAAGAATAAGAGACCTTTATTATCTGTCTTTGTAAATATGTGCTGGACAATATAAATCATATAAAACCTAGACATAGTATGTGATAGATGTTAATATTAGAGTCAATTTAATTAGAAAGTAAAACCAGTCACACATACACAGGACCGAACGTTCAATAAATATTGTACACTGTACAGACTAATATGGCATTGTGATGACATCAGAGAGTCAATTTTAGATATATAAAACAACAAATTAAATCATGTTCCCAAGAGACTATTTTTACTTTTGTGGTAGTTATTTGCTCGATTTAATATAAAAGTATTCTGTTGTAAATTACTCTCCAAGATCAAGTTCTCACAAATGAGTGTTACTTCATCTTATACTCTTATAAAATACATACTTCAGATACCATAATATGTCAAGCACTTGACCTTTGAGATATTCCTCTTGACATTTTGATATTTTAATACTGATTGTTTTTAAATCACTCCACAAAAAAACTTCGCAGAAAGTAATTAAAGGTGCAACAATTATATGTAGGGGGGGGGGGGCATTCAACCATCACTGACTCGTGTCAAAATATATTTAAGTTTAGATATTTCATCAAGACTAACATATATTTTTATTATCTACAAAGAAACCCTCTGGATGAACATTATTTTAGCTAATATTCCTCTTGAAACAGGGTGGATCTTAAAAATCTATAAGTGGGACTCCCTTTGAACTGAATTTATACTTCTTAATGCTTAAATTCATAGTTTATCCATACATTTTAAGAAAATAAGTATGTCAAAGAGGATGTTAAGCCAAATATTGACTTGATAGCTCAGAAAAAATAAAAAAATTTGAATTTTCTCTCTACAGTCCTTGTTTCCCCTACTTTAATAACTTACAAAGCTCAAAATACAACTGAGGATGTCAGACCCCTTCAGCTATTGTTTGAAAAAGGTATATTTATCCAGTATATTACAGTATATTGGGCCTCATTTAGTACAGTTTCTCAATATTTTTGAATCAGGAGGTCTCCAAGGGAGTTGTTAGATCATTTTTACAGCTGTGCAGTGCTGCATTTGAGTTTGTCTATATGTATAAACTGAATCAGTGTACAATTACTTCTCTTTAGTAACAATTTGCTTATTACAACATACTGGTGGTTTTATAAGTTAATATTTGTTATTTGTTACAAAGAGTTATAAACTTGAAAGTTTAGGTTTATCAACATTTTGAACCTATCACAGGTAGACTATCGGTTATTGACCTATAGCAGCACCCCGGGAGCAGCACTTAACAATATTATGTTCTTGTCATGCAGGATGTTAAGTGGCATATTACATTCCTCTGAAATGACAGGCGACCAATTACAATTTATATAGTTCTTTTTATTATTTATCTTAAAACTATCTGTACTGCCTATATAGGTAGCAGTAGCAGTACATTGGTAGCAGATATTTCTATAGGAAATTCACTGATAAAAAGATGTAGGATGATCAAATTCAGGTAGTGGAGGAGATGGGATCTCCTGACAACCAAGTTGTCCTAGCAATTACATCTGAACATTTCCTCAAAAGAAACACAGGGTATTGAACAGACAAATCCAAGTCTCTTATAGAATAACAGAGCGCTAGCAAAATATGTTGATCTGATTGAGTTTATAGGTGCATATTTATCCAATCAGTGTAAATTATTAACCCTAGGTAAACTATAATCCTATTCTAAAACATAAAATCTGAATTAAATATAATAATGTGGGTTCTGAATAAAGGTATGTACATAAATACATATTAAAGTTGAAAATTGTTTATATTGTATATAACTATTGGTACTATATGCTATATTCGGTTCCTAGTCAACTCGTACCCAAGACAACTCGTACCCAAGACAACTCGTACCCAAGACAACTCGTACCCAAGTTTATTATCAGTATTAAGGGTGCATATTAGGAAAACAAATTGAGTTTGTATAATAATGTTTTCATGTTAAAATGTGAATCAAATAAGCCTCAATATTTTCTTTTTAATTTAGAAGACATTTTTTCTCAATTCATTGAGTTAAGCATTTTGATTTAACTTTTGAGTCACTTTTTTATATAAAATAAAAGAAGTACTTGAAGAGCTTGTTTCAACATTTTTTGTTAATAAATATAATTACAATTGTAACTTTTCTACAAATGAATCAAACAATTAATTTTGTGCATTTAGAGAAAGTTTAAAGGAAGTTTAATCTGTTAATTTCTTTTTTTCTACTTGGAACTAAATTGGATTATGTTTGAGCACATGTGAACAAAATGTATTATATCATGTATGAATATTAATATTATAAATTAAAATATTTTATTGCTAAATGTCATGAATGTGACTTCTGATAATATGAAATCCTAGACAAATAGATTATCTGTTAATAAGAAATAAGGCCCAAGATTTGATAAATCTCTATTTTTATAATAATACCACCTTTCAAGATGAATTAGATCTGACACTTGTTCTAAACACTCATAAACATTTTGAAAAATGATTAGAAATATGTGTAATAAACATAGGTCTCTTCACTCAAACATCCTGAATCTATGACCAATATAAAATAACAGTCAAAATAAATTGACAATCAAAGCTCAAAATGTCACAAAATTAAATTAATTTCTTTCGAAAATGCTTCTTCAAACTTTTAACTATTCTGAAGAGTATGTAACAATTATAATATGTATATCTTTTTACATTCCCAGTCCAACGTTTGATTCAAAACAAAATATATACTTGGGTACGAGTTGTCTTGGGTACGACTTGTCTTGGGTACGACTTGTCTTGGGTACGAGTTGACCAGTTACCCTATATTCAATGTTGACACTATTATGCTTCAGTCTAAGAAAAAAAAACTGATTATTTTCCATTGCTGGAACTGAGCCTGAGGACCTCTTGCTACTATCTTAGACAGATGCTAAGACCACCAGCAGCATCCAGACAATCAAACATGTATCATATTCACAAATGTTTCCAATGACCTCAGAAATAGTTCTTTATAAAACTTTTATAAAGTGATCACAGACTTACCTCTAATGTTATGTCAAAATCTGGCTTGATGGTTCGTAGATGTTTCAAGACATGGCACACAGACAAAATGGCGGAGAAATCATGACGTCCTGTTGCCCATTTGGCCAATGAGGAGATATTCTGGAAAACAGATTATAACAATAACTAGACATGTAAATTGAACAAGTTCAATTTAAGACTCCAGATTTCAAACTTTTTTCAAGCTGAGTCATCCAATTAGCCTTTTGCGATCAGAATTCAGGAATTTTGTTTATGGATACTGTTGTCATGTATTTTGTCTTATTGGTGTGACGTCATATAGAAATGATATTAGACATGATGGAATCACGAAATGGCGGACACGTGGCAGTTTTGTGCAAAAAATATTGTCGTTTCTTTTATGAAAACCATGGGTCGGATATTTACCAGGTATGCCGATTTGACTAGATCATGATTATATCTATATATGTGCGAAGTTTGGGTGAAATTCATACTAAACATCGATGCCTATAAGCGCCCCCCGATTTCTTCAAAATCGGGGGGCGCTTAACCGCTATCTAAATCACGTCAGTAAGATCTTAGACTTGGTATGTACTTAGAATGAATGTTGATCTAGTCAAATAGAACGCTTTCGTGAAAAATAAATCAATAAAGCACGAAATATAGAAGATAATCTCTCAAAATCAAACATCTAAAGCTGAGTGACCTAATTGTGACGTCACTTCAAGATAGAATCCATCCTGTGATCGCAAATCATCAATTACTTGTAAGCTGAGTCATTCAGAATAAGCTGAGTCAGCTAGAATATAGACATTTAGACAACTCTTAAGAATATTGTCCTGGACTCCATTGGCTTAACATGGGAATATCATCATATCGACTTTTCGAGACTTCAAACTGCTATAACTATCTAACCAGAAGTTGGATTGAAATTTGGTTAAAGATTCGGATTCCTGAGAATATTCTACCCTTAATTCATAACTCATACGTTAAATTTGGAGAACTTTTTATTTTGACCTACATTTCGGACACCATATCTCAAAAGTGGGTCAAAACGCTTTTTGACAGCAAAAGGCTGACACTATTAACACACTCTTCGCCACCTGTATAAAAAGTTTCGAAGCAAATCATTAAAGTGTAATGTCAGAATCGCAAAAATAAGGAAAAACTATGAATTTGACCTAAATTTTGACCTAGGCATTTTGGTGTCCAAATTTTAAAGCTAGATAGGCTTCGGGGTCCCCTTCTTTTATAGGCTTTCAGAATGTTAAGCTGTATTCAGTCTATATCTGGTATTTTACACTTCAAAAAAATCTTTTTTCTCATTGACATAACATGGGGCACCAAATTAAGCGATTTTTGAGCCATAACTTTGGAACCGAAAGTCGAATTGAAATTTGGTTTGCAGATTCGGATTCCTGAGAAAATTCTACCCTTCATTCATAACTCATACGTTAAATTTGGAGAATTTTTTATTTTGACCTACTTTTCGGACACGCCATTACTTTGGAACCGGAAGTCAGATCGAAATTTGGTTTGCAGATTCGGATTCCTGAGAAAATTCTACCCTAAATTCATAACTCATATAATAAATTTGGAGAACTTTTTATTTTGACCTACTTTTCGGACACCATATCTCAAAAGTGGGTCAAAATACTTTCTGACAACAAAAGGCTAACACTATAAGCACACTCTTTGCTACACGTGTACAAAATTTCGAAGAATATAATTACAGTGTAGTGTCAGAATCGCAAAAATAAGGAAAAACTTTGAATTTGACCTAGATTTTGACCTAGGCATTTTGGTGTCCAAATTTTGAATCTATGTAGCTTTTGAGGTCCCCTTCTTTTATATACATTCATTATGTTAAGCTGTACTCAGTCTATATCTTGTATTTTACACTTCGAAAAAGTCTTTTTTCCCATTGGCTTAACATGGGTACCAAATTTAGCGATTTTTGAGATTTCAAAACGCCATAACTTCCGAACCGGAAGTCGGATCGAAATTTTGTTTGCAGATTCTGATTCCTGAGATAATTCTACACTTATTTGATGATTCACATGTTGAATTTGGAGAACTTTTTATGTTCTGACCTACTTTTCGGACACCATATCTCAAAATCGGTAAGAGTAATCAAAAAACGGTTTACCATTCGTAATAAGCTTTTTCTAAGGAACATGATGAAAAAAAACCGGAGTGAAAATACCGAAGGACGACTGAGAAAACTTGTAAAATAGTGAAAAACCACGATTTGACTTAGTTCTTGACCTTTGACCTAGATAAAAAGTTGACCTAATTTCCCAGAAACTAGGCCTCATTACCTAGTTGACTGTGTTAGCAGATTTAAGTAAGTCCTTCTAGTTACCGAGAAAACGTGACAAGAGAGAAAGAATAATAATAAGAAGAAAACTGGCAAAAGCAATAGACTCCAGATTTTCAATCTGGAGTCTAATAAGTTGATTGAATCAGTCCAACAATAAGGCATTTATATGACAAAATGTCACTACAGGGTGGTCCAAAAAATGGGACACTCGTATTTCAAAAACAAATATTAATTTTCGTTGTATCAATGATGCTATTGACCAGTTTAAGCCAAAATTGAGGGCTATAATTGATCAAAGTGATGGATATATTGACTGTCTGTTTATGTAAATAAAGTTGACAAAAAAACTTGGTTTTTGCAAGTTTTGGAAAAACCTGTTTTGAAACGAAAATGACGTCATTTATATTATGGACACTGATTGACAGACATTATAATAAATTTGAACTTATAATATACCAAATTAAATGTAAGTAAATTCCCTATCCACTGGTTTATAATATGACGTTTTCAGAAAAACCAATATAATTAATCTTTGAAATATGAGTGTCTCATTTTTTTGGACGACCCTGTACATGTACCTTGTTACAATTGTGTAACCATTTGTTACAGAACCCAAAATGTCATAAAGGTGGTCACAAAAAATGGTGACATAACAATAAAACTAAACTGTTGTAATGCACATGGGTATAGTCATTAGAAATCATTACATGTAAATTGGACACCATACATTATTCCTAGGACTTAATCTTTTATACTGTACCTCCCCATCATTTGTGAGAACTTTGAGGCCAGGTTGAACAAGGACATCAAAGATCTTTCTCTGGTGTTTTTCTGGAATAATCTCAGTCATAAGACTAGCCTCACTCTAAAAATATGCAAAATATAGTGTATACAATACATGTGTGTACAGTACATGTTCTACATGTAAATCATGTAACCATTTTAAGACTCATAGCATAAAAAGAATCCAAATCATCCTACTGTAGTCCCCAAAAGACAAATCACTTTTTATTAAAAAAAAGGTTTGATCATTTATAGAATGGGTTTTTACATTAATATCTTTGGCGAAATAAATATGCATTTTATTTGTTTTGATATCTATGTTTCACACGCATCAAACATGGGTAACATGTCTAATGAGAATGAAATCAAAATATCTATGCCACTGACTCTGAACAACTTAGACACATAATTATACCTGGAGTAGTTTTAAAAGAGCTGATGCTGTAACAACATAGACCTCAACCTCTATCTCAGGGATTTCATCTTTAGCTACATCTGTTGGCTGCCCACTCACTGTACGTTTATGACCCATAGCCATACCTATAAGTATCATTTCATAAACTATGCTGTATAACAGTATTACAAACGAAAGTATTGTGTAATTTTAGTCATATTCGCAACAGGCCCGTAGCCAGGGGGGGTTCTATGGCCAAAAAATCTTTCAAAATCATGCAGTTTTTCACCATTCTAAGCACTTTTTAAGTGATTTTGGCCATTTTTGGACCAAAATTGTCACAAGTGAACCCCCCCTGGAATTTTTCAAAAAAATGTCAGTCAAGCAGTTGGTGAAACTCTGCCACAAATATGTGTACATGAAAATACACAATTTAATGAAAATACACAATTTAATGAAAATACACAATTTCAACTCATGCTACAAGTTTTAATACTCCTGGTGTAACATTTCAAACATATGATTTTTGTGATATATTTAAATTGTACATCACCTACAATTTGATTTTTATGATAATGTAAACTTGATAACATTTTAGACACCACCTGCCATTTGTTACAACATCGGCTTTCTTTTTTTCTTGAATGCCCATGGTTACAGAGATCGACTACTCTTACACATGCCAAACCCAAACACCAACTACCAAACACCAGTCACAAAAAGTATGAGACCATACAATGATACAATATGTCACCTCTTCTGGTGGTATATTAATATAATGGATATTGAATGGATTCTTGATCCATTTAATTAGGTGAATTAATTATATCAGGAATGATAAAATAATGTTTTTTCGTCTTTTCTAATTGAAAATACATTTCATAGTCAATTTAGTGCTATTAAAGAATAGCGTCCGACTCTCAACAGGTGTGGAATAACAAAGCTAATTTTCTTTGAGGAGAGGGGTAAATGACAACTCAATAGTGTGTAAAACATCATTTTTGCCATATTTTGTCATCTTAGAGTATGGAGCATCTTCATTCACTCAGCTTCCATCAGTCTAAACGCAGTGAAGACAAAGTGTGTGAAGTTGATAGGGAGGGGATTTAACTAAAATGAAATTAACTTTGTTTTCCACCACTGATAACAAGTGGGCCTTGGCATGCAGACTTCAACCATATACTCCCACCCTACCTAAAATCTCACTGTTAAAAAATGCACACACACAAATATTAATAGTTTTAAATCTACATTAAATTTCTCCCTCATGTAATCCAGCAGTATTTCCAACATTATACGAGGATACTGTGCAGTTTTGGATTATAGACACTCTTACTTTCTACGCATACATTTTTTAGTAAATAGTCCAGTGCAACATGGCCATTAAAAGACCATTAAATTGAATGGAGGGATCATTTTAGAATGATTTACATATGTTTCTTGGCGACTGGGGCCATGTGTTAGATTCATGGGTAGATTCATTCACATACTATTATACAGGGGTCATACATTGGTTATTAATTTGATCAAGAAAACCCCACAATACATAATGCATAATACAGACAGATGGACGAATGGGTTCCATTGGTGTATGTTGCCTCAATCAAATGTTCTAAACTCTTAATCATATCAATAACCAAATGTATAAGACTGTTGTTAAATTCCATGCTGTTATTTTTGTACAGAGGATCCAAAGAGGGATTCATCTCAAATCATTTTTCAATATTTACCAATTTTCTCAGCCCCTGATGTTACCATCTTTATACCTGTTTAAGCAAGTTGTATGAATGGATAAATGAATGATTGTGTTATGATTGATCAAATATATACATGTATGTAGAATTCAAGATGGATGCCAATTTAATGACAGAAACTTGACTTATTCAATACATTATGAGAGGTTCAAGAGTAGACATTAATATATTCTAAAGATGAACATGTATTCATGTTAATGAAATGAAATAAAATGAAACATTTGCAATATGATGATGATGTTTAAACATGATGAAAGCATAAAATGTAAAATAAAAAAGTAAAGTAAAAAAATAAATAAAAAATAAAATAAAATGTAAAATAGATGTGCAAATAATGAAAATCTATATACCTGCTTCCATTTTAAAGCCATGGAACTGCTGCTTAATAGTGGCAATAGACCCTTTCCTACTACCAAACTCTGCAAATCTGGAGGAAAGATTTTATTGGTTAGAGTCACAGCAGGTTAAACTATTTCTTCAAAAAACTTTGTAACAAAGAATTTTTTAATACACAGGCACAGAATCCTTTGCAATGAAGCTTTTTCTCAAAGAGATTCATAACAAAGCAATTTAACCTTGCTATGTTACAGATATACCATTGTTAATACAGTAGTGTATTTTGTCAAACACCCTGAAGTTTAATGCAACACAAAATTTTTATTGCCTGAATTAAGGATCCTACCAAGAGTACCTATTGGTCCGTGCTCTTACACAAGTAAAATATAATTTATAATCCAAGGCAAAAAACTTAAAAACTTTACTTTTAAAAATAACATTGCAACCATTTGAATCTCTATTTACACTCAAACAAATATAAAAGAATTTGGTATTTTGACCAGAAATCAATAATATATTCGGCATATTATATATTAATATAATCATTTTGCAAACTATTCCATTCCTACATTTCAGCGCGAAGTTTGCTGAAACCGACTTTTGATCATTTGAAAGTCTTACACAGGAGTATAATGGGTTTAAATTCAAGTTATGCTTACAAATATTGATTAAAATAACAATAAATTTCTATAATTCATAAGATACACTTTCACCTGTTCTTCCTAGACTCCCTTCTGGCTGGTATGGGCTTCTGTGGAGTCCTGGGTTTGTTGCCCTACAACAAACATATGTGTGTCATAAAACATGCAACTCTTCTCATTTTGAAATAACTTCATCATTAGACCTTTCAAAGAAACCCTGTCACCTTTTGGTACATCGAAGAAGCTATGATATATTGGCCAGATTGACGATGTCATATATGTTGTGCTTTTTCAGAATTAGCAAAAGGCCAAAACTGATCCTATTTTGACTCAGCAGATTACTCCCTACTTGTACAACCTATGGAAAGGTATATTATAATTAAAAGGAATCGTCATGAATTCTCTTGTGATATGACAGAGTGCTCAATGAGTGTCATCTTTGGCAAATGTCTCAATGTCAAATGTGACATCTTGCACATGTAACAGTATTATAAGGTAAGGTACTCAGATAAAATCAGAGATAATTGAAATTATTAGATTTTAAATCAAAGTATTGATTTAATTTTAAGGTTACTTACAACTGCAGGAGACAAAGGCATGTTGAAAGTGCCGCTACCCCCACTTCCTGTCTTCCCATGATCCTTCAGTCTGCAAATAATAGTATTATAATATCATGTAACTATTTCAATATAGCATAAATTTGGATGAATCACAGATGAATAAAGCATAAGACATATGAGTTAACTTACAAAGACACAATTGAATTGAACTTGTTCTAGGTGTTTCCAGATCTATGTGTTGAACTGTCAAAAATAATTTTACTCTGCTGTCATTTAATAAGCACCGTAAATTCTGAGTTTGTCAACTGTTTGTCTGAGTTTGTCAAAAGTCAAAATGAGCATATATAAACTATAAAGTACAGGTGTACTTACACTTCTAGTGATCTCGTGACAACACCAGAGCGTATCTGTGCATATGCATTCATAAAATCATATGAATTCCCTTTAGTTGTCAGCCACTTGGATATTGTACTGAGGTCTTCAATTACATCTTGTGATAGTGTTTCTAACTTGAGTGACTCATCCTCAGACTTTTCCTCTACAATATGAAGGCAAATGAAAAAGTCAATACATGAAATGGTTTTGATTTACATGTGAGCCACATCTGTGATTTTGAACCAAGAATAATCCAGATAGAATATTTAATTCTGAATATTATATATTATTATATCACTATCTAGCTAGCGACAGTATGATTGGTCAAAACCGGGTCACATGTCGTGGGATATCTGGCGATATTCAATGGCAATGCTAATCAGATAAGACAACCGTGAGATATCTAGCGATATCCCACGCTCCCGGGAATTTTCAAAGAATTTGTTTTCGTTCAGTGTAAATAATTTAGTTCAGTTTAAGTCAAAATGGCAGACGAACCGAGTAGATTCGTAAAAATATCTGAAGACTTAATGACTTAACAATATTAGGGATGTTTAGCTAGACAGTGATATAATAAAACAAATATTTCACTCTATTTTCGGTGAAAACCTGTAGCACTTTCACAAGGTGATATTCCACTTGCCCTTCGGGCGTTGTGGAATATCACTTGTGAAAGATGTACAGGTATTCACCTCGATAGAGTGAAATATTTGTTCAGTATTCCATAAAATGCTTATTAGTTACATCTGCATATACGAGGGTTGTCCAAAAAGTATTGACATTATTGTATTAATATGAAGCCAGAATTCAAAAAATATTTATTTATTTAGATTATTTAGGTAAGAGCTTGTTACAAATATTATTGAATGTTCCTTGTATATGCATCATATACAAATGTTCTTTGCATCACTCAAACAATCTAAATGGGTATTTCATATTAATAATTTATAATCCAAAATCTTATAGAATAAAAACATTTTTCTGACAATGTTATTACAATGTATTTTCATCCAATTTTGTCCAATCAGAGAAGGACCGACAGGATACAATGTACATATACAATAAGAAAACAACTTAACAGAAATAATAACATCATTCTATTCTGTAGTTAGAAAACTAATATATTCAGTCATATTGGGTAAAACAATAACAGATATTCGTAATTGCAAGATAATTCAATGTCCAATCAAATACAATTTAGATGTATTCCACTAAATATTGATTTTAATGTACATGTACAGGGTGTCCAATAAATAAGGTGAAAGATATTGTAACTTTCTTAATATTGCACCAATCTTGGTGAAATTTTCAGAGTTTGTAGCTCAAACCTATTTACCTTTATTCTGTGAATTTAAAGCGTCTTCTATTTGATTGGCCAGAGTTGTGGTTGCTATAGCAACCGAAACAACAAAATGGCGGGGCAAGTTTGTCTACGTCACAACTTTCCAAAACATATTTATTCTTTCTGATAGCTTTATTCATACTCCCAGGTCTATTACCATCACAAATACAATATAAAAACAGTCCTAAAGTACAATTGTTATGAAAATAAGCTATTCAACATAATGTCCATCTCTAGCTTTACACTTCTTATGCCTATTCACCCACTCTCTAAACACACACACTTTCAAACCCATTCTTGCCCATTTCCTGAAGTCCTGCTAAGACATGTGATCTGAGTTCATCAGTGCTTCCAAATTTATTTCCTCTCGAGTCACGCTTGAGGTCTGCATATAAGTAAAAGTCATTGGGTGCAAGGTCTGTGGAAAATGGAGAGTGTGCAAGTAGGGGTAGCCCAAGTGCCCTAATAGTTTCACTAGTGAGCATAGCTGTGTGTGAACTCAGATCACATGTCTCAGCAAGACTTCAGGAAATGGGGAAGAATGGGTTTGAAAGTGTGTTTAGAGAGTGGGTGAATAGGCATAAGAAGTGTAAAGCTAGAGATAGACATTATGTTGAATAGCTTATTTTTATAACAATGGGACTTTAGGACTGTTTTATATCGTATTTGTGATAGTAGTGAGCTATCGACCTTGGGGAAGATGGCATCGGTCACTATAGAGGTTTTATCTTAACTTGGGATATATATTTCTTCACTATTTTAAATATGTGTGTTTTTATTCATTATTTCAATTTGTAACTTTATAATTGTAACTCTCTAGTGATTAGAGGTAAATAAATATACAATACAATACAATAGACCTGGGAGTATGAATAAAGCCAGCAGAAAGAATAAATATGTTTTGGAAAGTTGTGACGTAAACAAACTTGCCCCGCCATTTTGTTGTTTCGGTTGCTATAGCAACCACAACTCTGGCCAATCAAATAGAAGACGCTTTAAATTCACAGAATAAAGGTAAATAGGTTTGGGCTACAAACTCTGAAAATTTCATCAAGATTGGTGCAATATTAAGAAAGTTACAATATCTTTCACCTTATTTATTGGACACCCTGTATATCTTAATATTAGGAAGTTGGGTTAGGTCAGAAAAGAACTCAGAAGTTTAGCCTTAAAGGAATATTCCTTGCCAAACCATCTCTCTCCTCATATGGTAGCTATAACCATATATATGCTTGCCATGTTTAGCAAAACACGCAAAAATGTTTTGATACGGTCAAATTTGATCACTTAGAAATGTGATGCTCAATTCCAGTAAGCTGCCATCTTTTAAAATTTCACACAGGAAGTGATGTCATCGACTCTCAACTTTGCATATAGCATTAGGTGAGGAGCTATTAAGAATTACAAAACCAGCTAAATATTCTTTTTCAACTTTGTATCTTATTTAATCCTTCTGAAAATCTCTTCTTTTATTCTAAGTTGACAAGCCCTGAAAATATTTTTGCACAGAAAGTAATGATCACTTGTCTAGAAGTGATTTTGTGCTACTTTCCTATACTGTTATGGGCAAGGTTATAGAAGTTGAGAGTTGATGACATCACTTCTTGCAAGAAATCTTAAAAGATGGCAGCTCACTGGAAATAAGCACTAGATTTTTAAATGATCAATATTGACCATATTAAAACATTTTCCCATGTTTTGCTAAATATGGAAACTATATATATGATTATAGCTACCATATCAAGAGAGAAAGGGTCTGGCAAGGAATATTCCTTTAAATCAATGACACTGTATAATATTACATTAAGGGATATACAAAGCATACCTTTTTGTCGGTCACAATACAATATTCAGCTATTATATATATTGGATTAACATATGTTAAGCAAGCATAATATAACATATCAACAAAAACCCTGAATTATCATAATTTCACCAAAAGCCTATCACATTATCCCATGTCATAAGTTTATTTTGAATTTCAGTGTAATTTTTCACAAACTGATTTCAATAATAAACTTTGACAATAGTTTTTTTTTAATTACGTTGGGATCTCCATTTTTTCCTCAAGTAAGTCGATGGATCATCCTCCAATAGATTGGGATGTGTAACCTCTGATCCAAAAATCACATATTTATTCAAGAAAAATGTCAAGAGAAATCTTCAATAAATTTCTGTTTCAAAAACAATATGTTAAATTAGCAGTATATTTTCTTTATATCTATCTAATATTATATTGAAGAAACCTAAAAATTATGTATTATATTGTAGAAACCTAAAAACTATGTATTATATTGTAGAAACCTAAAAACTATGTATTATATTGTAGAAACCTAAAAATTATGTATTATATTGTAGAAACCTAAAAACTATGTGCTATGATAATCATAATACTAAATGGAAATGGACACAATAATGATGTATTTTGATGACAGAATTTCGGAAACAAAACCATTTAAATATTTATAATTCATTATTGCTCATTATACATACCTTCCGTCTCTGATAGTTTATTCAAGAGAGCGATGGCTGGTACAGGCTTACTGTACTGTTGAAGAATGTCTTTGAATTCTCGCTCCAGTGAATCTTTCCCCGCTTCAAATAATGTGGTCTGAAAACAAAATGTTATTTCCTTATACCACTGTATCAGTCACTTTGCAGGTCCACAAAAGTGATTTATCCAAGAGACACTTTTCATTGGATAGATAGAACATTATTTGGGATGTTGGAACTTATGACTGATTCTACTCGTCAATGTTCCCTTTCTATCTGTGTATTGATTATTTCAGTTTTTATCACCTGGCTTAGAACATTTATAACACTGGTAAATATTAAATCCAGAATAAATACACTCTACCCTAGCCTAACCACAATGACAACAACATTTGGAGATTTAGAGTTGGAACAAAATATCATCACAATTCATACCGCAGTTGACATTTCAGGACTCGCTGGGTTGTTGATTTTGAAGTAATCCATGGCTCCCTGTAGCTTCTCCATACATTCAAGGTAGTGCTCGAGTCCAGCACTGGGTCTAGGTGGAATAAAACAAAATACATGTTATAATTCTCTACTATTGCATAATACGATGCAAAGATACTAAAATTTTGAAACAAATGTTGTGCTCTTATTTTTAAATATAAACTGAAGTTATCATCTCAAATGCAATCACATACATGGTGAACCAGTGCTTATGACACATCCTGATTATTATAGGAGAGATCTAGCTTCGGAAATTCTCATCATTTTGAGAAAATAGACTCTTAAAATATGTATCTTGGCCATTACAAACAATTATTACATTTGAAATGAACATTTTTATATTCATTTGTATTACTTACCCCTCTCGTATGTCATTGTCCACCTCTCTGGCAATATGATAGAAATTTATAGCATTATCCAGTGATTGAAGGGTCTTTTCCACATCTGTGATTGGTTAAGGCTAAATCTTTAGGTAGAGAGTAGGGGAAACAAAAATTGACAACAATAAGTAACTTACATAATTCTTTTTTACACAGAGCAGTTTTATCAATAATTAATTAAATAATCAACTTTTCCAATGACAAGATTTAGAGAGGTTCGTATTTTGAGGGTGCTACCAGAAGGTCATGACTTTGAATAACTTTACCATCATCAGATCCGCAAATTTCAAGTTCAAGTCATCCTGCCCAGCTTTAATTAAAATGCACAAAACTATGTGCATATATGTATGTTCCTTTGCTACTGAGCATATGTGGTTCTATATTCTAAAATGAAATAATGCAAAACAATAATGTCATATACATGTGCATGATAACAGGCCATATTGCAATGAGGATACTTTCTTGACGTCTTTGTAAGTTGCCAGTTTCATTGTATACTGGTACAATTGTGTCTTCGAGTTTGCGTAGTCTTCCATCAAAGTTACTTAGAATTGTCAACATGTTTTCCGTCATCTGATTACTCTTCATGAGAGATGCCTTAAGGTTGGACAGATTTCTCATCTCCTGTAACAATGCATACATGTTAACGTTCTTGTTCTTGTGCTATATGATGTCCAGAAGTAGGAAAAACCAGGAAATTGTTTAACAGTGTGACAAGTACAAGTCCTTAATTGTACAATAATGTGAATAACAGTATCGTGATTTATTATTTAAGCTATTGACGGACAATGGATACATTATAATCTAAATCACTTTTCTTGTGTATCAATCAAACCTAAAAAATAAGCAAATGAAGGATCAATTATCACGAATACGTAATATTGTACGTGCAAAACTTTTGCATCAGTTCTATATCTAGTAAATCTGTGGCCTCTTTCATGAGCTTTCAACGCAATCACTCCAAGCTATACTACAGACATATGATATTGCACAGTGGCCTATTAATTGCTAATATTTCTTGATTTGATTGATTGATTGATCATTTATGATGCACAGATAAATAATAATAATAATAATAGCTTCTAAGAGACCAAATTGTCACATTTCATCTCCACCTTGATGAAATAGAGCTTGAGAACTCATTTTCATTTACATTTAAATGATTCTTACTGTCGAAACATATCGACAATTGAATCAGGAAATAATAAAATAAATAAAAATTTACCCGCTGAAGTTTCTCATCAATATCTGCCTTATTGACGATTGATTCGTCCATTTTTACAATTCGTATGGAACCCTTCTATAATATTTTAAACATGGTTTATATGAATGCGAGTCCTATCGTGTCAATACATGAGATACAAGGCAATGATTGAAGAAAATTTTGCAAAAATTAAAAACGGAAATGCGTCTTTTGGATGGCAGTATGTCGTAAATTCGCACTAGTTTTGCGAACGATCAAAAGATTTGTTTGTAGATCACGAACGGATCATAAGCTCATTGAGACTGGGCCAATAAATGAATAAGTTCAAAGTGAAAGTGTCGGCTAACACAATAAGATTCCACAAAATAAACTTTCACAATCAAGCAAACAATCGATCAATCAACCATCATTTGGATAATCGAACTGCAATGACGCACAATCCGAAGGGGATTAGCAATGGTTAGCACAATCATCACAGCCGAAAATAAACATAATCAATCCTGAATTCCATGTACTATACTAGGAGGTTCTGAACAAAACAATGAACACAATAAAATAAATTATGAAAAGATGGATCTATCTCGGGTTCAGTTTGGAATTGCGTTGCTCTGGCACAATCAAATAACGGATTGTACAAATCACTTGATGTGAAACATTTGATGGGTTAATAAAATAATTCAGAAAAATCATTATGCAGACCGTAATAAAAACAATGCCCCCCCCCCCCCTCCCCCGACACAACTAGAACATAAACTACCTGTGTAGTATCTTGACTACTGAGAGTTTCTCTCTCTCCCATCATGCCGTTTTCAAAACTCTATTCCCCCAAGCTTCAGTCATTTTGAGTTGCCGTCTTAACTTTTGAATAATTATTATGTCACCACCATAAGTGTTATAGTCTCCAAGTCCAACATCACTAGGCCTATGGCCGGTCATGGGACGTTGTCCTGCCTGTTCGGCGATTGGCATTTGTAACAAATTCTTTCGGAGTCAGGTACTGTTTAGACTGACTTCAAATTTTCACTGTCAAGATGTATTATAAAATATAGTTTCACGGTGTTCATATATTATGAGTTCTACTGACAAATCTGTGTCAATATCTGTTACCCGTGCAACATATTGAAGGTCGAAAAAGGTCAAAACCACTACTTGCAATTGGTGACCTTTATCAGTTTAACGCCTTGTATTTTTCTTATAAAACTCACAAGGCGGCCATCAGAACTCACCATTGGTCCGGATTCCAATGGTCCGAATCCCAATTATCCGAAATCCAATCGACCGAAACCCAGAATGGTCCGAATCCCAATTACACTGGTGTTAAACGTAGCTTGGACATACTGCTCCGTAACGTTAAGATCATGATACATGTATATCTGTGGGGGTTTCAAAAATTCTCTAGATCGCTTATTTGATATATATGTTTCAACCACAAATGGTGTGAGTGAGCTTTTGTTCATATATATGGAAGCACGAAGATCGGTAAAATATAATATTAGAAAGGTTTGTTAAAAGATTTCAGATTTGTCAAATTGTTTAACTTTGATGAGGCCATTTACAGTATCTCCTTGTTAAGTTTTTATCTCATTAATATTTATCAAAACCAATAGAAACCCAAGTGTGAGTACAGTAAAACCTTTGAATTACATTATTTAATTCAAAAGAGTTTGCTTGCCCGAATACCATTAGTGGTCCAAATCCTTATGTTCCGAATCCCATATAATTGGTCCGAAACCCAATCGTCCGAGTCCCAACAGTCCGAATTAAATCCAATTAGTTGCCATTGGTCCGAATCCCATTGGTCATTTTAACATCTAAATTAGTTGTTGTGAGCGTTCTTGAAGAATTTACAAATTTACGCTATTCTGTTGTTGAACCCAAATCAAGTTTTCAAATGATGTCTTCGATTAATGTAAAGCTGAAATGGTACAAAATAATCGCAGTAGAAATGGTTTCGCATGTTGCAACGTATATGTAACGCAGCACGACACAACAGAACACGGCAATTTTTGAACAAAATCTTTTTACACTTTACGCAGCATTTGTACGAGTAATTGTTTCAGACTTTATCACAGTGTTTATGGAAACCCTGTATAATTCGATAACTGATCATAGTACGTACATGGCTTCAGAGATATAAATAAACTATTTGTTAAATTTATTGAAATGCGTTTTACGGTTACAACCTCTTATCAAGACGTCCAAAAAGTCATCCTCATAATAGTCAAAATGGCGGGTTTTATCTCAAGTATTTGCTTCAATGGGCGTTTCATTCAAACAAGGAATTCATAAGGTCATTGGGTGTCACGCATCAATATGATGTTTTATTTCACGTTCACACTTTTCTTACATCCTTATCTTGACATAAAAATAAATCGGGCCGTCAGATCTAGGCGGAATTCGGACCAATGTTATTCGAATAACGTTAGGACCAATGTTATTCGAATTGGGATTCGGACGATTGGGTTTCGGACCAATGGAATTCGGAACTTAGGATTTGGACCACTCATGGTATTCGGGCCAAGCAAACTCATTTGAATTTAAACAATGCAATTCAAAGGTTTTACTAGTACTCACACTTGGGTTTTCTATTTCTATTGATTTTGATAAATAATGAAATAAAAAAACAAGGAGATACTGTAAATAGCCCCATCAAACGTTATCTGACGATAAAAATTAGCAAGTGAAACCTTCTTATGGACTTTGGTGTACATCTACTGTACGTGCAGTGTTCATTTTGGTCCATTTGAGCGATTCTTTGTTGTAATAACACAACAACAATTTTATAATATCACAACTATATATTGTATCATTATCATAAACACATTCAAGTTATGTGTAAAACATATACTGCACAAATATCTTAAAAAATAAACAACTGTATGCATGTAAAAAACACTGCTCTAATTATTGGTTTCAGAGACTTAATGTCATGTATTAAGATGGAGCGGTGTTAAATGTGGTATAAATCTTATTTTTAAAATCCAATCACAACATTTAGTTGTCTCATATGTAAATATGTATATACACATTTATACATTAAAGTAACATAAACTAAATGTTTTAAATAGTCAAATATCCAAATACGTAAAACCCGTGTGAGTGGAACACCATTGGGACCACAAAAAAGTGTTCCACTTGGGAGGTGTTCCACTTAGAGAGGTTCATTAATATGGAGAAGATAGGTCATGGGACTTTAAAACATTGTTCCACTTGTGAGGTGTTCCACTTACAGAGGTGTTTAACCTAGCAGGTTCTACAACTGTGCTGTATATACATGAGATAGCTTATACATAATTTTGTACAATAAAAAGTAAATACTGTTCCTGTTACTACATGTACTAAAAATTCTTTTTTAATCAAGACTTGTATCATATTATACATATATAAATAAATACTATAATAGTACATCTAAAGGTATATAAATGTATAAAATATACATAAATTATTTTCATTTCCTTTAAAAATTCCAAACTAGACCAATAATATTTTGTCTAGATAGATTTTGTCTATAGACATCAAATACAATGTATATGTAAAATGTCATTATACATTAGTATATGTAAAACCTCACAATCTATGTAAATCTGTACATACGAGACCTTTACAATATATATAAAAATACATATTTTTGGTTGTTTCTATCACATTTTGGCAAAAAATACCTTATTCAATTCAGGGAATAATTTCCTTCCCTCCTAACTTTACTTCAAGGAATACAGTATTATACGATATTAAATAATTGTGTTTTAATACCTGGAGCTAATGTACAACAAAAAAAAGATGATATCCCCCACCCCTGAAGTTGAAAATGTTGCTGTGTCTATCACTTAAATTTCCAAAAATCAACTTTCTTCATGATCCTAAATTACCCACCATCAAAAACCATCAAATTACAAGATAACCCATATAACATTTAATCTTCAAGAGACAAGTCCTTTGCAGTCTGTTGTATAATTTCTAACATAAGGTCTTGAGGTAAGTTGCAAAATGCTCGAGATTTAGTAACGGCTGCAAAATTGTAGCTGATAAAGTCTAGACACATGGAACGCACATCATCTGAAATATAACATCGGCAACCATTTTTATAGCAATCGATATATGCACTGACTAACGCTTGCTGCATACATTATTCAAAAGTAATACCATTGACTGTCAACTCTTGAAAGCCCATGATAATACCTGGACTGCATCATCAAATAACATACCTTTTTATTATGTAGTCACTTCTCAGAAATTATATATTTTAATAGCCTGCTAAATCTACAAAAAATTCTTTACATACCTAGGATTGGGAGCTTTTCAGTGGCTTCTCTGTAAATATCTACCACATTTTTAACCTTCATTTTACCATTTAGGTAGAATATCGCAAGATGACGTAAAGTCTCCATATTCAGTCGGTCACCAGCTGAAATAAGAATAGTCATTCTATATAAATTATGTACCACAGTAAATAACCAATAAATGTGATGTTCATAAAGCATCTCCCATATACCTAGCTACTGCAGATACAGTAGTCTTATGGATCCCAACTCTTCTGTAAAGTGCCCTAAAGTGAACAAGTTAATGAAAACATAGAATGAAATCTTAAAGTGAACTCCCCGAATCTGAGCATTTTTATCCATTATTGTAACACGAATTAAATGGTAAATATTTATATTTCAATGTTGCCCCTTGCATTTTCTGATGATTATAAATGTATACATGTTGTTACGTACGAAAATAACAGAAAGTAAAAACAGCAATTAAAATATGATAACAATATATTTATATTTTGAAAACTAAATAATATGACAATAATATAAAGGAGGTTTAATACTTAAGTGATGTCCAATCAATGATACGGCTTATTCTTATGTCGATAAATGTCGTTGACGATCCTTGAGAATGTTCCAGATCACGAAAGTTTCAATAATCGTTAATAGTTCTCCAATGTTTGTAATAATTCAATAATGTTCGTCGTAATCCTATAATGTTCGTATCCAATAATGTTTGATGATAATCCACAAATGTTTATGATAATCCACGAATGTATATGATAATCCGTATATAGTGTGTGTTGTAATATATGTCCATATAAACTCCTCAGGTTGTGTGTTTATAGTGTTATAAATGTTCCCAAAGTAGGTGTCTGTAATATTCTGCTAAGAAGATGTCTTTTGATCAACTTTGAAATTCTGCTAACAGCCCAAATCAGCTCTCTCATTATATAGTGCAAAGGCAAAGTCCAGATGTTTCAAGAAGTTACAATTTCTGGAAATCAACACTGATTGGACATCTTAAGTCACATGATTCAATCTTGATTTAATGATTATAGTTCCAGTACTTTCTAGAAGGCCAATGGTTAATGAGTCATTCAGTTCAGTTATGTTTACAAGATATAATGTCATTGTGACCTTGACCTAAGATCTCTAATGAAGATCAGTTACAGTATATGCATATTGATAAACTAAACTTAATGTGAATATAATAGAATATAATACTGTAACACCTCCCTCCTTAAAAGAAAAGTTTTGAATACAATGAAAAACTTTTACAATAATATCTGGTGTAGCGAGGGTTACATTTTTTTTAAAGATGAGGTTGAGACTTACATAACATTTGTTTACAATAGTCAAATACAATAATATTTATAAAGTTACAGACTGAGTAAAACCCGAAAACATATTATACAATAATATTATCAAATCACACTCTAAGTACAATCTTTTATTATATCAACACATAGCCTTAGGCAAATGCAGTATAAATAGAATAACCTCTTAAAAATAGAGACATTACACTCTTGAAAGAGTGTCAGCAATCAAATTATCCTTGCCTTTGATGTGTCTTATGTCAAGATTGTACTCTGACAATAACAGACTCCACCTCAACAATCTACGATTCTTGTTCTTCATTCTATGAAGGAATGTCAGCGGATTGTGATCAGTAAATACAGTAACCACATGAACTGGTGCACTAACATATACTTCAAAATGTTGTAATGACAGAAGTAATGCTAGACATTCCTTTTCTATGGTGGAGTAGTTTTTCTGATGTTTATCAAATTTCTTTGAATAATAACACACTGGATGATCAATACCATCCCTTTCTTGTAATAGAACAGCTCCCATTCCTACATCAGAAGCATCTACTTGAATCTTGAATGGCTTGCTAAAATCAGGTGCAACAAGCACTGGTTCTTCACTTAGTATGGCCTTGATTTTATCAAAGGCTGTATGACATTGCTCAGACCACACATATTTGATGTTTTTCCCAAGTAAATTGGTCAATGGAAGAGCAATTGAAGAGAAATTTGGACAAAACTTCCTATAAAAGCCAGCCATTCCAAGACTTCTCATTAATTCTTTCTTGTTAGTAGGAGCTGGAAGTTGTGTAATTGATTCCACTTTGGCACTCACTGGTTTGACCTGTCCTTGACCTACCACATGGCCCAGATATTCAACTGTGGCTTTACAAAATTCACTCTTAGCCAAATTGATGGTTAAATTGGCCAGAGAGATTCTTTCAAACAACTTACGCAGCAAACACATGTGTTCATCAAAAGTGTCAGAATAGACAATTACATCATCGATGTAAACACCAGTGTTTTTGAGATCTGCTAATAAGCCATTCATCATTCTTTGAAATGTGGCAGGTGCATTTTTCATACCAAATGGCATAACTTTAAATTGGTACAAACCATCAGGAGTAACAAAGGCAGATACCTGTTTTGCTCTTTCAGTTAATGGAACCCCTAGGAATCCTTTGAGGAGATCAAATTTACTGACATATTTAGCAGTTCCAATTTTGTCAATACAGTCGTCAATTCGTGGTATGGGATAAGAATCAGTCTTTGTTACTCGATTCACCTTGATATAATTAACTACTAGCCTACGTCCACCATTTGATTTTGGTACAATGAAAGCAGGTGAACTCCATGGGCTATTGCTCTTTTCAATTATGTCATTTTCTAACATATAATTGACCTCAGCTCTCAAATCTTCAGATTTTGATGGATTTACTCTATAAGCATGTTGCTTAATAGGGTTTACATCTTGGACTTCAACATCATGATAAGCTATAGATGTCTTAGTCGGTACATCAGAGAAGATATCAGTGAACTCATGAATTAATTCTGTGACTTGCTGTTTTTGATCATTTGTCACATGATGCAATTTATGATCTAGATTTGATAATACTTCAGAGTTCTTTAACCTAGACAAACCTTTGATATCTTCATAGTCTAAATCAGTACAATTGATATCATCTGAATCTTGTAGATCAGTTTCAGTTATAAGGACAGGTGCCAACGTGACCACAGGTTTAATTGAGCCATGCTCTTTGTCTGGCTCAAAGTACCTTTTCATCATATTGATGTGACACAATTGTGTTTCTTTGCGCCTATCTGGAGTTTTGACAATATAATTGAGGTCATTGACCTTGGAATCCACTACATAAGGACCATAGAATTTTGCTTGTAGCGGATTTGTCTGAAGCGGCAGTAATATAAGAACTTTGTCACCAGGCTGGAATGATCTTTCTTTGACTTTTCTGTCATACCAAGTTTTCATTTTACATTGGCTATTTAGCAAATTCTCTTTGGCTATTTCACAAGCCTTTGATAGGCGCTCTTTAAACCCAGTGACATAGTTCAACAAATTAAACTTTTCAGTTTCTGAAAGCCACTTTTCCTTGAGCAATTTAAGTGGACCACGCACAGAATGACCAAATACTAGCTCAAATGGACTGAACCCTAATGATTCTTGCTTAGCCTCCCTGGTAGCAAACAGAAGCAAGGGTATGCCCTCATCCCAGTCTTTCTCATATTCAAAACAGAAAGCTCTAATCATGGTCTTAAGCGTCTGATGGTAACGCTCAAGAGCTCCTTGAGACTCTGGGTGATAGGCACTTGACTTACACTGTTTGATACCCAAGGTATCCATGACTTGTTGGAATAAGCCTGACATAAAATTTGAGCCCTGATCAGACTGAAGATCTTTTGGTAGTCCAACTAAGGTGAAAAATTTGATGAGTGATTTCACTATGTTTTTGGCTTTGATATTTCTAAGTGGAATCGCTTCTGGAAACCGTGTGGCCATACAAAGAATAGTGAGTAAATATTGATTACCAGATTTTGTTTTTGGTAATGGACCAACACAGTCAATAAGAACCTTACTAAATGGTTCATCAAATGCAGGTATAGGGTGTAAAGGAGCAATTGGAATTTTCTGGTTAGGTTTCCCTAACATTTGACATGTATGACAAGACCTACAATACTCTTGGACATCTTGTTTTAATTTGGGCCAATAGAAATGATTGAGTATTTTATGGTATGTTTTAGTTACTCCTAAATGACCTGCCATGGGAGAATCATGAGCTAGACTCAAGATTTCCTTATGATATGATTTTGGGACAACAATTTGATGCACAATTGCCCAATCATCTTCAGGGGAAGCTTCAGGAGGTCTCCACTTTCGCATTAATATGCCATCCTTTTTGTAGAAACAAACAGGGACCTTGTCAGCTTCATCAATAGTAAGACATCTTTTATGAAGATCAATGAGTGATAGATCATGCTCTTGTTCATAAATTAACATGTGTTTAGAATGAGGATCATTTTTCAAAGAATCACTATCAGAAATAGAGGATGAAACCTCAGAACTAGAAGAGGATGAAACCTCAGAACAAGGAGGGGATGAAACCTCATGAACACTAGCAGAAGAAGATGAAACTTCATCAGGACTAGCAAGAGCGGGCGAAACCGCATTAAAATAGTGATCCTGCTCAGAAGGTGAATCACCCCTGGCAATAGGCTTTTTCAATGAAGAATATGCCTCAATAGATGACTGCTTGGCTCGAACAGAAGGCTGTTTCAATGAAGAATTTGCCTTTAAAATAGGATAAGGATCATCTTTAACAAGTGGTGAGTGACATTCATCATCAAACAAGGAGCTTAAAAAACCACTATCAAAGTCATCTCCCACAGACGAATCCCCGCTATCAGCTAACCTTTTAGCCATAGCCCTAGTAACAGCACAAGCAGGATATATATCAGAGTCCTCTTGGACAGAATCCTCAATAGAACAAGGCTGATCAGAAACAATGGGGTCTAATGATACCTTACCCCCAGCTAAATCATTGCCTAAAAGCAATGCGACTCCTTCAACAGGAAGTTGTGGCCTAACACCAACAATAACTGGCCCTTTGACTAACTCTGATGTGATATGAATACGATGGAGGGGAACTTTAGTAAAACCTAATTCAATGCCTTGCATCAAAATATGGGTACCTGTGAATGACTCCTCAGATAAAGGAAGGACACCTTCTAATAACAAAGTCTGAGATGCACCCGTGTCTCTAAGAATCTTAATTGGCTTTGAATTGGTACCATCACTTGACAATGACACAGATCCTTCCGACATGAAAGGCTTATAATCCTCCATAATATCACTATGAGTTGATTTCTCAGTATGAGTATATGAATCCCAAACAATGGGCTTTCTTAAAATGGGAACTGTAGCACAACCATTTGAATGAGCAGAACCAGACATCTCTCTTCTATTCTTAATCCTATAGCATTCAGAAATAAGATGACCAGGCTTTTTACAATAGTTACAGGTGACGTTTGATTTTGGACCTGAAGAATTTGATTGATCTGATTTTGAGCTAGAATTCTGTGATGAATTAGACTGGTCTTTTGCTTTGTTTGATGCATTTGATGATGAGGACTGATTTGATTTAGAGTCATATGAAGGTTTGTTACCTTGATAACCTCTAAAGTTAGAATTACCTTTGATAAAACTACCCTTATGAGTAAGAGCATAATCATCAGACAGGGTGGCAGCTTGACTTAAAGTTTCTACCTTGTGTTCATCTAAGTAAGTTCTAATGTGATATTGAACACAGTTTTTAAATTGTTCTATTAGCATAAGCTCTCTGAGCTTTTTAAATTCTTCAGATACATCCTTAGAGACAAGCCACCTGTCAAAAAGCTGCTCTTGCTCTCGAGCAAACTCAACATGGGTTTGGTCACTCTGTTTGTGGGCATTTCTAAATTTCTGTCTGTAAGCTTCTGGCACTAGTTCATAAGCTTTAAGAATTGCATTTTCAATTAGGTCATAATCAGAGCATACTTCTGCTGAGAGAGAGGCAAATATTTCACTTGCTTTACCAATAAAAACACTCTGAAGCATAACTGGCCATGCAGATTTGGGCCAGTCTAGGCTCTGAGCGACTTTTTCAAAATGTGTAAAGTATTTATCAACATTTTTCTCTTGAAATTTAGGTACAAATTTGAGAAATTTTGAAGCGTCAAACCTATTTTCAAAATGTTGATGCATAGTAGCATGTTCATCAGTTATTGATTTGGCTTCTATTTCAAGACGTTTTAATTCAATTTCTTGTTGCCTTTTTTCTCTTTCATTTTGCATTTCTAATTCTTTTTCTCTCAATTCTCTAATTTCTCTCTCTTTTTGAATTTCTAACTCTTTCTCTCTTATTTCAAGCTCTTTGAGCTTAATAGGATCAACAGGGTCAACATGTTGGGCTGGCTGCTCAGGCAGAAGTGATTCTGCAACCAAATATTGAAGTACAAAGTTTTTAATTGTTTCCTTTTTGTATGAGCTTTTGACTGACAGGCCAACATGTTTTGCAATTGCCAGAAGTTCAGTTTTCTTTAAATCGTCAAATTCCTCCAAAGAGGGCGCTTCTAAAAATGTCTCAACCTCAAAACTCATTTTCAATTAATTGCTGTCTTCACAGTTAAAATTTACAAGTTTGGGATTTTGAGTTTTGGATTTTGAAATATTTGAATTTTAGCTTGTTGTAGTTGTATCCCGGACGAGCCCCCAATTTCTGTTACGTACGAAAATAACAGAAAGTAAAAACAGCAATTAAAATATGATAACAATATATTTATATTTTGAAAACTAAATAATATGACAATAATATAAAGGAGGTTTAATACTTAAGTGATGTCCAATCAATGATACGGCTTATTCTTATGTCGATAAATGTCGTTGACGATCCTTGAGAATGTTCCAGATCACGAAAGTTTCAATAATCGTTAATAGTTCTCCAATGTTTGTAATAATTCAATAATGTTCGTCGTAATCCTATAATGTTCGTATCCAATAATGTTTGATGATAATCCACAAATGTTTATGATAATCCACGAATGTATATGATAATCCGTATATAGTGTGTGTTGTAATATATGTCCATATAAACTCCTCAGGTTGTGTGTTTATAGTGTTATAAATGTTCCCAAAGTAGGTGTCTGTAATATTCTGCTAAGAAGATGTCTTTTGATCAACTTTGAAATTCTGCTAACAGCCCAAATCAGCTCTCTCATTATATAGTGCAAAGGCAAAGTCCAGATGTTTCAAGAAGTTACAATTTCTGGAAATCAACACTGATTGGACATCTTAAGTCACATGATTCAATCTTGATTTAATGATTATAGTTCCAGTACTTTCTAGAAGGCCAATGGTTAATGAGTCATTCAGTTCAGTTATGTTTACAAGATATAATGTCATTGTGACCTTGACCTAAGATCTCTAATGAAGATCAGTTACAGTATATGCATATTGATAAACTAAACTTAATGTGAATATAATAGAATATAATACTGTAACAATGTAATAACATTATGATTTACCTCTAAGGAGTTCCACCAGTACAAATGGATGGAGATCTTGCTTCAAATTGTTGGTATAGAGATATGACAGTATACCCATAAAAGCATTATAGCTTATCTCAGGTAATGGAATTGCTTTCTGAAAAAATACAAAATGTAATATATGAGCTCTACATTATACATGTATATAGATGTATATTTATAAAGTGTGGTTAATCACAGGAACTTATTGAAAAAAAGAGTCCAAGTTAAAAGCAAAATAAAATGCATCGAAGCTGCTGTTGACTTGTTATATAAAGGACCATGGCAAAATTTCAATGTTAACCCACAAAATTATAATTACATTTCCTAAATGTAATTGAATATTTATTAATTGTTTTCAAATAAGATTCACTTCCTTTTAAAAATTGGTCTAAAATGTAACACACTTTTAGCCCTCTCCCATATTTAAATATGCCACATATACATATTTTGACTTTGTTCAATTGTCCCTTACAACAAATCATTTTCAAATGATTCACATAAATATCATATTCATGGAAAAGTCTTAACAAGAAGTAACATGATATGAATTAATACCAACAATATTGTAACTGACATTAGAGGTGCCCACCACTTTAAAAATGCCCTTCTCACTTTCACATGAACAAATGTGGAGGAAAACCAAATATAAAAATATTTAAGAAATTTAGTAAAACCTCTGGAAGGTATTTTTGAATTTTGTGATTGACCCAGGCACCTAATATATCAATAGGCTTATATTCTTTAGGAAAATACATATTAAGTTCATATTAGTACATTTACTAGATGTCTAATTGTCTATACTAGATTTATAAGCTGTCACCTCCACCCTTTAACCTACTCCCGAACCAAAGAACAAATCAAGGTCAAGATCCAAGATGGAAATGTCAAGTTTCTTTTAGCTATTAATTATCAATCAAGTCTTGAGCTGTGATAGTTATTATATTCAATAAAATCACAAAAGAAAGAATATACAATTGATCATGCACATTTATGAAAATTATAAAAATAATCTTTTTGTGGAACTTGAAGTGAACATAAATTGGATTTATTGAATTGGGTGAATAGTGTAAATTATAAAAATGTATGTGATGCAAAATATTATACCATCAAACTGCACACAAAACATCTAGGGAAGAATCTAACTTGGATCAATAATAAAACCAAAATCTGATCCAAATATAATAGCACCATAATAAAAAGAAAAAAGAACTACCTGAATTGGAAGTATATGTACATAATGGAGAAACTACATACATGTCACTGTCTATTAATTAGAACTATTTGGCTTCAATCAAATATTTATAAAGCTTTTTGGTTTGTTCAATATATTGGAACAAATTGACAAATATCTATTATTTTGGCGAACACAATTATGTGAACTTAGATTTTATTCTATGCATGTCAAAGATCTGAATGTTTGTATAACGATAATACAATTTTTGGTTAGAAGTGAATATATTCATCTTTTAGGGAGAATATACAATTCAAAATGGAATTAATGTTGTGCTTTGACATGCAATTGTAATTTGGTGGGATATCTACATGTAAAATGCATAAAATCAATTTTAATTGAGTTTGCCTAAAGATAATACAGTACAGTACAACCTGTCCAATCCAAACGCCATCGGGACTGGCTAAAAGTGTTCAGGTTAGCAGGTGTTCACATTTCAAGGTTTCAATATGTGAGTCAATGGGAGATGACAAATTTGGTGTTCACATTGAGAGGTGTTCAGATTAGAGGGTGTTGGGATATACAGGTTTTACTGTATGTGATCCTGGGATGTGGTATAAGAATGGCTTTGATATTTAGAAAAGACCATAGTTATGTGACCTACATACATGAAATCTACACTAATCAGATTAAGTACATGTATTACTCATACCATTTCATCAGGCTAAAAAGTAATAAATAAATCACATGCAAAATGTTAATAAAAATATTACATAAAATACATAAATCATGCAATCCTTTAAACGATCACTTTTAAGTAATGTATGAAATACACCCATGTTATATAAAAGTACTAATAAACATAAGAAATGGAATTATCAGTTATCATATGTTAGACACTTCACTCACACTAGTATAACTAACTACAATTCAACTATTCAAATACAATTGATGTTTCAATCAGAGAGCATGTAATATTGGGCATATAACGAATTGAAATAAGAGAAAGACCTTTCAAAGTAACACAAATATAATTAAATACATGATCATGCAGCATTTTAAACCCATGATTTGATTGGTTTGTACCTTTACAAATGGGCCTCTGTATTGTCCACTAGATTCCTTCATTCCATCACAGAACATTGCGCGGAAATATTCACTCCTTGCAGCTAGGATCGCACGATGTGCACAAACTTTGTGGCCGTCAATATCAAATATGACATCACAGAAGAGATCACTGTTTATGAGAGTGGCAAGATCTACTGCCATTGTGCCAAGCTCAGATGGGGGATCTTTAATAATTAAAAAAAATCTATTTGATTTATTTATTTAAAATGAAGAATGCATCTTGGACTTGCAAGATTGACAAATACTGTAATACATGTACATGTAAAGATGCATTGGTTGAAGATGAAAAATTTAAATGATAGTAAGTTATTAATAATATTTCTTCTTTGATATCAAGTTAAAAAAACAAAGAACAGCACCATGTGTACAAAAGGGCAAGCATCACCCACTGAAGAGCATTGAAAGGTACAATGCATGTATATATTTCTTTAGAAGCCTGGCATACCTATTCTATGTTCTCTGCCATACATTTCTACAGCATCAATTTCACACCAACTGTTAGCTGCACTGCAGTCAATGTCCAACCTGAGGCTATCTGTCTTGAAGTCAGTTTTCTTAAATAAAATGAGGAAGACGGGAGATAATACTTTATGATTGATTGTAACCTTGAAACTATCCTTGACCTTGAATTGACCTTTGCATTGTGACATCACCTGATTTAATTGCGTATCTGTAGATGAAGTCTAACATACAGATAGAAGTATGTAATATCTTGTAAAACAATTAAGCAAACCAAAAACACTTTAATTAAAAAAATATCAAACAGTTGAAAGATCTAAAAGAGCTGCATTGTTTGGACTTTGAGCTGTTAGGTGACTCCTGCTGGACAACATTACATGTACATTGTATCTGATCTTGAAAGGTTGGTTCCAATTTGAGATAAATGACCTTTCATTGTGATCTCAACCTTATTTGACATTGAGCTAATTGGAGATTTCAGCAGGACAACAGTGGATACAATGAGGTATCAGAATAAAAAGAAGCAACTACTGTTGTTAAGAAAGTATAAACTACCTTCAGGGGAGGCGCAAATATTCTGCTATTGTCAATAACTTCTGGTGCATCCTTATGCCAGAGTGTTACCCAGTTACCCTTGGGACTCAATGCTGATACTAACATGACTCCACCTGAGTTGTATGTCTCGTATATATCTATTCTCTTCACATACAGTTTCTTTTTGTATTGTATCTGAAATAAATATATAGATATGGTTGGTGGCAGGCAAGACCATATATGCTACAGTTAGTACTGACCATCAGCCTCCTGAATGTGGGGACTTATAGCCCAAGGTTTTCTTACCCACATATAAGGTGTAATATAAACTTTTTGAAAATCCAATAGGATAGTTTCTAAATAGCAGAAAAATCAATGAAATCTCGTGCTGCCATCTTTTATTCAGCTTTTAACTCTGGCTAGAGCTCTATTCACTTACATGCTAAAATCTTGGAAAAGTGGCTTAATTTCATGATTTATCAAAGTGTGTTTGTTGAATCTGTATAAAACTTGAATGATATACCACATGATGACCCTGTTTATGAACATGTTGTGATTAAACATGCTAATGTTGATTGACATACAAATAATCCACGATTTTAAAGAATTTTAGCATTGCATCTATGGACATTTGGCCCAACTTTTTTTAAATTGTCATAGAAAATTATTCCAATTACATAACTGTGTAAATCAAAGCTATTTTAGGAGAAAACATTCCACTGAATTCAAATATACCATTTAAAAGAAGGTAATGTAAGTCATTAGAGGTCTAATATGCAAGTCTCTTAAAATCTCACGAAAAACGAGATTTAGCGTGATTTCAAAAGCTATATGGAAACTATACTATTAACTGGATTTGAATTACATGTACATTGTATTTGAAACAGGGCTTCCATGTATCAAGCATCGACGGAGGTAAACAAAAAAGATATTGACAGACATCTTTAAACATTTTAGAGTTTTGAAATCTGTAGGCATCTATTCTATTAAATGTACACATGGAGATAATTGTAGGACTTGATCATGTCACTTTATCATCTTTCTGTATGTAGCAATGATTTTTGAATATGAGCTTACCTCTATGAATTGAGCAGCATCAATTTCATCTGAGGCCCATGCTCCTCCAATATCTCCATACTGTGGATAAACCCTGGGCGGTCCAAGAACACTGTTTGCTGACCATCTGGATAAAAGAGAAGCTTATAAGAGTATTCTTAACGAAAAGCTGTCAAGCTGGATATAACTACTTAGAGGGAAATGAACATTTCTGAAAACAACAACTCAGTATGCCATGGAGCTTACAATACAGAAATGGCTTTGAAATACTAGTCAACACATGTAAAGAGCGTCTAAATAAACATTCAATTACATAGATGTACAACATATATCTTTTCATTTGGTAACCAAAGCAGTTTGGCCCAGTTATTTACTCCTGACGTCGTAGATCCACAACGTCGGGAGTAGATAACTGGGCCAGACGGGTCTGGTTATTCATTAGGCTACATGTACAGTATCTATTTTTGTATCTTTATTACAACAGTGTCAAGATATAGGGAAAAGAAAACTTTTCTTTCCCCCATAAATTGTCTTCGAATTGTGTGTTGTAAAAGAGACGAAAAAAAGGTAACTTTCAAAATGCCAATATTTTCTGTCCCTACATGTAACTTATATCATGACATACAGTAGATTCTATAGTAGGCTTTCTCAAATTGACTACAAGTAACAAGAAATTGATATTTTTATCAGATAATAAAGACATAAACCAGACTTGCCAACCTAAAATGAAAATTTTTCGGGAGATTTAAAAAAAATTGCGGTACTTTTACGGGAGTTTTTTTTAAAATCCGGTAGTTTTTGCGGGAGTTTTTTGAAAAAAGCGGGAGTTTTTACGGGAGATATTTGAAAAAAACGGTAGTTTTTACGGGAGATTTTAAAAAAACAGGAGATTTTGCGGTAAATTTTGAAAAAAACGGGAGATTTTGAAAAAACGGGAGTTTTTACGGGAGATTTTTTAAAAAAGGTATTGTTCGCGGTAAATTTTAAAAAACGTGACTTTCTTACGGAAGGTTTCAGAAAAAACGGGAGTTTTTGCGGTAGGTTCTGAAAAAACGGGAGTTTTTACGGTAGGTTTTGAAAGAACGGGAGTTTTTGCGGTAGATTATAAAAAAAACGGGAGTTTTTACGGTAGATTTCTGAAAAAACGGGAGTTTTACGGTAGATTCTGAAAAAAACGGGAGTTTTTACGGTAGATTTCGGAAAAAACTGGAGTTTTTGCGGTAGATTTCTGAAAAAACTGGAGTTTTTACGGTAGGTTTTGAAAAAACGGGAGTTTTACGGTAGATTTCTGAAAAACTGGAGTTTTTGCTTTAGATTTTGAAAAAACGGGAGTTTTTACGGTAGCTTTTGAAAGAACGGGAGTTCTTACGGTAGATTTCGGAAAAAACGGGAGTTCTTACGGTAGGTTTCTGAAAAAACTGGAGTTTTTACGGTAGATTTTGAAAAAAACGGGAGTTTTTATTACTTTGGAAACGAATTGATCAAAGCTAAGTAAAATGTATTTGTGGCGTTCACTGTATGCTAAGGCACTGGTGATCCACTCGATTACGCTGGTTACCGAAACGGTTCGTTTTGGTAACAAAATGTCGGAATGTCGAAGGTACGATTATTCTTTTTTCCTTATTTCACGTGTTGTAGGGTAGAATCCCCACGACGTTTTTTCTCACAAACGTGTATCAGTATCATATGTTTTAGAAAAAGCGAAAAAATAGCTCAGAAGACAACAGAATCGTTGATTTAATTCCTCACTGAAGTTACATAAACGATTTGGGTTAAAAGTGCAGATCTTAACTGTTTTTCGAAAAACCGTTTATGTAACTTAAGTGAAGAGTTAAATCGACGATTCTGTTGTCTTCTGAACTATTTGTTCGCACATATGTACATTTTCTTAAACATATGATACTGATACACGTTTGTGTTAAAAAATGTCGTGGGAATTCTGCCTACAACGTGTGAAATAAGGAAAGGAGAAAAATCGTACCTTCGACGTTCCGACATCTCCCGACAGAAGTATGACAGAATATGAACTGGCCCCCGTTTGTGGATATTTGGTGCGCAAACTTATACCGAACTGATCGCAGAAAAGCAATTTGAATCATGGGAATGAAGTACTTTTAAGTTATTTATGAAAGTATTGATAGTGAACCATCATCCTCCTAAGCAGGTATCCAGAATCCGTACCTCCTTCTTCCCTCTGCTATAACCAATTTGGAAGCGCCCGATTAAACTGAATCACGTGATCTAATTATGCGCAATGACTAATACATGATTTCTGTCGCAGTGTTGCGACAGCCAATCAGATTTCGAGTTCTTAATCGGGGAAACGCTAACTGCTTATCACAGGGGGTAAAAAGAAAGAATATATTCTGGATTTTGAAGCCCTGTGATCGGAGGATGGTGAACCATGGGAGCCAATCCTTCTTGGAGTAAAAGAAAGAAGCGTGCCTGCAATAATCAAGGTCACAAATTTGTCAAATTCCTTTTAAATACGGTAGATTTCGACAGCAAAAAACGGAGATTTTACGGGAGTTATACCAAGAATACGGGAGCTTTTACGGGAGTTATACCAGAAAACGGGAGATTTTACGGGAGTTATACCAAGAATACGGGAGATTTTACGGGAGTTATACCAGAATACGGGAGATTTTACGGGAGATTTCAAAAAAAATACGGGAGATTTTACGGCCTTTTTTTTAAAAAAAATTACGGGAGATTTTAGTAGAAATACGCTACGGGAGTTTAAGGGAGTTTTTACGGGAGAAAACGGTACGGGAGTTTGGTATTTTTTACGGAAAAACAAAAAATTACGGGAGATTCCCGTAAAAAAACGGGAGGTTGGCAAGTCTGTAAACACAGATTCTGTTCCAGGATGATTCCACACTTTTATTACCCACGGAGCACCTGTGTCCCGTGTCCTGTCAAGTGAAACCCTTTGACTCGAGAAGTTGAGAATCTCAAGTCAGAAACTGAGAACTGGCGTTGTCATATACATGGTGTCTGAAGGTAACTTACGATGTGTTATTATACTGTGATGAAAACCGTAGAATCTTCAATCCCCACTGTCTAGTGCAGGTGTCATCTAAAGGCTTGTCAAATAATGATTCGTTGATTTTATTATCGAAATCTTTTGATTTAGGAGCACCTGCAGTCGCCATTGTTGTTTACTCTGGATACCGTACGTGTTCAACCGCTCAACGAAACTGTTACTTTAACTTTAATTAATTACAGCCATTTACATATAACTATGACAAATTAAAATAGATTATTTACATAAACATTATATTACGTTTATTTTGCAAGTATAAAACTGTATTTCATCAAAAATGATTTATTGATTTCGCTGACGGTGAATATGAACAAGTTTATCATGTAAACAAAAATTAGAAATGTCAGAAAAAGATGTTCGAAAATCAACAGAAACAATCGTGAAAACGTTCGTTGCTGGAGGTAAGCTGTATGATATTTTATGAATATTCTTACACATGAATACCATTTTGATTATTTGCTAGAGTTTGGTGCTTATCAGTTGTTCATTACATACACAATTCATATATAAAAACTGATAAAAATGAAGAAATTAATTTTTTAGAAAAGTTTATCTACATCACTGATGATTTCTGATGAAAGTGGAAGTGACTCACTCAGTGATAAAAGTTCGTCTACATCTACATCTAGATGTAGATGTACATCTACATCATATATTATCAATAAATTACTGTGCTTCTTTGTAAATGAGAGGGTATTCCTCATGCTGATACCAAGGAAGTCCCCCCTCTATACAAGAGGGATGGTTGGACGGAGGGGGTGACTACTCGGCTGTCCTGATGCTTGGTCTTGGAATCTAGATCTAATCTAGACGCTGCTGATCTGTTAGGCTACATGGACTAGGCCTTGGAGTAGTAGTAAACTTAGTATATCAAGAGATATTAACTACATCTACATCGTTATACTTTTCCCTTCATGTAGGCAGTTACATGTATTACATGTACTTCCTGCAAAAGCTATGTGGATTTTGATATAATAGCTTTCTTACGGCGCACTTGGACAGCTGAATAATAGTGACCTTTCAAACATGATTAATGAGATCTTGGGCTTACTTTTGGTCTCTAACTGTCTTACATCAGTATCATCAATCCATGCAAGTACATGTATTGGAGCGCTGAAATACTTCTTTTTCGATCAAGACTTGTAAATTGTTCATTGAGCGAATGTTTTTCGACCCATTTCATCGTCACATCATCAGTATTAAGACTAGTTGGTTATTCCAGTTATTAGTCTCATTTGTTCAAACATAGTTTAGATCTGAGTGTTGATACACCCAGTGTCTGTCCAGAGCTGTCTTGAAGACATCCAGATTTTCTGCCTGTGCCACTTCTGTAGGGAGACTGTTCCAATCATTAATGATGCGTTGACTGAATGTGTTTTTCCTTACATCTAGTCTGGACCTTTGTTTATAAAGTTTATCCCTGTGTCCTCTGGTTGCACTGTCATATTTGGTGAAGAATAATCCACTGTCAAGATTTTCTAAATTGTTCAGTATTTTATACACTTGGATCATATCTCCGTGTTCCCTTCTATATGCCAGGGAATAGAGTTTGAGACTACTTAGCCTTTCTTCATATGTAGATCTTGTAAACCATTGATTAACTTGGTCGCTCTACGTTGAACTTTCTCTAGTTTGCTTATATCTGCTTGATACCTTAGACACCAGATTACATTATTATATTCCAGGATCTTTTCCATTAATCTTTTGTGTGGCACTGAATCAAAACATTTCGAAAAATCAAAATATATTACGTCTAGTGGCTCCCCGTCATCTATTAGTTTTGTCCACTGTTCCATGACCGTCAGGAGTTGAGTGCAGCATGATCTCCCAGGTGTAAACCCGTGCTGTTGGTCAGTTAGTAGGTCATTTTCCATTAGGTGTCAATATGGCGTTTGCTAGGAGTGAGATACGCAAAAAACGAAATGAATTTTGAGAATGAGTTAGGTTCGGACAACCTCAGGAGATTTACGAAAATGTCCGAGCAGAAAACGCCATCTTGGAATTTGGCAGAAAAAACATTCACTTGACTAACAATTACAAGCCTTGATCCAAAAGGAAGTACTTCAGCGCTCCAATACTTGCGCGGAAGGATGATAATGATGTATGACATAGTTAGAGAACAAAAGTAAGCCGCTGATCAACTTAATTCGTGTTTCAAAGGTCACCATTATTCAGCTGTCCATTTCTCCATTGGAGAGCCATAAGTTTCAAAATCTAACATGGCTCTCGGAGTAAGGCAGTTACAGTTACAGTTCACTAGCGGATCTAGGGGGTGGCTAGTCAAACAACATTAGACCTAGCCTGGGGCCTCGTTTCTTATCTGACTTGTCTCATGGCCCCAGCTAGCAATGTACGGCTATCTAAGAAAAATCAGAATTGATAAAGAAGACCATACATTGAGTTCTACTTGTAGAACTAGGGGGTGGTGCCAGGGGCACGCGCCCCTCAAACATTTTTCAAAAAAATAATGCTTTTCAAAAATCCGATAAAATACCCATTTCTGGGATATATAAGTGCCTCCTCTAGAAAAAATCCTTGATCCTTGTGTGCAGTATATGTATCATCTATAGTGTGAGGACCACTAAGGAGTCAAGGACCACAGTGCAATATTACATGTACAGTGTATATGGAAAAACACAGTCCTATTTCAGATACCACAATTTTGTTCATATCAGATAAATTAGTTTCATATGCAGTAAACCTTCAGTCTTTTATGATTTAGGGTGTCTATCTTCCAAAATGAAAAGCAACAAATACAAAAGGCCATACATATATTTGTTGTCAAAACCACAAGATATCCAAAATAACATATTATAATTATATTTAACATGAATATTGTACTATGGTCCTTTGAGTGCTTATTTCTAGTAAATGTACAGTAGAAAGTTGCACAGTATTCCAGTAAACTTCCTTCATTATACAAGGTAGCTAGTTAGGTGATATAACCCTGTATGTGTATACTTTGTCATTTCAGGACTTGCAGGAATATGTGCTAAAACGACAGTTGCACCATTTGATCGTGTGAAAATCCTACTCCAGGCCCACAATCAACACTATAAACATTTGGGTTAGTGAACAGTTCAATATAAATGCCTTTGGTGTATAAATGTACAAAACCCCCAATGGACATGTACCTAAACTACATGTAGGAAAAAATATACGGTTATCCCCTCAAAATTAACAAAATCCAACTGACTTGTTCAAAACATGTAATATTAGATAGATATTTTAAAAACTGTTTTTCTGGTATACATGTACACTGTAGGTTCTAAAATGGGGTAGTTTTTATGAGGTAGGTTTTATAATATTGGTAGACATTATGGTATGTTTTATGGAAAAAAACAGAATGGTTAGTTTACACATTTTTGCAGAAAAATAAAAAATAAATTCACATAAAAAAGTGGTAGGATTGCAGGTCTTGATAAGGCCCTTTTAAGAATGTGTATCAGATGGCAAGTCATTATTAATATTAACTGTGTTTGTATTACATACATACATGGCCCATAACATATAAACAGCATGTTAATATTTAATTAAGATCAACTGACAAATTGTCATAATGTCATTTCAATAGAGGAAAATTTTGAGCAATCAGATTTATTAAGTTAACAAATATTAAAGGTTGGGCTTTAACATGAGTGATTTATATTTTCATTTTATAGTTAAATTCAATTTAACTGTCCTTATATAATTTAGTTTTGGTTATTTGAAACAGTATATCGAACTTATTTTTAGTGGGTATAAATGCAGTGGGAAGAACAGTAGGTTCAAAAATTCTTATCTGCTCTTAATCATTTTATTGATGATGTACTTTCTCAATGTGATCTAAAATGTAAATGTTATCATCAATAAATTAATACCAAATATTGTGATTTCTGCTTTTACTCTCTTTACAATAGCAGTAAGATGAAACAATGTTCTTTCTAGGATTTTTTCTTCACTTTGTGCAAAATTCTCATGTATTTTGCCCAAGTTTCTAAGGCTGGGCAAAATATCCCCAATTCTTGATTTTCCAAAATCTCAAATGCACTGGGGGGTATCGTGATGCAACAACACCGTGTTGTTGCATCAAGATGGCCAGACTTCCGGTGATAGATTTTCGTACGATGTTTTGTTTTCCCAATTTACACCCATTTCTAGGACGAGTTGCTCAATAATCATACACATGCAGTTAGCACATGATCTATATTTTAAAAAACTGTCATTGGTATACATGTAGCATCATTAAGAAGCGATAAATTCGTGGTTTTAATTCCTCACTATTGATGCAACAACACCACTCTGTTTCTTATCGATGATGCAACAACACCAATGTGCTGATGCAAAAACGCCAATATAATGTATCATTGAACAACAAGAGAAACTGTTTTATGTTCTGTTTACAGGTGTAGGTCGGGACATGAATAAAACGCGTGAGTCAGTGGTCCATGAACGAAACGTATTTTGTTTGGTTTCTTTGTCTATATCAAAGTTAAAAGGATATACAAGGCAAACTAAATAAAGTACAGAATCCCCGGGAGGCAATCTCATTGATATTGTATCTGAAAAATAAAGATTGTACATTTTCTAAATTAAATGCCCTTGATTTACCGTATGGAAATTGCTTACAAATAACTAATATAATTTTGGAAAGACAACAGATATCAGTCATTTTGTGTTGTTAGTACCTCAATTGAAATACTCAATTCTGATTGGTTGATGAGCGGGCAACAAAATGTATTGTTAGTACCTCAACTGAAATACTCGATTCTGATTGGGTGATTAGCGGTCAAAATTATGTATTATTATATACCTCAAATGTATTCTAGATGCTCATTGGCTTATTCATGGTCACATAACATGGAATAGATGAACTAATTCCCTGGAAAGTCCTAAATCCCTGCTTTCAGGGAAGATGAATTACTCAGATGCGAGTAGGTAGTTACCAGTTTCGCCACCAGGTGGCTGAGTCGGGGGAAATAACATGGCAGGGTATTACAAAATTCCCTTAAACTTGAATATTCATCAGTTTTAGTGGTTCACTTTTCATATTACCCCTTTGTATCTGATAGTTATACAAATTCAAATATGCCCAGTAAAAGAAAATATTGTCTGCCCAACACAAGAAAAGATATTTCACTTTTTGTGATTTTACAATATGGGCTCTATGGGGAATCCCCCCGACCTAGAAGTCCCATTTTCCAAGAAAATTAAATTTCCAAAGTTGATTAACTCTTTTCAAAACCACATTTCTAGATGTAATTCTACATGTAGATTTCAAATATGACATCAGTTTGACTGAATTTTGAATTTTTGATGACGTAAATCAAGATTATTTCTACTCGCATCTAGTCTATTGTACTAATCACCAGTTAGGTCATGTGACCAGTCAATAGTACATTTTATCTTCCCCCAAATCTGAGATTATAGGAGTTGAAAGGTAAAATGCCTTTAAATGCCAATAAGAACCTGTGAACAATTGATATTGAAATGAAAAGACTTCTCATTTTGTTTTTTTGTTTACAGAGTACTTATCAGGTATATAATAAAACAAATAGTGACTGCCACATTTTCGGGAAATAGTGTAAAAATTTTCCTCTCGGGGATATCCTGTCCACTGACTTGTTCCCTCGGCCTGCAGCCTCGGGAACATGTCAGAGGACAGGATATTCCCTTGAGGAAAATATTTTGCACTATTTCCCTCAATGGCAGTCACTATTTGTACACTGTTGACCGCTACTAGGTACTGTTGACCGCTACTTCTGAAAAAAAGTTTCATGACGTCACAAAAACACATGGAAGACGGACATTTTGTAAATGTTGATGAAAATGAGTTTACTAGGCGACGAGTATAGCAAAAAAACAAAGAGAAACTTAAAATTAACAGTAATTCACTAACGAGTACGCCGTGATGTGCCAAATACAGAGTTAAGCTTCTTGCACTGTCTCCATATTTTCTAAAAAAATATTGCTAACGTGGTTCGGAGAAAAGGTTGTGAAATGAAGCCATGCCGATTGATGATCGTCGTCTATATGTGTATTATTAGTTTACTCGGACTAACAAAACAATTGTAGACCTCTCCATTCGATCAACCGTCAAAATCATATACCTCGACTGTAAACCTTGAAACTACTGTTGACCTCGACCTTCGGTCTTTGTCAACAGTATTTTTCGGTTTACAGTCTCGGTATACAATTTTACCGGTTGGCCCCTGGGGAGGTCAACAATTGTAAACTGTTGACCACTACTAGGTACTGTTGACCCCTATTTTTGAAAAATTGTTTTTTTAATGTTGAAATTTTTTTAATTTTGAAAAAATAAGTTGTGTAAAAAATTACAAGTATTCGACGGTTTGGGGATTTTTTGCTAAAATATGAGACCTTTACTTATCAAATATGTTCACGTGATATTCGATTATATATTCGTCCAATTATTATATTATTTGGACTAACAGAACAATTGTTAACCTCTCTTTTCGGTCAACTGGCAAAAGTGTCCTCGACCTCTGGTCTTGATCAACAGTACTTTCAAGGTTTACAATATCGGTATACAATTTTGCCAGTTGACCTCAAGAGGGGTCTACACTTGTATATTGTATATCCTTTGTTATCCCACCCAAAGTATGATGTCATATATCAAGTTGAAGAGTTGTATACGCTGCTCGGGAGTTTACGCTATCCAGGAGTTGTACATCGTTCTCAAGAGTTGTATAGGATGAGTGTTGGTTTAATGATATTGCAGTTATACAATGCTATTATATAAAAGTTATTTACTGAGAGGGATTCAATATTGGTTTTATTTCGAGAGACAATATGATATTTCCCGAGGGCCGGGGATATCTGGGATAACTGTACCCCTATCAATTTACCTTTTTGGGCCCTAAATCTTATCACTTTTGTTTACCTTTTTACTCAGTCGGAGAGAAGGAATCCAAAGAGAGCAATAATTCTACATGTGCGTCGTGCAAGATTTCCTAAAACGTGTAACTTAACGGCCTCTCTAATAAAGTCAATAAGACGTTTTTACACGTTGGCTCTCCAAATTGTAGGAAATAAAGAATCATGTCATATTATATCATAGATGAAGCAATCATCCCATCAACATAAGCTCACGAATGTCACAGTTAAACTGTTTTAGTTATAATTTGATAAACAGTGGTAACGTACATCTACTAGTTTATCACTGTTCCACAGATGGATGACAGATAATATCATACTAATATCCAATAGCTCATCATGTTTACCGAGAACGAAAGATGTTTGTCCACCATTTTGAATGATACTAACTGGAGTCGGGGTCATCAAGCTATGGAACAGAGGTTTATGAAAATAGATTGGGTTACTAAAGCTTGCCATGTTAAAGGCGATTGAACTATGTTATAGAATAACGTCCAGTACATTATAATAATGTAAAAGTATAAATTTTTGAAAATACATATAAAGGATCTTCGCCCGAGGGCGTGTATTTTGAATGCCTTGAGAAGAACGCAAATATGGGTAGGCTAATTGGTAGCGGTATTGCAATAGTAGCATTTAAAAATCTGTTCCTCTCGAGATTTATGGTCTTCTGAAATTATACTATTAATTGGTGTTGCTGCATCATTGCTCAAATCTAGAGGAGTGTTGTTGCATCTTCGGTTTGGTGTTGTTGCATCAATAGTGAGGAACTAAAACCGTGAACTTATTGCTTCTTGGTGATGGTACATATATACTAATGACAGTTTCTTTAAATATAGATCATGCGCTAACTGCACGTGTATGGTTGTTGACCAACTCGACCTAGAAATGGGTTTAATTGGGGAAACAAAATATCGTACGAAAATTTTTCACCGGAAGTCTGGCCATCTTGATGCAACAACACAGTGTTGTTGCATCACGATACTCCCCAGTGAAATGGATATCCAGTGCCAGAAGGATCACTGATTACTGTACACTATGTTACAAATAAAATCAATTAAATCTTGTTTTAGGTGTGCTATCTACAATAAAGGGAGTTTCTGTAAAGGAAGGTTTAGTAGGGCTCTACAAAGGCAATGGAGCTCAGATGGTTAGGATATTCCCCTATGCTGCAATACAGTTCATGACATATGAGCAATATAAAAAGGTTTGACTTTTGTTAAAGTGGCCCAGTCTATAACTCTAATCTTGAAATAAGCAATGATGTGTCTTGTACTTGTAGAAGCAATTCCCTAATATCATTGTTCTAAATGTCAGTTTCATTGCATAATCGTACATAAATGTTTAAATAAACCAATGTTTTGGTCATATCATCGATGTTTTCCCTTTCACATGCATGTGACTCACTGTGTTCAAAAATAAAATACTAACATTAAATCAGAATGTTTAAAATGCTCACATATTACATTATTATTTGCCATTCACATTATTGAGATGTTTATTTTCTCATTGCAGATTTTAAAAGAACGCTATAAGTTTACCAAGCGTCCTCACCTCCCCAATCTCATAGCAGGATCATGTGGAGGTACACAAGTAATTAGAAGGGATAGAGACAAGAGAGTGTCAAATGCTAGAAGCAATCTTTGCAAAGATTTTGAATGTTTAAAAGATGCAGAAATATCCCAATATTAGAAGATATCTTAATTTTCATTTCCAGATTACTTTAGAAATCAAAGGATTAAAAATAAGTCAGAACTGTAAAATTGTAAAACTTGTTTTGAACTTACTCTCAACTTGTTGCTATCCCAGCTAGTCTCTTTAACATTTCTCTTTGTATGATGCATGGTGAGCATCAATATTCACATTAAAAATAATACTCTGTCATCCAAAATATGGGGCTACATGTAAATACTCATACCATATTCAGGCCCCTAGCCAGGGGGGTTCGGGGTTTCCCGTGGCCCAAAATTCTTTCCAAAATATGCAGTTTTTCACCATTCTGAAATTTTGGCTATTTTTTGGAATTTTTTAAAAAGTGAACTTCTGGCCTGATATTCTCTCTTATAAGTGCACAGTTCTTATGAGCGTACATGTGACTTTCATGTTGAACATGGTCTCAAGAAACCATTAGGTTTGATGCATTAGTTTTGATTATTTACCCAACAAGATATCCATTGATTATATTTAATGCAGAGAAAGAAATACAGTAGCTGAAGAGTATGTAAACCTTAGTGCTCATAACTAACAGTATTTTTTTCTAAATTTTTTGTGACGTTCTTTCATTCGAATCTCTCAATATCTTACCCTTTTAAATTTAAATTTGGAAACTGCACTGTGCACTTATTAGAGAATACAGTATTAACGTTTCTCTTACATATTTTTCCAGGTATGACAGCAGTACTGATAACCTACCCACTAGATATAATACGGGCCAGACTAGCATTCCAAGTTACAGGGGAACACATGTATGTGGGTATCATACATGCTGCAAAGACTATATTCACATGTGAGGGTGGCTTGAGGGCCCTGTACAAGGGTATATGGCCCACGATGCTTGGCATGGCTTTATATGCAGGTGTGTCTTAAAGTAGTATGTTTTATTATGCACCTCATTAAAATACTCGAATCTGATTGGTTAAGATCTGCAAGGTCTATTGCCATACGTGGCAGCAAGATCTCGTTCTATCCAGTATTGAAGCAACAAGATCTTCAACCATCCCGTATGCCAGAATACCTATACTCAAAAAAATACTAGGCTCGGCTTCTGTTTTAGTAGACCCATTCTTTAAAATAAAGTATTTCTTGACAATTTAACAGCATCTTTTATTTATCTTCAGTAAATTAATGGTAGGAATATGATATTAACCAAGGGAGGTGCATAATAATGGTGCATCACCTCGCCTAGTATTTTTTTCCCTCGGATAGGTATTCTGGCATATCCACCTCATGGTCATCCAGTATTTGTTTAATAACAGTTTTAATATAAGGTAGAAAGCTGTTTGTTTACTGTTTGATCAAGTAGATGCTCAGTAGGAATGTGGTTGTTGATGTATGTATAACTTACATGTTCTGTGGCACTAGATACTAAAAGTATTCGTAATAATTGGGTTAATTTTCTGATGAATTTGTCATTATTTAAAAAAATTTAATGAATAAATTGGCTCACATCCCTACATACTTGCTGTAGTAACTGCTCCTTCTTTTGCCTTGTTTTGGAGAAATCTGCCTTTTTCACCATGTGAGTCCATTGAATGGTGCTATTTTTGAGATACAGTAGTCAGACCTTTTTTGTTCAAGTTCATTCTCATTGAAAAACCTATGAGTCTTCCTGTACATAAGACATGCACAGGCTTGTAGCCAAGGGATTCATGGGGTTGAGTCCCCCCCCTCCACAGGCCAAAAAATGTTTTCAAAATCATGTCATTTTTCACCATTTTGAGCCAAAAATGTCAAATTTGAACCACCTGGAATTCTTTAAAACTGACCCCCCCCCCCCACCCCGGAATCCATCATACAATACATTATTTCTTCTCTTCAGGACCTTCGTTTTATGGCTTTGATACACTGAAGAGTATATGCCTTGAGAGGTTTCCTGAGACATGTGGCACAACAACTGCAGGTCACAATGGACCAATTCACCTGACTGTACCTGCTAAAGTGCTTTGCGGGGGTTTTGCTGGGGCATTTGCCCAAACTATAGCGTAAGAGCCATTTTTGTTGAAGCCCATTTCTTATTTTTCTAATATCTTTATTTTTCTCTGGGTGATTTCTTGTGAAATTATTACTTGTGAATTTGTCTATATACAATATACACTTTGTGAAATGGGAAAAACTCATGACATATTCAAAGTTTTGTTATTCATTTCTATCAGCTAGTCCGACATATACATGGACTTGAAAAACAAACAGGAATGTCTGTCCATACTTCATAATATAATTCATAATTATTCTAAATTACAACTTGCTACTCTGACTACAAAACAGCAACTCGGTGCCTTTGATGAGTTTCAAAATACTCTTGTGTAGTACAAGGGTACATTCAGCCAAAAATGTCTCTAAAATCTGTAATATTTAATATTTTCATATGACATTATATACACACATATAAAATATGTTGTTCTATTTATCATATGTTTTTTTGATTCTACCATGGGTAGTAGATACCCCCTTGCTGTAGTTCTATTTATCATATGTTTTTGATTCTACCATGGGTAGTAGATACCCCCTTGATGTAGTTCTATTTATCATATGTTTTTGATTCTACCATGGGTAGTAGATACCCCCTTGATGTAGTTCTATTTATCATATGTTTTTGATTCTACCATGGGTAGTAGATACCCCCTTGATGTAGTTCTATTTATCATATGTTTTTGATTCTACCATGGGTAGTAGATACCCCCTTGATGTAGTTCTATTTATCATATGTTTATGATTCTACAATAGGTAGTAGATACCCCCTTGATGTAGTTCTATTTATCATATGTTTTTGATTCTACAATAGGTAGTAGATACCCCCTTGATGTAGTTCTATTTATCATATGTTTATGATTCTACAATAGGTAGTAGATACCCCCTTGATGTAGTTCTATTTATCATATGTTTTTGATTCTACAATAGGTAGTAGATACCCCCTTGATGTAGTTCTATTTATCATATGTTTTTGATTCTACAATAGGTAGTAGATACCCCCTTGATGTAGTTCTATTTATCATATGTTTATGATTCTACCATAGGTACCCCTTAGATGTAGTTCTATTTATCATATGTTTTTGATTCTACCATGGGTAGTAGATACCCCCTTGATGAAGTTCTATTTATCATATGTTTTTGATTCTACAATAGGTAGTAGATACCCCTTGATGTAGTTCTATTTATCATATGTTTTTGATTCTACCATAGGTACCCCTTAGATGTAGTTCTATTTATCATATGTTTTTGATTCTACCATAGGTACCCCTTAGATGTAGTTCTATTTATCATATGTTTTTGATTCTACAATAGGTAGTAGATACCCCCTTGATGTAGTTCTATTTATCATATGTTTATGATTCTACAATAGGTAGTAGATACCCCCTTGATGAAGTTCTATTTATCATATGTTTATGATTCTACCATAGGTACCCCTTAGATGTAGTTCTATTTATCATATGTTTTTGATTCTACCATAGGTACCCCTTAGATGTAGTTCTATTTATCATATGTTTTTGATTCTACAATAGGTAGTAGATACCCCCTTGATGTAGTTCTATTTATCATATGTTTATGATTCTACAATAGGTAGTAGATACCCCCTTAATGAAGTTCTATTTATCATATGTTTATGATTCTACAATAGGTAGTAGATACCCCCTTGATGTAGTTCTATTTATCATATGTTTATGATTCTACCATAGGTAGTAGATACCCCCTTAATGAAGTTCTATTTATCATATGTTTTTGATTCTACCATAGGTAGTAGATACCCCCTTAATGAAGTTCTATTTATCATATGTTTTTGATTCTACCATAGGTAGTAGATACCCCCTTGATGTAGTTCTATTTATCATATGTTTTTGATTCTACCATAGGTAGTAGATACCCCCTTGATGTAGTTCTATTTATCATATGTTTTTGATTCTACCATAGGTAGTAGATACCCCCTTAGATGTAGTTCTATTTATCATATGTTTATGATTCTACCATGGGTAGTAGATACCCCCTTAATGAAGTTCTATTTATCATATGTTTATGATTCTACCATGGGTAGTAGATACCCCCTTGATGTAGTTCTATTTATCATATGTTTTTGATTCTACCATAGGTACCCCTTAGATGTAGTTCTATTTATCATATGTTTTTGATTCTACAATAGGTAGTAGATACCCCCTTGATGTAGTTCTATTTATCATATGTTTTTGATTCTACCATGGGTAGTAGATACCCCCTTGATGTTGTTCTATTTATCATATGTTTATGATTCTACCATAGGTACCCCTTAGATGTAGTTCTATTTATCATATGTTTTTGATTCTACCATAGGTAGTAGATACCCCCTTAATGAAGTTCTACTTATCATATGTTTTTGATTCTACCATGGGTAGTAGATACCCCCTTGATGTAGTTCTATTTATCATATGTTTTTGATTCTACCATAGGTACCCCTTAGATGTAGTTCTATTTATCATATGTTTTTGATTCTACCATAGGTAGTAGATACCCCCTTAATGAAGTTCTACTTATCATATGTTTTTGATTCTACCATGGGTAGTAGATACCCCCTTGATGTAGTTCTATTTATCATATGTTTTTGATTCTACCATAGGTACCCCTTAGATGTAGTTCTATTTATCATATGTTTTTGATTCTACCATGGGTAGTAGATACCCCCTTAATGAAGTTCTATTTATCATATGTTTTTGATTCTACCATGGTTAGTAGATACCCCCTTGATGTAGTTCTATTTATCATATGTTTTTGATTCTACCATGGGTAGTAGATACCCCCTTGATGTAGTTCTATTTATCATATGTTTTTGATTCTACCATAGGTACCCCTTAGATGTAGTCAGAAGGAGGATGCAACTTGCAATAATGCTACCAGATGCACATAAATTCAGGTAGGGGCAGAGATGAAGTAGGTGCCGCTTTCATATACAGTAAAACCTGTCTAAGTGAAACACCTTTGGTACCTCTTAAAAGTGTTCCACTTGGGAGGGGTTCCACATATAGAAGTTTATTTTAAGGGAATCTGAAGTGTTCAACTAATAGAGGTGTTCCACTTCTAGAGGTGTTCTACTAATGTTACAATGTAGGTTTTGCCAAACTGGTTGATGTTCACAAAGGAAACATCTGTTTAGAACTCAATATTTTAACTCTCGAATGAGTCAATATTTATCTATTCGTTCGGTTAGGCATATAGAGAAGTGGTCTATCTATTCGTTAGTGTGTCAGGGCAATAACTCATACAGAATCAGATTTGGTCCAAATTTTATATTCAATTAGGGACAATGCATGTTTTATATTTCCTTTGATTATTGCTTATACAATAAAATGTATAATTGGAGTTTAACTTATTGCTTTGAAAATGAAATATGAACATTCACTTGTATTATTTCAGGACCATGCATGAAACATTGACAATAGTTCTTAAAGAACATGGAATAAGACGTGGCCTATATCGAGGACTAAGTGTCAACTACATCAGGGTTATACCTATGGTATCAATGTCATTCACATCTTATGAGTTATTCAAACAAATATTTGGACTCGAGACTGGATTGGAGGGCAGCTGATGAAGGCTTCAGTATAGGGAATAAACCGGCTAAATTCAATTATTTATGCGGATAACTATTTATTTGTGCAAATATGGAGCTTTGTGAGAAGAACTAAATGTAAAATGGGAGATCATGTTCCCCAAAGAGACTGGATATCTTATTCTCCAGGGATATCATGTTCTCAGGAGATATTGTATTCAGCAGGGATATTGTAGTCTGTATATTATTCTTCATGGAGAAATTGTATCCTCTTGAGAAATTGTATTCTTCTGAGAGATATTGTTTTCATCGTGGAGATATTGTATTCTCCAGATATATTGTATTCTCAGATATATTTTGTTATTTAGGGATATTGTGTTATGAGGGAAAATTGTGTTCTCAGGGGATATTGTATTCTTCAGAATTATTCTATTCTCTCAGGATATTGCATTCTCTTGGCATATTGTAATCTTCCCTCTCAGAATAACATGAGTATACATATCAAGTAACAGAACTAAAACAATCATGGTTTTTCATATATATTCATATTGTAATATTTGCAATAATCCTTTGTGAAATATAAAAGAAACTCCCTCAATAGTGAATGGGAGGAGGTGCAGTGTAGGCATTGAATGTATTAAGCCCATGACTTCTGTTTGTGTATGTTGGAATTGTGTTACACATGATAACATGAGCTGCATATAATCTGTTACACTCAGGTTATTATTGTTGGATAAATGCGTTTTATTGTTCCATTATAATAATGTATGGTGCCAGGTCTATACAGCAAGTTCATGTTGGTTTCTTGCTGGGCTATTGCGAATTCTTTTTAGCCAACTGTCCTGTAATTTTTAATCCCCATTCCCACACCCCATTCTCAACAAGTCATACAAATGGTACTGGACGTCAAAAGAACGTCTTCCAGTTCCATTTGTGCGATGTGTTGAGAATGGGGTGTGATTCCAGGATTCATTCTTTTTGTAGAAGAATATTATTAACTAGATCTGACAAGTTTTAGTCACCCATGATATCTTGCCATTTTAGTGCCAACTCTATCACTGTGTCTTGTTTTGGTTAGAGTTTTATTTCATTGATTGACTTTGGCGTATCATTTTAGTCATTAATAATGACAGATCTGTCACAGTCATTTTCACTAATGCATGAGAAGTGCACGCAAATTGTGTAATTCAGTATATGCAATAACCTATGTGTATTATCATATACATGTATTATTAGAAGTTTATTGTAAACACAAATTGAGATTTAAATGAATTGAGTTTTAAAGGTAAAATAAAATACATTTTAATGATTTTGTAAGTTGAGTTGTTTTTAAGATAATGCACTATTAATTTAAAAGTGAGCATTTTTTCAATGTGCCTTAATTAAAGATGATAAGATTAGTATATGTTTTATCAGATACACGTGCTGTACTTTTTATGTTCATATTGCCTTGCAGAAATATTTTAGTAGTTAGCTCAGGTTAGGCTGACAATAAAAGAAATATTAATTATGATATATGGCCATAGAATATATGTATGCATTGTGCCATATGTATTATTATTGTACACTTAAAATCCTTTGCACAGTTTAACAATAGCATTACAAATAATATTGCAGCATTACATGAATAGCAAGCACATTTGGAGCTTAAAATGATCACAGGTGTTCACTGGGCATTGGCATACACTAGGTTCAGTTGTACATTAGGGCAGGTACTCACTAGATTCAGGTGAACACTAGATTCAGGTGTACTCTTGGGTCAGGTGTTCACTAAGGTCTGCCTTAAGCCACAGCATATCAGTATGTTATCCTTAACCCGCAGACTGACAGCATACTTTTACATTTATTCTTATATTACGAGTTTTGCTTTGGAGTCTAATGATCTTGTATACCCGGATAATCGCACAATATTATAATATTGTATCTCCTTCATATAAAGGGCAATAAATATATACATACATACACATAAGTTATTGAATGATTTGAAGTGCAATACAGGATATATTCTGCTCGAGAATTCCGTATTGATCCTCGGTATTGCTACTGACAATGTCCCCTCTGTACCAAAATTTCTGTATTGCGACGGATATGATCAATGGGGACAATCTCAGTTGCAAAACAGATCGGTACTGCACAAGAACTGACCAATCGGAAGGTTTCATTTTACAGATCATACGATAATATGAGTTATTGAATGATTTGAAGTGCAATGCAGGATATATTCTGCTCGAGATATTCTGTATTGGACCGAGACAAAAGTAAAATCACCAATTTAATTGGAGTGAATATATTGTGTTAAGCAGATTTTAAATATATTTTGAATAATTATTAACAATGCAATTATAATTATCATGTTAACATGGCAATGTATTTAGAATCTGATTACAGGGTATTCTCCTATTGCCAGGGAGCTAAAATATGGCATCTCAAAATAAAGTGTTACATAAATTGTCATGTGTATTGATTATGTTTAGAATCCTGAATAAATGGCATCCATTCCATGTTTAAAATATTTCCCTTCTGATGTTTGATCAGCCAAAGTGTAAGAACTCGCATCTTTAGTTCCTTTGGCAATTGATAATGTGCATGCGCATGTGATACTGGGTTGATGGTTTTATTGTTTGATAAATGTAATCTTTTAGATATCTCTCACAAAAGGGTTATTGTAAAACGGTGGCACCAGACGTATATTATCAGGTTTTTAATTGAATTGTGGCAAATTAATAAAATTATGTCATGTTGTTGGAACATTTTATATCAAAATATAAGATATTTATTATGAAGATTATGGTTTATGTTTTTGCTTAGTTAAGTGGGTTTTTAAATGTTTTTATTTGCTCCAATGACTATAAAGTCATTTATAAAACTTGTTAATCTCCTTTTAAATCTGATAAAAAAATACTGAACCTATTTAACCATTTCTTGTTTCTATCTATGAGGCAATAAGAAAATAATAATCTTGAAACATTGATGATGTATAACATTAACCATGTACCATGAAATTAATAAAATATTAAGTGACCGATTTACACATTATACTACTGATGCCAATATTTATGTGTTAGTATTGGTCGATATTGTTATATAATCCATCGTTAAGAATGGATTACTGAAATCTGGCAATTCAACAAGTAAACCGTACTCAATATTTGAACAATCACAAGATTAGTCTACGTTTCTTTAGAGTCCCTGGACAAACATGAACATATTCTCCATTTTATATCTACAACAACAAATGATAATATGAAGAGATTGTGGACAATTGTTTACATAACAGGAGCAATGTTTTCAGTTGGTGAGTAAAGTTGGTAATAATGGGTTTCTAGGAAAGCTAAGAGTACGCTTTATGCGTTTCTTGATTGTTATAATCATAATTTAAACTACAGATACTTAATACATATAACGACCGAAATAATATGAAGACTTAGTTGAACAATATGCCAACTCGTCACTCAAAGGAATTATTTCAAGAATTTTTAATGTTATTGTAATCATTCTCTGCTACTACACGCCTACCCATCGACAGGGTACAGTGACAAAATATACCGTAGTACACTTTAGATGTACGATGTCACTATTTAAACGATTTGAAGCAAAGACAATGATGTAGGTTTGATGTAGGTTTTAAAAAATAATCTGAGGAATGCATTAAAGGCCTCATGTAAAGTTTAAACCACTTTGGCTTATATTGTAGTCTTACTCAATGTTATCAAAGTGTGATATGTGAAACTTTTTTTTTAAATTTCAAAAAGTGGTTTTTGATAGACTTTTTGTTCCAAAATTTGTGAATTTATTTAAAACCAACTTTTAGAAGTCACTCATATCTTCTAATTAGCCACAATTCATACCAATGCATAGCATTCATCCTCCCATGTTTTTTGCCGAAAAGATTAAGAAAATCGGTTGATAAACAAGCGAGAAATGAACTTATCAGTGCATGAAAATGGTTCTGAGAAAAATGCATTTCAAAATTTTAGTTCTCATAGAAACCAATGGTACAATGATATCTAAAACATAACTTATTCTTCCTCTTAACCTGGTTCAACAATCAACATTGTTTTTTATGAAAGTCTAGCATATTTAGAAAAGATTGACATCGAAAAAAAAATTCAATTTTTTTCAAAAAGTTTTTGGTACCTTAGTGACATCACTAAATGTTTCAAAATATTTTTGATAAGCTAAAACATTGAAGTGGCCCATTAAATATGACATTTTATTATTGAAATAGTGTGTCTTTTGTTCAATCTTTGCATTGGTGTTAAAAAGATAATCTTTTTTGAAATGCATTCAGAAATATTTGATGCCCGGGGGGTTCACTGTATATAAACCTTGACGGGGATCCTCGGCGCACATGGGGTACCTTTTTTGACATTTGGTGGACTCAACTTTTAGGATGTGGTATGAGAATGCCCCCACATTATGACTTTTGAGGGATGGAAATGGTCAGATTTTTCAACTTTCTGGTATGAGAATGGTCATAGAAAATATGTTAGATTATCTCACAATTATGGTATGGAATTGGTCTAGTAGTTACACATATCCTAATATGAGGTTGTTTTGGTTCGTTTTCCTCAAAGATTGCCTTCTTGTTGGGACCGTCTTCAGTTTAAATAAATAGTTTTTTTCCCAGGAAATATTCTACTTTGGACCAGCCATGGCATTGGTATGGCATTGGTCCTATCTTTTTACATTTGGTATGGCATTGGTTTCATATTTGGGCATTTGGTATAGTTTTTGGGCACTATATCGGTTGGTATGGGAACACATCCAAATTTGACATTTTGGTATGGGAATATATTGATATCTGAGGGTTCAGCCTAGGACCCCTGCCAAATGTTGTATACAGTGAACCCCTCGGGATTTGATGATTAAGAAATTTCAATATTTGAGAAATGAAATGCTCACAACTTTTTTTTCAAAATTTTTTTTTTGTTCAAAAATCTCTAAAATCACTTTTTAAGTCCTGACAAATAGTAAATGAATGATAAAAAAATATTTTCAAACTTTAGACCGGGACTTTAAGGATTTCATGTTTGATTTTTTGTGTATTCGTTTAGAAACACATTTAACTTTCTAATGACATTAAACGATTTTCGAACAGTTCTCGATTTTTTTCGTAGTCATTCTACCCATATAATTGGTCGGTTGGAAAATGTTGTGTATTTACACATTTCCTTTGATCATTTCCTCCCCTGTCGTCTAAGAGTGTCGAAGATTTTTATGAGAATATGTTTTTGAAACAGCACAATTAAGGTCTGTTGAAGATTTAATAAGTATTAACATTTCGGCTATAATTTAAAAAAATCATAAGTGTATGTTGTCAACTCGAATGTACGTTGTCCCATTGAACTTACTCAATTCACAGTTAACCCTAATGCAGACAACGTATTTTTCATAACACTAACAGACAGGTACAGTCAGATGCATTTAAAATTGAAACAGAACGATTACAGAATTACTTTAATTTGGTTGAACTATTAAAACTTTCCAGATATATCATAAACGGGCTTTAAAAAGTCATACTAGTATTCAATAAGCTAGTATAGATCAGTAGATCTATCTATCAATGTAACTGACAAAACGTAAGCTACAGACGCCAAATAATCAAACAGCTTTACCTGTGTTTACTTACAGCCAGTGCCACCACATGTTACCGTTGCATATTAGAGCTTTACCTGTGTTTACTTACAGCAATTGCCACCACATGTTACTATTAGATATTAGAGCTTCACATGTGTTTACTTACAGCAATTGCCACCACATGTTACCATTGCATATTAGAGCTTTACCTTTGTTAACTTACAGCTAGTGCCACCGCATGTTACCATTTCATATTAGAGCCTTGCCTGTGTTTACTTACAGCCAGTGCCACCACATGTTACCGTTGCATATTAGAGCTTTACCTGTGTTTACTTACAGCCAGTGCCACCACATGTTACCGTTGCATATTAGAGCTTCATCTGTGTTAACTTACAGCTAATGCCACCACATGTTACCATTGCATATTAGAGCTTTACCTCTGTTTACTTACAGCTAGTGCCACCACATGTTACCATTACATATTAGAGCTTTACCTGTGTTTACTTACAGCAAGTGCCACCACATGTTACCATTGCATATTAAAGCTTTACCTGTGTTTACTTACAGTCAGTGCCACCACATGTTATCATTGCATATTAGAGCTTTACCTGTGTTTACTTACAGTTAGTGCCACCAGATGTTACAATTGCATATTAGAGCTTACCATTGTTCACTTACAGCTAGTGCCACCACATGTTACCATTACATATTAGAGCCTTACCTGTGTTTACTTACAGTTAGTGCCACCACATGTTACCTTTGTATATTAGAGCTTTACCTGTGTTCACTTACAGCTAGTGCTACCACATGTTACCATTACATATTTGAGCCTTACCTGTGTTTACTTACAGTTATTGCTACCACATGTTACCATTACATATTAGAGCCTTACCTGTGTTTACTTACAGTTAGTGCCACCACATGTTACAATTGCATATTAGAGCTTATCTGTGTTTACTTACAGCTAGTGCCACCACATGTTACCATTGCATATTAGAGCTTCATCTGTGTTTACTTACAGTCAGTGCCACCACGTGTTACCATTGCATATTGGAGCTTCATCTGTGTTAACTTACAGCTAATGCCACCACATGTTACCATTGCATATTAGAGCTTTACCTGTGTTCACTTACAGCTAGTGCTACCAGATGGTACAATTGCATATTAGAGCTTCATCTGTGTTCACGTACAGCTAATGCCACCACATGTTACCATTGCATATTAGAGCTTTACCTGTGTTCACTTACAGCTAATGCCACCACATGTTACCATTGCATATTAGAGCTTTACCTGTGTTCACTTACAGCTAGTGCCACCACATGTTACCATTGCATATTAGAGCTTTACCTGTGTTCACTTACAGCTAGTGCTACCAGATGTTACAATTGCATATCAGAGCTTATTTGTGTTTACTTACAGCTAGTGCTACCAGATGTTACAATTGCATATAAGAGCTTATCTGTGTTTACTTACAGCTAATGCCACCACATGTTACCATTGCATATTAGAGCTTTACCTGTGTTCACTTACAGCTAGTGCTACCAGATGTTACAATTGCATATTAGAGCTTATCTGTGTTTACTTACAGCTAATGCCACCACATGTTACCATTGCATATTAGAGCTTTACCTGTGTTCACTTACAGCTAGTGCTACCAGATGTTACAATTGCATATTAGAGCTTATTTGTGTTTACTTACAGTTAGTGCCACCACATGTTACCATTGCATATTAGAGCTTTACCTGTGTTCACTTACAGCTAGTGCTACCAGATGTTACAATTGCATATTAGAGCTTATTTGTGTTTACTTACAGTTAGTGCCACCACATGTTACCATTGCATATTAGAGCTTTACCTGTGTTCACTTACAGCTAGTGCTACCAGATGTTACCATTGCATATTAGAGCTTTACCTGTGTTCACTTACAGCTAGTGCCACCACATGTTACCATTGCATATTAGAGCTTTACCTGTGTTCACTTACAGCTAGTGCTACCAGATGTTACAATTGCATATTAGAGCTTATCTGTGTTTACTTACAGCAAATGCCACCACATGTTACCATTGCATATTAGAGCTTTACCTGTGTTTACTTACAGCTAGTGCTACCACATGTTACCATTGCGTATTAGAGCTTTACCTGTGTTCACTTACAGCTAGTGCTACCACATGTTACCAATACATATTAGAGCCTTACCTGTGTTTACTTACAGTTAGTGCCACCACATGTTACCATTACATATTAGAGCCTTACCTGTGTTTACTTACAGTTAGTGCTACCACATGTTACCATTATATATTAGAGCCTTACCTGTGTTTACTTACAGTTAGTGCCACCACATGTTACAATTGCATATTAGAGCTTATCTGTGTTTACTTACAACAAGTGCCACCATGTGTTACCATTGCATATTAGAGCTTCATCTGTGTTCACTTACAGCTAATGCCACCACCACATGTTACCATTGCATATTAGAGCTTTACCTGTATGTTACTGTTACATATTAGAGCTTTACCTGTGTTTACTTACAGCTAGTGCCACCACATGTTATCATTGCATATTAGAGCTTTACCTGTGTTTACTTACAGCTAGTGCCACCACATGTTACCTTTGTATATTAGAGCTTCACCTGTGTTTACTTACAGCTAGTGCCACCGCATGTTACCGTTGCATATTAGAGCTTTACCTGTGTTTACTTACAGCTAGTGCCACCGCATGTTACCGTTGCATATAAGAGCTTCACCTGTGTTTACTTACAGCAATTGCCACCACATGTTACCATTGCATATTAGAGCTTTACCTGTGTTCACTTACAGCCAATGCCACTACATGTTACCGTTGCATATTAGAGCTTTACCTCTGTTTACTTACAGCAATAGCCACCACATGTTACCGTTACATATTAGAGCTTTACCTGTGTTTACTTACAGCTTGTGCCACCGCATGTTACCATTGCATATTAGAGCTTTACCTGTGTTTACTTACAGCAAGTGCCACCATGTGTTACCATTGCATATTAGAGCTTTACCACACGTTACCACTGCATATTAGAGCTTTGCCTGTGTTTACTTACAGCTAGTGCCACCACATGTTACCATTGTATATTAGAGCTTTACCTGTGTTTACTTACAGCTAGTGCCACCACATGTTACCATTTTATATTAGAGCTTTACCTGTGTTTACTTACAGCAAGTGCCACCACATGTTACCATTGCATATTAGAGCTTCACCTGTGTTTACTTACAGCTAGTGCCACCACATGTTACCATTGCATATTAGAGCTTTACCTGTGTTTACTTACAGCTAGTGCCACCACATGTTACCATTGCATATTAGAGCTTTACCTGTGTTTACTTGCAGCCAGTGCCACCACATGTTACAGCTGTAATGGCGAAAATAACTTCAGGGACTACGAAAAATGCAAGGACGCATTTTCTGGCCTGGCAGACGTAAAGTATTGCAGTACACAATGCTTCAAGAAGAAATTTGAGCACAAGCTTTTTGGAAGTAAGTCTACTCGGATAATCTCCTTTAGGAAATGGACAGGTTTTTATTCAAGAACATGATTTATAGGGGTTTTATTGATAGAAAGCCAGAGCCCAACACAATTGGCCTTTTCAAATTTTTTATTAATTTTAACCGATACTAGTATACATGTATACTGTATATAAAATAATAATATTCAGATATAATTTTTGATATACTATATGCATGACGTTTATTGATAGTTTGTTGGCATTGAGATTTGTTCCTCGTGCTAGTTAATAGCCTCATTTTTACCATGGTTTTGTATTCCCCTTTTCAGATTCTTGGTACAGAGTGGAGAGAGGATGTGCAAGTATATTTGACCAGAATGAGGAGGAATGGTGTACCACAACTGGACAATTCATATACGGCTCTGGAACTAAAATCACAACGTGTTATTATAAGGATGATTTGTGTAATACAGGAACACTCATCACAACACCAGCGTTGGCCATGATTACCTCTATATTAGCCACAACCATAGGTTTTGGCATAGTTTGAAGAAGTGGGAAGTTGAGGTCTTGGTGTTGATGTCAATTTCATGATATTTCTTAACAGCCTATGGTGCGTTTGAGCGCCATGAGTTAGGTCAGGGTATAAATGGCGTAGCCTTTTCCTGTTTGATAGAGGAATCTGGTGCGGCAGTCACTCGCACAAATGCTAAAGTGCTGGTGTGAAAATCTTATGGTGCCAAAGAGATTTGGTCTCCCTGCTATAAATGGCCCATAAATGCCCCTCTTAAGTGTGAACTCATAAGAGTGAGAATTCACTATAAATCAAAGGTGGTGGAACCGTTTTTGGACAGAGCCAAAATTACATTAACACCAGGGATATCATTCGACTGTACGATGCATGTAATGGGATGCGACTTGTAAGACCATCATCTTATAATATACTGATTTGATACTCCCAGGCATTTGTCTGACATGAATGTCCAATTTGTAAATGCTTTTGTCACTTGAATATACATCCGCCTGATGTGAATTTCATCATACCACTTGTAAATGTGTTCGTCTGACGTTGATATCATCAATTTATACTGATCAATGCAATATTTGTTAAGCCATTCATCTAAAGGCTATCACTTAAAGGGACATTTTCCATATGTGGATGTCACTTGTAAAGGAATTTGTCTGATGTAGATGTCACATGTAGAAATTTGCCTGATGTATGTCAATTGTAAAGACATTCGTGTAGATGTCACTTGTCTTTGATGGATGTCATTTGAAAAGGCATATGGCTGATGTTGCTGTCACATGTAGACAATAGACACTTACCTGATGGATCTCACTTGTAAAAACATTCACGTAATGTGGATGTCACTTGTAAAGTCATATGCCTGGTGTTCATGTCACATGTAGGCAATAGACATTTACCTGATGGATCTCACTCGTAAAAACATTCACGTAATGTGGATGTCACTTGTAAAGTCATATGCCTGGTGTTCATGTCACATGTAGGCAATAGACATTTACCTGATGGATCTCACTCGTAAAAACATTCACGTAATGTGGATGTCACTTGTAATGATGGCTCTCAATTGTAAAGGCATTCGTCAGATAGATGTCACTTGTAAAGGCATTTGTCTGATGTTGATGTCTTTTGTGAATATGCACTTATCAAGGAATCAATGCCAATCTTGAAAGCCATCATTTGCTTCAGTATTATTGTTTAAAATGATTGAACAAATACATATTTTTATTTTTCTATCTAAAAGCAGCTTTATTCTGTTTCGTAAAATATATTGGATTTCGAATTATTCTGATAATGTTACATACTTCTTGTGTTTGTTACCCTTGTTTGTTCCATTTGTTTTTTATAAGATTTATCAAAGATTTGAAAACAAGGAAAGATCAGCTGTAGATGTAAACATTGCACATTATGTTCATCAGTTTACCCTCCACCACGTTACCGTTTGCCAAGATGGCCGTTCTAATTTGAAAGCAAACTAACTAGATACACTTAGAGCCTGCCAAGTGTAAAGATCTGAGTCTTCACTATGAGTATAAGTTCCAGTTGAAAAATAAAATTCTGAAATGATTTCTTTTAAATTCTGAAGATATAACAGAAGAATAATTTTTTATGATTTCGAAAGTATATACATATATCATTGTACATTTCAATTATTTTGGTCGTATTTTCAATTTCAAAGGACGATTCTCGGTTTGGAGAACGAAGTTCATCAATCTAAATGAGCATCATCCCTGCTTCGGACAAATTTGATTTTTTACATAATATAGATTTGAATGTCTTCTTTTGAATAGTCATAATTAAATTTGGGTAATATTTCTAGATTTTTCGCTAAAAAATATTAGCGCAGTACACTGATGAACTTCTTTCCCCAAATCGAGACTTGTATCTTATTGAATCGGTCTATTTGAGCATTATCCCTGCTTCAGACCAATTTGTTATTTTTACATCTTGTAGATTTAATTGTCCTCTTTTGAATATTCATAGTTTAATTTGGGTAATATTTCTATATTTTTCATGAAAAAAATTTTAGCCCAGGAGGCTGTTCTCCAACCGAGAATCGTCCTTTTAAATATAAGTTAAATTACAATTTTGCAATTTCTCACATTGTACAATACATAAATTTTACGGTGTACAATTAACTATTTCACTATATCTTATGTATTGTAAGTGCGTTGCACCAAATATACTTATAATTTTTGACGAAACAATCACTTCAACATTTAATCTAAAACACATCTTAAAACCATCATATTCCTAACATTGTACAGCTATTCATTTATCCATATAATAGATTGACGTATTTCCCATCACCGCTTTTTCGTATGTCTAGCTTTTTGACAAGGGTGTAACCGGGAGTGTAGCCAGGATCCGGATTTCTTAATTAGACCAAGGGAAAAATCAATACCCGGTGATTTCAGCGGGAAGTGGCGTTTCATTCAGTGGATGAGCGCAGAGGGCGCTATCACAAACATGCACTGCACGAACCGATTAATTCCCGGGCATTGTAACGCCCTTGATTAGACCAGGAAGATCAAACCTACTAGGGAGTTTTACAATTTCCAATAGGTTGTTGTTGTTGTTGTTTTTTATTATCATAGTAATTTTTTTTACAAAGATTTTCCAATAGGTTCTCTACAACTTCAATTTAAAAACATCTTTGTAATTTTTTTGTAAATGGATACTGAGGCATTTGCCTCGCCTGCCTCATGCCTGGCCACATCCCTGTACGATAACCGCCATTATTGCCACCAAATATGGTGTAAGTGTCTTACAAGAATGCGAGAGAACTAAAGAAATCAGTGTATGATATTCCCTGGAGATTATTTTGTAATAACATTTGATTCAACGTGGACGTGATATTTCAGAGTATACAGAGAACACTTTTATCATTTGATACTACCGTTACGTTATTAAATAACTGAGACAACACAGCGGCGGTTACCTATTTTAGAGTAATTGACTTTATTAGATTAGATGCAACCATCTTTGATATGGCTGCTCGTGATATGTTATGCATATACTTGCATGGAATTAAGTAAGTGTGTAGTGTGATTTCGAAAAAATAAATTAAAATCATAATAAATTGATAAAATGTAAAATTCTTTGTGAGTCGGGTTCAACGTTAACAGTGAAACGGTAGTATAAAATGATTATGATGTACAAATGAACCAGTTGATACACTGACGTAAAGTAATAGTAATATATGTAAATAAGGAACATGTGAACATATTTACTTGAAAATAATCGATAGATACCCTATGTGAGTCACATTTCAAGCAAAGAGGACAGTTACTCAATTATCCATTGTATAGGGTGACATAAATGCATGTTTAAATTCATGAGCAACATTTGTGATCGAGAACAATCATTAGTAATTACATTCAGATTGAAATCATGTCTATTAGTTAAGAGCTCGAGCACAAGGTACCGAATGTTTCAAATATGTTGGAGCGGGTGTAAGTATGTAATGTCATTACTTGATATCATTAAAAGTCATAACAGATAACATGGATTTATTTATATAAAAAGGAGGGGTATTTGTCAGCTCGAGCTCCGAACTTACCAATGATAATGAAGACAAAGACGGTAATTATATATTATACGCACAAAAATGTTCTTGGCATAGAGCACTCGAACATTACTTCCTCAATACATAAATGATATACATCCTTACATTAGTCTGAGACAAACATAAAATATTTTATGTTAGTCTCAGCATGGTGAACTTCCCATCTCAAACAAAAATATGGGTATTTAAGGTAGCCCATATCAGTGCATAAATTCACTACAAAATATATTAGACATTTTGCAATTGATAGAAAGAATAGATATTAGCTACATTGATAGATTGAACAATTTGCAGACAAGAACATTGATGTTATATTCAGGACCAAATAATAGGATGCCATACCATTAGTTGGATGTAGTTACCTTTTGGCGTGTTAGTCTTATTATATAAGAGCTTAAACTACCAATTAAATGTTGGATTGATCATAAACCTTCGCTGAAATATCGTACTTAAAGGAATGCTCCATATAAAGGTAGAATCAGATATTAACAGCAACTTTCCATATATTGTCTCAGTTTTAGAATGTTTTGAGATTATATCATTCCTTCTCAAGTGACTCCTTCCTCATTTCAGGTAAAATCATGGATTTGAAAATTTGTATTCCCTTCCCTTCTTAAGAATGGCAGTCGTAAGTCTTTATTTGATTGAGTGTTTCAGCCTGTTATGTTTGAATCTTTAATTTGTTCCTCAGTACACAAGCTCAGAAATTTATAACTTTGGTTCACAATTCTAAATCACAAAATCCAAACAGGATTTATCACGCGATCAAGGAGGGGACTTACAGTTTTCAAACTTATAGAGGGGGTGTAAATGTTGGTTACAGTTTTGTCAGACGGCCTTTATCGCTTGCTCATTTTTTTATCTACTTACATAGTAGATGGAATGTTTATAAATATGATCTAAAAATGTGACTTAAAGGAGCGACTAATTCGATGTGTAGCAACTCTTGTACCAACATCCGTGATCAATTCAAAGATGGCTGCCATATAAAACTTGACATCAATTGTAACTGGTGCGAACCTTGTCATACTGTTAATGTAGTAAATAATCGATTGACATTATTCTTTATCTTGTTTTCTACACACACTTCCTTGTATCTATCTGAGATATGTAATGATTCTGTTTTCAAATGATGTGTAACAAAAAATACAATAAACCCACTTAGTCACTCAATTCCAGTTCAACACTATTATTTGCTAGCGGTCTTTATGCCGACCGTTGTGACCGTCAATGAACACAATCTTAGAATACATTTTCAAAAAATCATTAAAATTACAAAAAGTGATACACAAAATCAAGTTGAATTTCCTCATATAATATGACTAAATTTATCAATTAATCATTTTGTAACCTTCATTGTGGCCGATCTTTGAAGCCATTCTTTCTCATATGTCGTTAAATAATTTGTAAAATTCCTGAGGAATTTGATTAAAACAGTCTCTTATACTCGTATATAGATTTCGAGAGACTCATTTTCGCCTCTCTCTCAGTTTCATACTCGTATACACCCTCCCTTTCTAGTAACTATAACATCTATGGAATCCCCAACTATTACCAATTTTCTAAAATATATTAACTTTCTCATCAGCCAAGAAGGACGTGCCTCTATTCGGTTGATTTCTATATATTTATGGTGACGACTGACGACCGTTATTTAGTTGGTCTGTGGCGCGGCGAGTGAATGCCACTGGGGTATAGCAGTCCTAGGCTGGGCCAGCATTTCTTGCCAATGCATCAGCTCTTCTCCTCTGGCGAACATGAAGCCCCCGACGACGTTTTTACCGTACTCTTCCTCGTGTGAACTCAGGCGTGACTGTATAGATGACATTACAGTGATGCAGACGCTACACGAGTCCAGCATTTTGCCAGGTACGGTAAATGAGAATGCTTCATTATAGACAGGGTCACAGGAACCCTGAACTATAACGGTTTTCTTACTTTTGTGAACCTTTCTACCATGAAGCAGCTGGACCCTTACATATATGCCTGAAATAAATACGTTCTTTATTAGTATAAATGACGAATAACTGGACATACAGTATAGTTGGACCCTTCTGTGTGAAGGTTGACCCAAAAAGCCGAAATGTTGTCTAATTTTTTAATATCTGTGCAATCATCTTTATTTTCCAAGTACAGAAATTACAATCTATGAATGATAATATAACATCAAAATTTTGACATTTCATTCGTTCTTCATCTTGCCATATGCTTTAGATCTGAGTCCTTAATTCGATACCCATACAGGACGTTAAATTCAGCACATTTTCTTTCATGCCTCTATCTGGCTTGTGACACATTTGATTTTCCAAGAGTTAACGCGGGTTGAAACAACGAATAGCCTCAGACTAGATTAGGTGATTATATTGGCATGATGAATAGCAAGTATACAGAAAATCTAAAACAGTTTTTACCAGCGTTTGAGTCCAGGTCTACCTTTCTCAGATTCCTGGCTCTCATGATGACAACCTTAACCTTATCCATTGTGGGAATGTGACACAAAGAGAAGTAGATTTCGCCCAGAGATGAAGATGTCTGAAATACATTTACGTATATTGGAAAGATCTAAAATCTTTTTCGCTTATTGCTGTTATACGTGAGTACACTACTAAATATTGCAAAAGATGTTCATGTCATTTCATATTGGATTGCCTTTTAATCTTCTAACCACTCATTGCTGTTAATTCTCGATTCCAAACATGGCACCCTTTAATATTGGATTCAGGTTTAGCCTAACGTTCAAATGTTGCCCTTCTTCGTGCTTTCTCTTATTTTCAAACAGCGTCTATTTTCTGATTTTAGTCTGGGGACAAATGTAGCTTACTTGTTTAACTGGTTCCAAGTCACGCCATACAACATCATCTCGAGTAATATCAAGAGTACTCATAGGAGCGACGACGTGGCCAAGGGAGTGGCGAACTCTTCGCTTGTCAAGATCGTAGACTGATAGCCGAAGTGTTCGTTTGGACACATCATCTGCAGCAACCTACAATGATTATATTTATATTCTAAGAATCTGATTAAAAGCAGTGATTGATTGATTGGTGGCTCAGTTAAGTGGCATTTATTCCTATGCCCCTGTAGTCAACAACTGAGTGACGTAAACTGCAGTGTATGTCATCACAAATGGCGACCGGAACTAATATGTTCCGTTATATTCATTTGAAATTATATAATTACAAGTCATTCAGTAATCGTATTTAGAATACATCCTATCCTTAATTTTTAGGTAAATAAATTATAAGGTTTCATCAAGATAAAACTAGCGAGTGTAATAGTATCTACATATCCAAACTATTACCTGAAACACAAAGGTTTCGTTGAATTTAGGTGTCAATGTCTTCTTTCTGACTTTTGACTGCTGACACGTTCTCTCGTCTGGTAATAAGTAGAGTTTTACAAAGGGGTCTCTAGGAGTGTTAGCTCGCCCTCGACCTATAGTAAATAATATAATTGATTAATACAAGAGCACAGAGAGCTAAGCAACACTTGACAGGTCTAAAAACATTGATAAATCCCAATACTTTGAACCAAATTTAAAAAAGAAAGACTGAGAAATCCAATAAGAGGATCAATTCTGAACGTGATACTCGGGTTTATGATTACGCTCTTTGAAACCTTCCCGTTATTACTGACGTTTGACATAAAAGATCAAAATACTAATCAAGAAATATATTTGTAATGTTGTGTACGAGTGTATCTAGTTTCATAAATTGGCTCAGGTGCTCAGCTAACAATACACTTTAGTCCAGCTCATTCTATAGATAAACAGCAAAATAACAATGCTATATGCAAATTATTTTGACTCTTATGAGAGAGGCTTTCAGAGAAAATTATAGTATACCGTACCTAATCACATCAATGTTAACTCACCCTTTAAGTGTTTGACTTTGATTAGATTTACAGTAAGTTGTTCTACCGCAGCATCATATACAACTGAAAACCAGATGCGCCCATGTTGACTCGGGGGCGCTTCATAGTCCTCTTCTTCTGAGCACATCCTGTAATTTAACGTTTATAATCTTAAGAGTTGGCATGGCAATGAATGACGTCATCTTCATGGCTAGCCTCACAACAAATGCCTTTCATGTTCTCCAATTTTAACCTTAGGCCCTATCACTTCATATTTTATCGAGGCACTATGGCGACATCTATTGAGTCTATAAATATCTTTTTGGGGAGTTTTTTAATGTTTGATTGTATTGTAGACGAAGCATCAACAGTTTAACAAGAGTGAAAGAAATCATATGTTCTCTCTCTAGGTATACATTTGTTTCAAATAATTAAGATATGCTAATTCAGATATGTGCCTTTGTCGATATATAAGTACAGAGTAGACATAAAATAGGACATATCATTGGTAATTTATACAAACAATAACTCGATTTCACGAACTTCAATTTTTTTACGATTTGATGCGAGATCAAGCCTGGATGTGTCACTTGATTGTGCTATAAGATACATGTTCATATATTTTAATATCGGATAGAAGTGAGAAACACGTTTCTGAAACTTGGAATGATCGTTTTGTTAAATAATGAGTAGAAAACTAATATTATAGTTTTGTCTGTCTAAACCTCCACCTACAACTAGTCTAGGACAGAAAGACTGGGTCAACTACATCCCAACAAACACCCCACTGCATCTGCATGCATACAATAAAGGTCAAGTTATACAGTGCCAGTCACCCTGAAATGAAAGTCCTTCAAAATAAAAGCAAATGAAATTAAGATTCATGTGGAATATTATATTAGTCCCAAAGTTCCTCAACATAGAACAACAATCCAAAACTTGAGGCTCTGATTTCTGATTTACCAAATTCAACACCCTAACACGAAATACAGCAAAAAAACATATCCAGATGTAAATAAGATATTTTAAAGAAATGTCATCCAACATTTCAAACACGTATGGTTTAAGGGAGGACATTTTTACATCGTTGGAGCATGATCAAAAGCAATTTTTGGAGTTTGACAAATTGTCAAAGCTCTTTTAGACCCAATAAAATGTTTTAGTTTCTTTGATTCTTTAAATGTTTGGACACTTTTTATGCACTTGCGCTTACATATTTCGAATTGCACTGATTATTGTAATGTAAAAGCATTGTTTTCCTGTACCACAGTATCAAAATCGATTCGAATAAGAGCATTAAAAATAAAATAAATGTCAGAAATCTATGTCAGAAACAATATAACAAAACAGAAAATGTTGGGGCTTTTCTTTAAAAGTATACAGCTATTCATCCTCAAGCGAAGGCATAACCATCTTTCATATCACACAGTGGTCCAATATTATATTAATTATAACTTCAATGCACATTATACATTGATGTATATTATCACATTGATATGTGATACAAAATCAAATGATGCCTTATTGGATTATGAGCTTTCAAGATTTAGTAAAGTAAATGAAAATGTTGAATGATAAAAAGGTACATCCCCTCTAATAGTTTGGCAAGTCCTATTTCACCAGTGTACCATGTGTTAAAGTCTATTAAAGTTTCCAATGAGGAAATCTGGATTGCTAAACTTTTGTTGGGATGTGTATACCAGATATAAGATGCAAGAAACCCCTATCAATTTCCCAATACACACAACTTAGTGCAACATATATCTTCTTAACATGATATGAGAATGATTTCCTTTTTTACATATTTTATCATGAATCAGCAATGATGAGAAAGCACAAATAGCAACATTTGGAAGACACAAAACACAACCTCTATCTCTATAGAGGGGCCACATAAGTGCCATCTTTAAATATATTTAGAAATTCCATTAAGTCAGCAACCAAATTATGATTTAACTATGTTTCAGTTGATAGAGCAAGCCCCAAGAGTTCTAGCAAATTATAATGCATGATACTCTATAAATTTCAGTACACACAAATAGCTTACTTGTGTAATTTAATGGCATATCCATTTTGATGAATTCTAATGTCAGCATCGACCAAAAAGGAAGTGGTATTACACCATATCATAAAAAATGTGTTTCACAATATATATTACATTCTAATCACCCGTTGAGAATAGATCTATATTGCACTTATACCAAGATAAATGAAGCAAGAATGGCGATAGTTTTCTTCCAGCCATTCACTTGCCTTACTACTACTTGACAATCATCCTCCCCTTCTAACAGAGACGGTTCTACCTCATCTTCTGAGCTCCAATCTTTAGCATGAGCCCCTTCACTATGAAAAATTTACTAAACTAATACATATCCGTCTATCACACGCAACTTTATAGTAAACATAAACGATTTTATTACTACTTTGAATATGTTAGAACGCGAGACCTTTGCATTGTTTATCTTATTCAATATCATCAATTCCGCTTTCAGGAAACAGTTAACTTATATACTCTGGTCTGTGTGAAATAACATATTCAAGACGTTTCTACTCCCACATATATTAGAAAAGGAACAAAGAACTGCCAATTCTGAAAATATAAATGGTATAATTAATTCTCTTAAACACTCTAACCAACGCTATGCACTGCGTATATTACCCATAATTAATCATGCTGATACATTACAGTACAATTCTCCCTCACACATTTTGTTTTACATGGTTTACATTCGCTATTATTAGCAGAAGGCCGATAAAAATTAGATCCCGAATCATAATTTTGATTTTAAATTTTAAACATCGAGGGTTGTTAGAATGTGTAAAGTATGAACTGACAGAGTGAGATTCTTGATTTTATATTTCAAATTGAAAAAGCTTACTTTGAAACCCATTTCACCCATTGCCCCATGCAGACGCAACTAATCCTCCAATACAATTATGTAAAAAGTCACACTGATTATTCTATCTACATGATGTTGATAAATGATCTTGTAATATGATATAGATTCATTGACGTCATTACCAGTGGAACTAGTTTGTGTTTGGAAACTGTAAAGATATTATTTTTCACCAATGAATCTATTTCAATATCTGTATTATATTTCCTATATTGCCTCCGAAAATACCATTAATCTCGAACGAAGTGTTTGATATTGGAAAGTTAGTAGTAAGACTTGTAAATAAAATAATAGAAACTGGGAAAACTTGAACGGTTTACCTTATTTAACGGGTGTAAATAAAACAATTTAGAGCAAATATGTGCAAATGTTCAACAGTTCGTTAAAGGTACTTTCTAAAAAGGAACACTTCTAAACAATTATGGGTGTTTGTATCGACTGATCACTCCACCTACTCATCAGTGCTTTCGCTAACTTCTTCAAAGTCTTCCCAGTGTGGTGGAATCTCCTGGCTTATTGCAAGGCCGATGCTTTCAGAGCTACTCGTGCTGCTCGTGCTTTTAGCCCTATTTAATAAAACTAGAAAATGTTTGAGATGTGAGGACAAACACATATAATAGTAGTGTATCATGAACATTTTCTGTATTTCCGGAGTTATCACATATTTTATTTGAGCCGCCATCTTGTGTCGTGTACGTGTCGTCACCATAATTATGGTTCAGCATGGGTGTAATAAAAACAACCTGTTAAGTGGATCCGGAATTAAAATGATATGTGATCCGGGATGCAACGATATTCTTGTTCGATACCTAAAAAGCTAGTGCATTTAATTTGTGTATGTTGGAACATGCAAGCGTAATAAATAAAGCAATATTCCACCACATGTAGAGGCATGGCAATGATACATCAGTGATTTGATAACGTTGTGACTTTACCTTGATGTTAAAACCTGATATAATTTCCCATGAGAGCAGAAAAAATCGAAATTAACCTATGTCTTGCCATAGTTCCAAGCAAACACCATTCACAACAATCAATACTGGCAAAATATCACTTACATTTGCACTGGTACACCAACACTGTTTAACAAATGACAACAGTTGTATTGTAGCTCAAAATATTTGAAATATACATCAATGCTTCTGACTCCGGAACGCGACGATGATGTTACAATTTGATATTGGGTTAGCTGATTTGAGAGAAATTGATCACCGGGTATATGGTCACCATGTTGATGAGTTGTATTAACTACTTTGGCTTTATTACTACAATACTAGATTAGTAGTATTTACTTAATTTATGATTAAAAACTCGTCATGATTTGGGATCGGAAGATTGACCCGCTGTAGGATTAAGCTATTTTTGTCAAAATACTAAAAAAAAACTTCACATTTTGTACTTTAACATCCGATGTCCAGGAGATACACAAAAAACCCTTTCAACCCTATGGCCTGTAAAAAGTGGATACGCCGGAGGAATATTCCGATCCCAAAAATTCCGATCCAACCCCGCGAACATGAGATAACCCCGGGGACCAAACTCTCTGTCTTTAGTTGTTAACTAAACATGACCGAGTTAAGATATAATTGCAAAAAGATGGCATGTTACTAAAGCAATTTCATTCTAATCATAGACTCATGCCTATGATGCAAAGCACGATTTGAACTATATGCAAAGCATGGCAATACGCTATATGAAGCAATATTTGACGTAAGATATTCATGATGGTTAATGTGACTGAAAGAAACAAGAACATGATTTGATTTTAATGCGTTATCAACATAATCAAAACAACCATAAGCAGGCTTAATCAACCACGTAAACTTAACATTACGTGACGTAAACGTTTTCAATGGATCTGTCCCTCACCTGTATAGATCTGGCTTAATATTGCCAAGGATGCTGTGTTGGTACTGCAGAGCGGTTGAGCTACCGGATCGATCGCCCGGACTCCTTGGTTGAACGCGTTCTGGTGGAAGGGAAAAGTCGGGGACAGTGTCAACAGTCACAGAACGAACGTACATGCCGCGATGCGACGTTTGGTTCAAACTGTGGCGTTTGTCAATGCGTGGAGAATTAGTCCTGAAAAATAGCAGTTAAAGAATTTTTCAAATATGTTTCAAATTGCATTTTTTTGTTTTTACGTTTCGTTCTCTATGCTCACACTAACCCACATGCTTATACCATGCTAATGGCGTGCATTGTATTGTATCTTGGTTACCGCCATATTTGGCGAGCAATGGCTCATTGGTATATTCCTTATTTTACGTAATATACACTCGAAGACAAAGCCAGAAACCCCTCCTTGAAGAACCACTGTGTTCTTTTTTGTGCACGGGTACATCATCATGATATACCATGACATCTCATTTCTTCTCAGCCCTGAGATGTTTGAGGTGAAACAGAAATACGCTATGAGTATCAGAATGGGGTACATAGACATACAAGTACGCACCATAGCCTTTTATACGAGTTGTGAACCACTCAGTCAAACTCCCAGAATTACATAACGCACAAACAAACTTGTCTGAACCGGGAATCGAACCCGGGGCCAAGCTATAGTGGTAATCTTGATTGCGGATGGAATAAGTTAAGTTGATTATAGCTGATTGTATTTGCATCAAATGGTCACTATGACTACATGTGTTTAAATGTGATTTTTAAGCTAAGATCTATGTTAGGCAATGAACGTAATTAACTAGCCGTTACGAATGCTGATCATTAATGCGTATGATCATTAATTTGTAAACAGATGCCGGATTTGAAACCCATTCCTAGTTAGTTATAAATCACGGTATATTTCTATAAGGAGTAACAAAAATCAAAAGAAGGGCATCGATCGTCAACTAGATTATAATTAAATGAGATTTCATTCGGAACTATTTACTTTTTCTTGATCACCTTCCGTTTGACGTCTTTGTTGCTATGGTGATAACTTAAAATAATTTTTGTATAAAACACTTGTTGCATCGGATCAATACTTTATATTCAGGGAATCGTAATTGCGATAAATATGTGTTTTAGGGATCGAGTCATACATTTCGAATTCAGACATGAATTTTGCTTAATTTTAGTAGCTTAAAATGTAGCTTTGTTGATTTGTACGATCCCAAAAAACGTATATGTAACCTGAGACTAACATAACTAAAATTGTGCAATTAGTTACGTTTGTTGGCTCTCACAGGGATGAGATATGACTCGTAAATGAAAGTATGTGCCAGGTATATTCAGGTGAGCATCCATGTGCGCCTATACCTTAGAGATATGCCGCAGAAAACACTATTGAGCAACGTCAGCATATCATTTTACAATCAAGGGAATTTGTCGTCATAACATAAGCGGTTTAAATAACAACTTTTGAATTGTGTTGATAAACGTATTGTGCGAAATACAAAATACAATAGCACCAGCGAAGAGAGAGAACAGAGAGAGAGAGAGAGAGAGAGAGACCGAAAGAGAGAGCTCCGTGTTCTAAAATAACATAAGAATAATTGATATCCTTGACTCTTAGCCTATAATTTGAGTACATAACGGTTTAATACCTGTTGTTAGCCTGTGAAACATCATACTAAGATTTATGATTTGATAAATTAAGCAATCAAACGTTTCCGATGATAAATCAATTAATTGTTTCACTGAGGTCTAGATTTTCTTGAAAATTCAATTACCTAGATCAATTGCTGATGGTGTGAGGATGATCGGATTTTTAACAATATAACCTTGATCTACATATACTTTTAGGCGAGTAGGCCAAGCCTCAGAAGTCCATAAATAAAGGAGTTTTATAGTCGGCTGACCCTATGGGATATTTTGGTATCGTTGGAAAGCTGAGATATTGACCTGTAATATGTGATAGATACCTACTTTGAAAACAGGTGACGTTACCATGGAAACGGGCATTGAACAATAGTTATACTTAATAAGAACTAAATACCCATTTCAGGTTTATGTGCACCAAATGATAAAAATATTTTCCTTTTTAATGCGTAAATGGCGAGAATTCAATAGAGATAGGTAAATCTTGAACATTTGTGACTAAATTTGTAGTATAAAACAGTTCTAATTTACATTGTGACATCACAATTGTGAAATTCAAATAGAAAACTGTTTATTTCATTTGGTCTCCTTTAATCCAATTCATCGTGTAATTCTAATTTAGTTAAAATATCACCTTCATGTATATCAAATGAAAGCTGCTTTTCTTACAAATACGTTGGTATACGAAACAAAAGGATTGGACAATCACCCACTGAGATATAGCATATTTTGCTCTGATGAAGCAATGGCCAGAACTACTGAAATCTACTATAATTGCACAGGTTTAGCACACAGTTTGTGAATTTCAATACCAAAACACATTTTAATTGTCTTATAACTTTAAATATCTGTGGACCTTTGGATTAGTTTTGGTCTCATTTCAATAAAGAGGTATATATCTAAAATGTATGATATTGACTCATTTGAAAAGCATGTATTGTTACCATGGAAACAGGTGTTGAATAGGAGATTTCATTATTAAGAATAATGCATTTATATTCATTATTAGTTGGTGATCTAGTGAATGAATACAAATGAAGTGATCCTATGTGGATCCTATGGATAAAATTGGTATGTTCGAACAGTTACCACTTTGTTCTTGTAGACATAGGGATAGATTTGGATTATAACTGAAATGGGGTTTGTTGCTATGGAAACGCTTGTCAAACAATATATGTCCTTGATATGAGTAAAATATATAAAACAATTTGTTCGCATAGTTAATATTATGAATGTGTATTCTTTCAGTGCCTGATGTGAGGATATTGGTGGATTTGATTTATATTGACCATTAGTGGCTAATTAGGTTCAGTTAGTTTAAGTGTATATATGCTATGTAATGTCACAAAGGTGAATTTTGATTAAGATAATTGAAAATCAAAATTAATTACTGCAATTCATTGTGAAATTTCAATTTTATTGGAATGTGACCGTGTTATATATCATATTAAAGCTACTGGTCTATTGATTTCAGTGATATATAAAAGTAATATGATCAGTTTGATATATGTGGATATAACCCTTATTTCTTTCTGGTGTATCAGTACTGGCTACAATGGCTAAATTGACCTGTTTTGGCACAAACAGATTCACGAACAAAATGTTTGTTATTACTGAATTATTTAAACTATTGATAAGAATGTGCAGAAAACTATTATTTGAATTTTCTCTGCATGTATATCAAATGAAAGCTTATTTTTTCAGAAAAAACATCCATATATTTTATTTTGCAATAACCTTTTTGTGACTCATGTCACAGATGGGCCACTAGATATGGTTAATGGTTCACAACTGTATTTGAAATCATGATTGTCTAATTTGACATACACTGGCATTCAGCGCATTGCCCAATATGAAACTTGTTTTGCCAAAGTTATTACCATTTGCCAGAAAAATAAATTGTTGTAAAATCTTTAGATTTTCCTGAAATAAAGTATACACTCTGGCAATTTTAGAAAATAGACACTACAAGGAATGATATCAAAAATATTCTAAAATAGAAACAATTTTTGCTAAGCTTACTCGCTAGATCTGATTGGCCAAAGAAATTATAATATTCGTATTCTATCACAATCATCAATTACCTATGTATTCCATATTTTTTATTTTATTTATTTTCATGTTTTTTATGTCATCGCCCGATTATAGTGACCAAAACTGATGCAATTTGATTTTCAACTACTAACAAGTCTTAAAATGGAACGAAAACGTAAAAATCAAGAGAAATCTCAAGGAATAGCTCTGATACTGGATCTGATACTAAACTTTGGCTAATATGGGATATAGTATGGGATCTGATATTGAATTTTGACTGATAAGTAGTTGCTGTATTTGCAACTTATGTACTGTGAAGATTTCAAAGCTCTTGGAATTTCAGTTTTCGATGTTTACTTTAAATTGGCAAAAAGTAGACTTTTTCCATTTTCAAGGAACTTTGTCATGTATAAGGTCAATTACTAAGTAACCAACTCATATCATTTGGACAAAAAAAGAAGTTTTTCTGTACAAAGTTATACCTTTCCAAACATAATGTGGTTACAATTCACTGTGAACACAGGGCCGAAGGTCCTTAATTCTAGTACACGGTGGTTGCTTAACAATGAAAATGATAAGTTTCAGTGATTTTTCAATTTATTAAAGAGACTCTATGCCATAGGTTAGCGTAATCAAGATACATTCATGTATGAATCAAAGAACATATCAAAATCAAGATAAAAATAAGATTAATATAATTATCATTAGTCTATATATAGGATTCCAATTCCAAACATGGAAAATGAGTGATAGTGTTAATACAAGTTTCTCTCTGAAACTAAATGCAGTTACTTTATTTATATTTTAATGATCTTTCTTTCAGGTGACCTAATTTCAAGAATACCCCTTCTTCACTTGAGATTTATTCTATCCAGGTATAACATCGAAATATAGGTAACAGTACTAAAACAACTAGAAAAACAGCTCCACGGAGTAGCAAATCCCACCGAACAAAACATGTTTTGGTAAATAGCGGCCATATAAAATTTGAGCCAAATCCATCCACTGGTATTTGAATTATCAAAGATTGTGTTTTTATGATACATGGTTGCCAATTCAGCTGTCATCTTTAGATTTCTTTAGAGCTCCTATGTCCCAAGGCATCAGCATATACAATTTAATCCAAATTCGTCAACTGGTACTTGAGTTATCAAGGATTACATGTTTAATGAAAAATTGTGGAGATTTCGATAAACAGCAGCCACCTTGAATATTTCTTCTCAAGCAGAGCTCCTTTATCTCTAGGCATCAGTATATACAATTTGAAGTAAATACGTCCAATGATATTTGAGTTATCAAGATTACCTTTTTTATGAAAAATGGCAGCCATTTTGAAATTCAGCTGACGCCTTTGAAATTTCTTCTGAAGCAGATCTCCTATTTCCCTAAACATCAGGATATAAAATTGAAACCAAATCCATCCACTGGTATTTGAGTTATCAATGATTATGTTTTTTTACGAAAAATAGCAGCCATTTTGAAATTCAGTGTCCATTTTGAAAATGTCTTCT